TGAAGCTGGGACTCCCTCAACGCGTTTACCCGGACTTCTCATCATAAAGCCAGGGTGTCTCGCAAGCTCCTGCAGGAACGCCTTTGTCAGTATACGAGAGGACGAAAGCTATAGGGTGTCGTTCGAGCCAAAGTCAACAACATTATAGTCAACAACATCATGTGCTTCTGGGGATGGAGGGACAAGCAGTGTCCCATTGCCACGGAATCTCTCAAGCAAATATTCGATTCGTTGGTCAAAAACGCTGTGATGTTTCTCCATTATTCTCTGTATGATACCTAGAGTGTCTTCTCAGGAGGTGGGGTGCATTGCAAGGGTTATAGTAGGATTATGGACCGTCATCCTTCGTCATATATATTCCTTACTCTTCAAGCCGGTAAGGAGCATGTGCAGGAACTTTTCAATGCAATATGAGACCACTTTCAGCTGTTCCTTGCATCGTTCTTTATTATTACAATGATAAGCATGCATTGAGTATGACTCTACCAGCAGCCCACTAGTACTTGGAGGTGAGTTGTCAGTAAAGGCCTCAAGTGTTGTGTTACAGTTGTGGGTTATAGTTAGTTTCATTACTCATTTATTGGTGGTGGGTTCAACCACTACTCGCACTATGGATAACTACGACATATCATATGTCACATTGGACCAAAAGATGCTTGTATTGACGAAGTGCAGAAACTTATCTAGGCCAGCGAGCCACATTTTCGTCTAATCAAGCAACGAGGCAGAGCTGTCTATTGACAAAAAGGCTATCCCTTGCGCTCTTTGTCCGTTCTCAAAGATTATAGCCCCAGCCCTGGAGTTTGTGCATTCAGGTGACATCTCAATATGCAAGGACGCAATCAAGTTGTCATTACCCTGAAAATTATCGATAACGAAATCACTTTGCGGTAAGCGCTTACATGGCCATATACTATAAGGACACGGTGAGATTTGCAGGTTCAAGGAAGCTGACGCTGATACAACCCTCTTTCCCAAGCCGTATAACATTTTGACTTCCGCGTCTCGAGCTGAGGCTGAATCCGTCTCTATCCTTGGCGTGGAACACATGGTGTCTGCGCTTGCTTCTAATTATAATCAATAGGGATACTCTGTTACAGTCTGGAATCGAACAAGAGAAAAGGCTGACGCCCTCATGTCACAGGGTGCCATTGAGGCCGATTCCGCCACTGATTGTGTTCAGTCCAGATCCCTGGTCATTATCTGTCTTCGATCTATTGAAGTGCTTCGGGATGTCTTTGATGGGATTCCGACCCTCCCTGGCCGCACAATTTTTAGCGTTACAAGTAGCACACCTCGACAAACCAGAGAAACAACTGAGATGGTGAGCAAAGTGCTAGGTGCTTCTGCATACCTTCATGGCTGGATAATGTCTCTACCGTCAGAGGTGCAAAACCACCAAGCAACAATTTCCTACGGCGGTCCACAATCGGGTTTCGCGAAACACAAGAGTGCCTGCGAAACCCTAGGAACCGCTTTATGGATATCAGAGGACCCGCAACAAGTAGCCCTGGTCGACAATGGGGCAATGAGCATGGTTGCGGGTTTGTTTGCAGATTTCGTACAGTCCCTAGCCCTTGTTGGAAAAGGCGATATTGGCCGAGTCCTCTTTACAAGAAAGGTGCTTCTTCCTCAACTAGATATATTCATAGGATGGCTGCTACGCCCGACGCAGCAGGACCAGGACCATTCTCACCGTTCGTCTGGGCATGCCACGTCTTTGAGGGTAGCATCAATTATTGTGACCAATGCATTAAAGACTGCGAAAGAGTGTGGCATGTCTGCACGATTACTTCAGGGCATGACCGATGGATTAGTGGAGGGGGTAGAGGTGGGAAAGGGCTCTGAGGTTATTTCTGCTGTCGCCGAGATGTTGAGGAAGCAGTAACCGATTATTGTATGTGGTAGATTAATGGTTAGTCGTTTGAACTTGGAGACATATTTCAGAACTATGGAATGATCAATTTCAAAAAAATAAAATCACTACTGTTCTAAGAGAAAAGTCGATGATTCCGCAACACCTATGAGGCGACTAGTCTCTGCAAGACAAAAGGTTCCGTGACGCCCATTTGAAGATGATCCTGTCTTTCTAATAGTTGATACCGAGACCATCTGAGTAATATCTTTCAATTTCTCGTAGTCCAAAGTCCAAATCTGACTACAGTCCTTACATTCTAGTGCCACAGCATCCCTTGCGCTGGTGTTTCCATGCTCAAACATCCATGGAAAATACCATTACGAGGCATCTACCAGGATGACTCCTTATCACACATTGAATCTGAAGTAAGGGGATATTATGTTGGTTGATTATCTCTCAATCCCTTCTATTGTGATTGGCGTATCTGGGCTAGAAAATTACTGGTGACATAATTGTTCTAGAAGCTAACCGGGCACAAATGGTAGTTTCAGAAAGAATTAACTACTTTCAGTTAGAAGTGCATACAACCCCCTTTCAAGGGGATTAATCAACCATTCCTAGTTGACGGTTTCTTGGAAGGCACTCTGTAGTGAACAGTGCTGCTATGAAATTGCTGGTGGGATAAATCGCTGTACTGCCATATTGCTATCTATATTCGCCACTAATCCATAGCAAATAGTGAACTATGCAAGCGTCCTCAGAGCTCCTACCTGGTTTCACCAATTAAGATATTATTATGACCCGAGAATTATATATCTTGTTGACTAAAGATCCCCGGAAGGTATATCTGGTGAGTCTGGTAAATCATTATAGACAGAGCGAGAAAGTACTGTTCTATGTTCTTACTGCGCGTGTATTGTCCTCAAAAGAATTCCAATAGAAAGATATATAACAATAAACCAAGCCCAACGTATTCTCATAACCTGTCAGCTATACCTTCCCAATTCTCCATACAAAAACAAATCATAAGCCATAGCTAGGTAGTAGGAGACAATGTCTACCCCAGATATATCACACTGAAGAGATACCTAAGGCCCACCCTTACGACCTTCCTCCCAGTACTGCTCGCCCTTGCTCCGACAGGTGCCAACAACGCAGTAATACCCACCACCCGCATTTCTCTCATTGGGCGAGGTCAGCGTGTAGTCGGCTTCAGGGCAATGCGCGCCACAAGTAGTCATAAAGCAGTCCGTATAGCCTTCACGGTGCACCTCGTACGCCGTGTGGGCCGTTTTGTACCAGATGCAGACTTGGTCGCCATCCTCCCCACCGCACGAGTATATGTTGCCGGTGGACCAGCTCTTTGAGACGTCAAATCCACCGGTAATCCAGCCCGCGCCGGACAGGGATGTAGAGAAACCGATTGAGTAGGATTCGGTCTCCGTGCGGCCGACTGTGCAGGTTTTGGCATTTGTGCAGTCGATATTTTCCTGTACGGCCATACAGCGTTAGTCAACCATGTCGTGGCTTCATTCAGATGTATTGGGTTTGGTCCTGGTACGTACGCTGATCTGCTTATGCAAATATCTCTGTTTCGGGTTCCCGTCTCCGCGGAGGTCGATACCGTCGTGATCGGGGGAACACGGGTCCTCCTCGCGGCTCTGCAGGCCGTGAACAACTTCAGTAGTAGCGTTGGCAGTCACCTCACCGAAAGCGAAGTCTCGCGCGCGGTGGAAATGCATCGTTCCCTCGAAGCAGTTCTGTCTAGTCGCAATCGACATCCTCTCCAGCGACTCGGCTGGGACGGGGACATCGTCACAGGTCACGAGCAACTCGTCGTCGTCGAACATCCGGGTGCAGGTCACGCCTCCTGAGATATGCGCCTTTGAATGCACGCGGTATTCTTTGTCGTTGATGGTGATCTTGCCCGAGCCTTTGGGGTCGATGTCGACTGCGACGGGGAAGGAATCGGGGGCGGTGGAGCCGCCGAGGGAGTCCGCGCACATGTGCGCGAGAGTCTCCTTCGTGTCTGGGTCCGTGATGGCGAACTCGGTGTTGGAGGTTGCCTTTTCGTGCTGCACGGTGACGCGCACCAGCTTGAGGTTGGCATCTTTGTTCTTGGGTTCCTCATCGCCCTTGGGGTAGGGTGAAGGGGCAGCCAGAGCGGCGCTGAAGAGAGTGGAAAGGGCGATTGCTGCGGTGAACTTCATGGTGGGCGAGATGGTTGAACTTGGTACAGGGCCTGAAGCTCTGGTCTGGGAGACTCGATTCCTGGCATGCTTCGCTGGGTATTTATATGTCGGCCGTCTGAGGTCGAACGTATACACGTCTTTATCGTATGAGGACGTGAATAGTACATAGATCGGTCTTCGCCCCCAAACACGGCCCCCGCCCGATAGATTAAAGATTGGCCTCAGTGTGACTGATACTATCCACAGACTCCATCCAGTTTTGGTTGTCCTCGGGCACAACACGCCCAATCAGTATACACTGAACAGACTTCAATTGTTGGATGATGTATACCGGACCAACACCCATAGGGCTCAGCCTCTCCGACCCGTCTCTTCGAACTACGGATGAAACCACCGAGTGACATCGGCGGCGTGGAGCTGACGTGAGGAAGCGCCGATCTTACCTGGGGAAGATACACTATTGTTTGACGATCGATTACGCGGGGTCTGCAGAAACACCCCAGGATCGTTTTAGGTCCGATCTAGTGCCAGGTCCGGTAAAGTGAGCTTGCTTTCGCGCGACTCATGGGTCATTGACCTCGGACTGTGCTTCGACAATGAGCTGATACATTGATCTATGGTGCCAGGCCATGGCGCCACCAAAAGCCTAACTGTTATTACCGGTGTTTGACTGGTTCGTCGCTCCTGGCCAGGTAGTAGTCTGATGGTTCTTCGAATGGCTCATACCCCTCTTCACCCCGATAGTGGCAAAGTCAGTAGATGTATTGAATAGCATGATTCTATATTTATAACTGGCTAACACTCAAGCGGGCCAAGAGCGGCAAACAGGGTAGAATTTGCGAGCGTGCTGTGACATCTCATCTACAAGCGTGACAAGGTATGGGTAGTTAGCCCGCGGAAAGAACGGTCTAATCAAGCCACCCACGCCAATTTTCATGGCCGCAGTCTCACTAGTCAAGACTTTCCTCGAGCGCCCGTCGGCTCAAGTCGCTTTGCACCCATTGCTCGATCAAACCCACGCTATCCCCAACGAGATAGTCGTAGTTTGCGCCCCGCGGGATAAACATGGACTGATGCGCCAACACTTCGTCCATGTCCTCCATAAGCACTGGCGTCCAATGGGCGTTGTCGTCATGCCTCCAGTGATGAGAAGGCAAGAGGATAAACTTCCGGAGTTTCTGTCTCGAGAGATCCGAGCTGGGGGAAGAGGCTGACGTCGAGAGGGACACGCTCTCCGAAAGGGTCTGGCTGCTCTTCTGATCGGCCGAGGTAGATGATGCAATACTAGTGAGATCGACGGTCGAAGAGTCTCTTCTACAGCTGCCGTCTTCGGAAGCCAGGGGAGAATGGGGCACTGCCTTCAAATTGTGCTCTTCGAGTTTCAGGTTGCTAATCGTAGAGGTAGCAGTTTCAACGTCACTGGGAACACTCGGGGTCCCAACTTGGGGCGGGGTTGTCGTCAACTCTCTAGTCTGGTCAAGGCCTTCGGGTTCCGTTGCTGGTCTCTTTTTGGTCTTATGTGAGATGCGACCAGTGCTCGCAGTGTAGTAGTTGACGAATCGAACTCTCCGAGGGCTGTATTCCGCAGCCTCCAGCTCTCGTAACTGCCGGTATCGCCGACGAAGCTCGGAGTAGTTGTTGACGCAGTTGGCAAATCTCAGCGGTGACACAAGACGGTCAACAATAGAACGCGATAGATTGTCGGTGTTCTTGTTGACAAAATGCATCATACCCTTCAGGAACCCACGCTCCACCAGGCGCACGTCGTTCCGGAACGGAGGGTCAAAGTTAGGGTTGAATGGGACTGGGTTAGCTGGCGGTTTGAAGTCCAGGCATTCTTCCTCGCCTGCGAGTTTATCGTCAAATGCTGGGCCTTTCTTGGGGATTGAGCCACTAGCGCCGGTTGGAATGACGCGGGGGTGGATCCCCAGAAGGGGAACGTCGAAGTTCACCAGCCCCAGAATCCGATGCTTTTGCAGAAGCGCAACGTCTGCGGCTAGAATCCCACCGAGACTGTGCCCCAGTAGGATGACATCCAAATCATCTGCCTCATGGGGTGACAGCCTGTAAGCATCATCATTAGTCCGTGGTTCGTCGAGGTAAGATGCCCGCTTCCTGCGACAGTAACACATACCAGGCGCTGAACTGGGCCACCGCGGTTTGGATTTCGCCATGAGATTTATACCGCGGATATATGCGGGTGTAGACCACGTGAGATTCGCTCAACAAACCGGCCAACAAATCATGGATGTGCGCTGGGAGGTCTTGGAAACTGGCTTCTGAGCCCATGAAACCATGGATGTACACGAGGAGTAGTCTACGCCTGTTGGAGTTTTCCGGTGCTCCAGGCCCAGCCAGCGACAGACTGGACAGGGAACTCATGACCGCATGGAGTCCGACCTCAAAAGGGGTGGTCGACAACCCAGGGGAGATATGTTGACATGGTGAAGCAGGTGTCTATTCTCGGGGCAGGAACCGCCACTACCATGCGGGCAGCCTGGGGGATCGACTCTGCACGGCCCGCTTGCTTATTAACTGCCAGGTCTACAGTGCGCCAGCCATCTGCCTGACGGACACTTCAGCTGGTTAATACCTCTGGACAATCTACTAGACCTATTGGATAGTAAGTCCCAAAGAGATCCGACGCAAGGAGGTTCAAGTGATATAGGTTGTTATTTCTATTGTTGTTGTTGTTGTTGTTGTTGCTGTTGCTGGATCCTCAGTCATCCAGGCTGACAGATGCGACGCTAACCGTATTTGGCAGGCGTAGTCAGCTGACATAAGGCAAACACCCCCGGTGTGGAACAACTAAGCTCCGTCCCGATAAAGAATGATAACGAAACACGATAAAGCCTGAATTGTGGGGCCGACGCGGAAGTTTTCCCTTTCCTGCCCTGAGTCACCCCCGCCATCGCAAACTCGCACCACCTCACTTATACTCCTCTAACCTCCCATATTGGAAATAGATCCAGCGCAATCATGGCGACTCTCGACGCAAAGCAAAAGTTTGACCTAATTACCGAAAACCTCGCAGAGGTGCTCAATCCCGAGATCATCGAGGGCATTTTGGCCGAGGGGCGGAGTCTGAAGATCTACTGGGGTGGGTTGGCACCTACCCCTACCCGGGGTCTACATTGGGAGCCAGTTTGCTAACGGGCTATTTATCGTCATAACAGGCACTGCGCCGACGGGGAAGATCCACTGCGGTTACTTTGTCCCCGCCATCAAGATCGCCCAGTATCTCGCCGCGGGCTGCAACGTGAAGATCCTGCTGGCCGACATCCATGGATTCCTAGACAACCTCAAGGCTCCCATCGAGCTGGTCGAGCTGCGTGCGGAGTACTACCGACGGACGATATCGGCCGTGCTCGAGGCTGTGGGGGTGTCTCTGGAGAAGTTGGAGTTCGTTAAGGGAAGCAGTTACCAGAAGAGCCCCGAATATATCATGGACGTGTACAAGCTGTGCGCCGTGACGTCGGAGCACGACGCGAAGAAGGCCGGTGCGGAGGTTGTCAAGCAGTCCGACAACTCGCCGCTGAGTGGCCTGCTTTACAGTATCCTGCAGGTGCTCGACGAGCAGCATCTCGACGTGGACTGCCAGTTCGGAGGACTGGACCAGCGCAAACTGTTCACGGCTGCCAAGGAGTGGTTGCCGAAGTTGGGATACAAGGAACGCGCCCATCTGATGAACCCGATGGTGCCTGGCCTGCAGGGTGGCAAGATGTCTTCGAGCGAGCAGGGTAGGTTTTCCTTTCTTCCTTTCTTTCCCCTGTTGTTTGTTTTGATATACTGACAAATGAGCAGACAGCAAGATCGATTTGTTAGATACGCCCGAGGTCATCACCAAGAAGATTCGCAAGGCCGAGGCATCCCCCAAGGTGGTGGAAGAGAACGGTGTCCTCGCATTCGTGGAGTACGTGCTGCTGCCGGCTTCCGAACTGAAGGGACAGCGGGAGTTCCGCGTTGAGCGGGAACGCGACGGCTTGGAGCCGCTGGTCTACACGAGCATCGAAAAGATGCACGAGGATTACAGGGCGGACGTGGTGTGTTTTGCTCCCATTCTTTTTATTTCCCTCTTCCACGTGACTTGCATTCTTCGAAACAATACTAACCTATCTAGCTATCGCCACAATTGCTCAAACCCGCCGTGTCCAAGGCCCTACTGGACCTGCTGGCCCCGATCCACGCGGCCTACCAGGCGGACGCCGAATGGCAAGAGATCACCGACAAGGCGTACCCCAGCACGGAGAAGAAGAAGGTCAAGAAGGTCAAGAACAAGGGCACGCGCTACCCGGGAGCCGGGCAGGAGTCGCAGGGATTGCCCGACCGTACGAAACAGGACGCACCGGTGCAAAACTAGACGGTGACGTTCCTTTCTTCCCATCGCAGTGCGGGCCTCATTCATGCGCGGAAAGATAGAGCGGATACCTTCAAAACTGGACATTTGTAGCGTCAGTCAAAAATACATTGCATAGCGATATTGGCATACACTATCCACCTCTCGAGGGGAGTATCAGTACAGTAGACCATGTGCACGTATAAACTAATGTAAACCACATCACAGAATCAGGGCACACGCCCTGCATTACGCTCCGATCGATAGGCATCACAGGTGGCGATCTCGGCACCACCAAGTACCAACAAAGTAACGCCCGGCAGTCAACCTTGAAGCCTCAGTAGACGATCAGCACCAGTAGGTAACCTACCTTAGTAAACCAAGTACCATCCGCAGCATCCACCCGCAAGACGACTCAAGACAAGGCAAACGACATGACGCCATGAAACGGATCGAAATAGAAATAGATATCCGCCAAACAAGACAATCCTGTCGTCAGAGGTATCCAAACCTGCTGAATCCTAGACTAGTACCTAAGTACACTGCCACCCCGACCATCCAGTCAACATCAGCATCAGCATCACTTCAAGCGTACCCTGTCCATTAGTACCACTCAGGTACCTATAGAACCTACTAGGCAATCACCATTCGTCACTCTCGGGCCACCTCCATCTCATACCATGCAAAAGTAGTGTCCTCGTGCCAGAGACACCCCCGTCCCCGCCCCATCAGCCCCGCACTTCGCACCGTCATAGCAAAGGAACTAAGAATGTACGCATGTACCTACTAATGTGAATCACAATCGGACTATACCTATTCTGGTACCTGCGACAGGGAGGCACTCAGCTCCAAGGAGGGGTAAAAGCCACTCCTGTGATCCAATGTTCAGTCTGTCCATCCAGGCAGCCAGCTCAAACCAGTCTGACCAATCCCGTCCGTCCCAAGGGGGAAAAGGATGGATGGAAGGGCGTGTGGAAGAGTCCCTGCCTACCTATGAAAAGACAGGTAGAAATGACAGTTCACACACCTACCGATCGGAAGGATCCACGGCTGCAGCGCTGCGGAGTGTGCATGTGGTGGAATGTCTCCAACCAGGACAAACAGACCTACTCCAATATGAGCCTAAAATGGATTAAAACGAATAGAAAAGGGAAAAAAGTCCTCGGACGAGCGGTCGAACTCCTGTTGTCCAATGGACTGGGATGCGGAAGCGGAAGGCTGCAGTGATTAGTTTCGTTTCTTCTACGGCACTGCAGTCTGTCAGTGTCAACTGGGAGGGGCGCAGTTGGTGGAAATAGGCGCTGGGCCAAATGGATCCATGCTGGTTGTACTCCGTATGTCCAGCTTATAGGTCGCAGGAAGTACCACTTAGTACGGAATACTGGGGTATGTTTTGGTGGGTCTCCAACTAGTCGATATCAATTATTATATCAATCTTGAGGTTATTCCACCACACTCCATATCCAATACACTTCCTTACGAGTCAGAGACAGAGTCCAAACAGGCTAAAGTCTATCCCAGTCAGGTAATTAAACGAGAAGGATCGTGTAGGGCTCAGGGTAAGGGCTGACCACGATCCCACAAACATCCCTGCATGGTCGACCCCAAAAATTCCAACAAGATCAACAGACCAAAAAAAGAAAGAGAGGGAAAACCAGCAAGAGATCAAAAGGAACGGGGGAAAGAAATGACCAGCCTCCTGACGATTCCCTCCATTCCAAGACCCCCCCTGAGACATTCCTCCGACGCGCACTTGATCGGCGTGAGACCTTCATTTCACCCCTTTCTGCTTCCTCCATATGGTAGGATATCCATACATACTCCGTAGACAGCTCCCACAGTCCCTCAGTAATCAGAAGGAATTCATATGCAAGAGAATGCGACAAATCACAAAAACAGGTCAGCTGTAACCCAGGATAGGAATTCGGCTTCCGTCCCGGACAGTTATGCAGGGACACCATCAATAAGCTTCCAGGTGGGATGGGAGGAGGATGATGTTGATGATACCTGTCGGTACACAATCCTCCCAGTGTAGCGTTGTGTCTCTGTATGTACCATACGGTACCACGTACACGTACGTACTTCTTAACCAAGCGATCCATGCGAGGACCGAAAGTTTGTACCTCTGTCGGATCCACTCTGCACAGGACACACACAGGAAGAAAATGAGTCTAGATCATCTAGTTTAGATTATTCTGGCAAGGAGAAAAACTCTGACCGGATATCAACATCATGATAATATCACTCGGCTTATCCACCGAAGCGATATAACTAGTACCAGGATAATCAGCCGTGTGCCGTGTCTCTGATAGGATCCCGTCTGCCTAGCGATTTCCGACTTATAGCGCAGTTGGATTGATGATATCCGTGTCACCAATGAGGCATTAATCTGACATGAGTAATTCAGCAGATTATATATCCCTCATGTATTTATATTAAATTGATATATCCTGGGTCATGGTTGTGGAATGGTAAGTTGATGGTCGGGGTTAGCCGCCGTGTCCAACGTAGGAACTGCCCAGCCCTAATCTCGTCTTGATTATTCGTACTCCGGAGACCATATACTGTCTGCCTAGTTGTAGTTATCGCCATTGTTAATGCCAGTTTTGTCTACTCTTCAGTCACTGACTCGGGCGAAAAGGTTGAATTGTCGGACAAAGGAATATTATGATAAAAGATGAAATGATGCAATAAAGAATACGATGGACAGATGGAAAGATCGACGCCATGTGCGACGTTGCGAAGGTGATTTTCGGGTCAGCAGGGCCTGCGTCACTCAGGGGAATTATTAATTCTGTATGGACGACTCCGTGAGGAGTTCCCTGATCCTGGTGTCGCATGGAATTTATATTAACATATCAATATATTATAAGTATAATATCAGTCTAGTATTGACCATACTACATTAATAATATTGACATGTCCGTGCGAGTGGCTGCTGCGCCGACGCCTTTATTGGGTGGATTCAGAATTTTCCTCTTTATTTCTCATTCATTTTTCTTTCGTGTGATATTATTTGTCCTTCTCTCTTTTGAACTATCTAGGAAGATTCTTTGAGAACCATGGCCTGTATTACGAAGACTGTGCCATCTCCAGCGACGGTATTTTTCGTCCATGAATACACCCATTGACACCATCCTCAATCCTCGTATATCAAATTGGGGCACAACCCTACTGATGGATCTCCCCCACAAGTTGCGGTCTGTAAACGGCGTGGTTGCTGCCCAGCAGGATCGCAGCGGTAAAGCCCATCGAACGACTGTTGCCCAACAACCATTGTTTACGATCCACTCTCCACCGGAGGACCCATAGACCCATACAGGGCATCTCGATGAGCTTGTTTGGCGGGCTCCTTCAGTAGTGAGTACCGTGGAATCGCAACGGGATCGGCCGGATCGAGTCCATGGGATGATTCCCCGCTGATGGACTCTGTATCAAGGATATCAGATATCGTAATGATCGTATTCTTCCGGCCACCACACCAGACTCCGCCACGGCGTAGGCTTCCACCACTGACTCCATCTCAAATCAGGCTCGCTCAGCTGAATGAGCCTATTCGAGGCTATTCAGCTCAGGGAGGCAACGATATTAATAACCTGACCCTCGCCACATGTGACATGCCACGGCGTGGCGAAGTCCACTGCAGTCCAGTTCTCCCTCCCAATCGGGAATGACTCACTCTACCACCGGGGAAATTTTACGACCCGCAAGGGCGGATGGCCCTGAAACCTAACTGAAAGGTCGAAGCCCTAACTGGTTATTCAATGAGTGGTGATAAGAAGCTGAGTCGACAGATGGGACATGTTTCGAGAATGAGTCAAAACATATGCAACCCGATCGATCATGCCCAACCAATGGTCATGAGAGAGTCATGACACACCGTCGACGTCCAATCGAGACAAACCCAGTCTGACTGAAGTGACTGAAGGGACTGAAGAGGTCGAAGAAGAGTGACCCCTCGTTGGGCCTGAAACGCGCCCAAGGGCTGCAGGTAAGATACGGTCACGACAATACCAAAACCCGCCCAGCCCGCGCTAAACCGGGGGGGAAATACTAGTCATACCCCCCAGCCCCATATCACATCCTAATCCTATCAGAATGAATATCCTATTATCATTATATTATTATAATGAGGTTTATTGTTTTTAATGGCTGCTGGGATTGATTAAAGAATTTTACATCTATTTTCCACTGGTTGTAATAACTAACCGACCTCCCGGTCTCTCGTCCTCCTCCCTCCTCTCCCTCTATTCTCTCTCTCTCTCTCTCCACCACTCGTCTACGGACTCTTCCCCCCTCCCAGAATATTGATATTTTCACTGGGTGGGAATATCATCTCTTATTTGGCCCGTTTGGAAGGTCGATAGAGGTTTCACGGTAGAAGGAACCCGTTAGACATAGAGCTGGTGGACTCTCGGTCAATCTCCTCATAGTCACTCCCAGCGCTTAACTACCCATATACCAACGACCATCTTTTCAAATGCACTCTCAGCTCACCTCCTCTCGTCCCTCCTCTCCCCTTGCAACCGTGCCTCGGTGACGGTCCCTGTCTTGATCTTGATTTTTTCTCCATTTTTTTTTCTCTTTTTTTCCCCAGCGATATCCGATTCCTGTTTCCCGGCGTCGATCGGTTTGTTCTACACGATATCCTGTATAATATATCTGGGTTCTATTGTTCTTTTTGATTTCTTTTCTTGCCTGATCTAAATTCGTTTATTTTACTCCACTTTTCCATTTCAAGGTTTACTGCATCGTTGTGATTGAAAAGTTCCGGCTTTGGTTTTGCTGGTGTTGGTTTCTCATGCTCATTCTTCGATAATGTATCACTATCCTCAACCCCCTCCGGGGTGGCCCTACGACTACATGGCCTCCCCTCCTACCTCTCCTCATTACGCCTACTACGCCTCTCCCTTCGCCACCCCTTACACCTCCCCGCGGAGTGCCTCCAAGCGTCACGGCCGCAAAGCCAGCTATGCGGGGACCACCAAGGACGGCTGGCATGGCGCCGCCTACGGGCCCGCCGCCTACCATCCCGAGGCCATGCCCGACTATGGCGCCCCTCCGCGCAAGCACGACTATGTAAGTGCTTTCTTTGCTGGCGGTGGTGACGGCGGCTATCCGTCTAGTCGATCACGTCGTCGCACTACCATGTCTGGCATTCCCATCGATCCCACCGGTCCTTACCCGTCGCATCAGTCCTCGCGCAAACGATTTGTGGATGTGGTCGATGATGGTTCCGACGGTGAAGCCTACGACGACGAGAACTACCCCCCCTCGCGATCCGCCGCCGCCGCCGCCGCTGCCGCTGCCGCCGCCTCGGGCGCCCACCCGCCGCACCGATCTCCGTCGTCCCGCAAGCCCAGAGCCCCCACTGATAAGCACTTTGTCTATAACCAGGTCCCCGTCTACGATGATGCCGACACCGCGAAACGGTCGCGCGCCCGCCGGCAGTCGACATCGACACGCACGCCCCAGAAACCCAGGCCCACCCCGGCCGCCAAACCGGCCACCCACGCCACGGACGAGGACGCTGCCCGCGCGGGGATCCCGCCTGGGTACTCGATCAAGAACTGGGACCCGACGGAGATGCCGATCATCCTGCTGGGCAGCGTGTTCGACGCCAACTCGCTGGGCAAGTGGATCTACGACTGGACGGTGTTCCACCATGGAGCGTCGACGCCCATGGCGGATGTGGCGGGCGAGCTGTGGCTGCTGTTGATCAAGCTGGCAGGCAAGGTGAAGCGGGCGGACGAGTGTGTGGACCGCATCAAGCGCACGGACGCGCACGAGATGGTCGAGAGTTTCCTCGAGAGCGGCGAGCGGCTGTGGGGGCGCTTCAAGAAGCTGCTCAAGACGTGCGAGCAGTTCATGTGGAAGGCCGCCAAGCGGGAAAGCGGCAAGGGGCCGGTCTCGATGGGTCGCAACGCCGGCTGCGAGTTCGTCGAGTCTATCTTCGGCCGCGATCGCGAGCTCGAAAACACCGAGAAATTGATGCACAGTATTCGAGTGTGGGATATGCGGTTTGACGCCAACTGCGAGGAGATTCTCCGACACCCGACCGCCTAGACTTCCTCAACCCTTTTTTCTGTCGTTTCTTTATACCGTCCTTACGGAAGGACTCACCAAAAGTATTGATATTTGGCTGCGGATTTGGAATGAATATCTGACAGCAACACGGACGGCGCAAGCCACGGCTTCTTTCTTGATTGATTCACGGATCCAGCGATGGGTGCATTTGAGCGCGTTTGTTTAGTTGGGATACATCAGTCAAAATGGCTGCTCGTTCTGACAGAGGCTCATTTTGACTGGCTCATTTAACTGGGCTCATATTAACCGGGGACCGCTATCAGCGCGGAGACCGGCATATCATTTTCCTATGTTTTCCCTATGTTTTATTTCCTTTGTCTACTACTAATTCTGTGGATGGATTTCTCGATCTTTTCTGTTACTGGTTCTGTTCGCTTCTTATTGATTGGCTTGTTCGCATCTGGCATTGCAAGTTTTGAGCCCGGCTGGCTTCTTTCCTGTCTTCGATGATACCATTTTGCGCTGACTCGCTAGCTTTTTTCTTCTTCTGCTTGATTTGTCGGGCTTGTTTTTGTTATTATTTGCAGTAGTAGATGGATTCGTTCGTTTGGTGCGTACATAGACCACACCCACTTATTTCTACCTTATCTAGATCAATATAGTCTCACTACCTATCTATAAGGTATACATGTATGATTGAGTAGATTCAGTATTCTAGAATATACTAAGAATGTACTGCATTCTAGAAACCCAATAGCTCGTATAGATATTAGGCTGTGATGCCTTAGGTCCTAACTATAGTATTAGGTAGGTAATCTGCCTTACAGGTAGTCGGCGATAATGTCTGTGGGTAAGGTAATGGGCACTGCCTAGTATATGCAGCTAGTGTGCGGCATGCGCCTCCTACGTAGTGTATATATGTAGGCAGACTTATAGGTGCTTGCGATGCTATTTATGTAGTGATCTGTGGGTGGTACTGTTCGTAGTGCGGTTGTTTCCCTCGCGGCGGATTGATAGTAAATGGGTAGATAGAAGCGATATCACGCAAGCTGCTAACATCTGAGGGAGTTATGAACCTGTAGTATCTGTAGACAAGGCTGAACAGAATGAAGCAATGATGGAGGTATACGTGATGGTTCTATTGGGCAACTAACCGGTCAGTTAGTACCCTAGTACCTGTAGGTAATAAGTAAGAAGTAGGTGAGGAAGCTGATCAGGCCAGGCCAGGCTTGCCATGCCACCAGTAGGCACTGAAGACAGCCTTGTCTGACCATGCACTATATATGCAGGGTGCATGCAGTTAGCTAATAGCGTAGATACTTCCTGTCTACAAGTATATACAGTTCGTATATGTATGTATATTGGTATAAAGCGTGTAATACGTACTGTATCATACTACATGTATCAGCGCCGCGGCGGGACTCGTGGATTACTAGGTAGTTGTCATCTGTCGCGATATAAAATAACAAGATTACTCACCGAGGGTAAAAGTGACATGATATTGTTTGTAGCCGAGTGGTATTCCTCCCCCACAGCCTCCTTCTTTGTCACTTGGGAATGCCTATTCTACCTGCTGCCTCATCTCAATCTTCATCTCCCCCACCCACCGTGGGCTTCCTACTTTAAACCACCATCAACAAGTCTCCGTCTTTATCTCCTGAATCCGATAATCCTCTGCTACAACTGGCAAAGGAAGTGAAGCAGGAGCCATTTACCACCAACCAGAGATTTAAAAAGTTCTTAGAAAACCGGCAACAAGCACTGCAACAGGATCAAAATGGGGATCAGTATGCGATATCGCGTTCACATCTGTCCCCCCAGCGCAATTATCGAACCTGCCGTGCCAGATCCTGCGCATGAACTTGCAATAAGATCCTTTGACTTTTCATCTCACTGGACCTACGTGTAATGAATAATTACTATAAGATAAGACTCTTTAGCTCAACAACGACCAGAGTGGGAAGCTGGAGAAAGGAATCCGACCCCTGAGATAATCATACAGACATGGGAGCTTGTTCTCCGCAGAGAGGGTGTCGTTACAAGATCATCCCCTCATTCCGCGTGTCGTACAGCGTCTCTCAAGCCATCTCGAACAAATGGCACGACACCTGTTACGGAGAGACTACCAGGACGGCGCTATCACAACTCCCACAAAGCTCACTCTTCCCTTGAGCAAGGTTGTTGGCCGTCTGTCTCGTCACCCCCGGGAAAGTGACTTAGTGACCCCCGAGCAAGACCTGACACATCTCGCTGAGGATATATAGAGTGAGCAATATCTCTTGTGAGTTGTTAAACGGGAAGCTTGAATTTGTGACGTAGGCATCGGGCAAGCCCCAGCGCCGGGCCAAACTCTCTGATGATCATCGAAATCCGGATCTGAATATGAAAAGGGCTCTTGAATATGTTGCGGATTGAGGCCCAACGAAGATGAACACGACAGCCTCATATACAGATTTAATTCTGTTAGGGTTCCAAATAATTGAATTTATTTGATATCATCTTGCATATAAGGCCTCCAATTAGATGTCGTGCAATCCCGGGACATATGTGTGTAATTTTATATATGTAACATGCATGTAATATGTATAGCATGGGGTAGGACTACCCTCCTTAGATAGCTAATTAATTACTGGTTGGTTGGCCTAACTTTATCGACGTCAGATCACAGAAGAAAGAACACCTGGCACCAGTGTGCTGCTGCCGAGGGTAGCCGGTATGTATATACTAAGAAAGGTAGGGAGGCTCCAATCCTCCGCTGTTTGTGATTAGTGGAGGGGTATAGTTCGGATTGGGCGGGTGGTGTGGTTATTGGTAGATGGAATGAGGCGAAGAACTACTTGCATTCATGTGATATTCCACGCATATTGAGTCTATACTTGTTCAAGGCTGGCATTTGAGTGCTTATTTCTACTTACTCAGTCATGTGACCATGGTGCCCTGACTGCAACCACTGGTATTGATCACAACACCCCGAGCCCGCGACACTGTCATTTCCCTCTAGTTCTGCCTTGGTCTGGATATGACGTGGTCGCTGTGAGTCATGCTGACTATCATCCATGTCAGGTTGGGACTCGTAATACTAGAGGTGGAAGATGACATTCACGCCGGGTTGAACTAGCGAGATGTATATTCTCTTATTGTGGCTGGACGGATGTTTAGTATCATGAGATGAGTTGTATATTAGGTTGTATATTACTGTTCATTGATGTGTGGGTCAATCTTTCGAATGTTTTGGTTTTATATTTCGTATATTGCTAGTCCTGATCATAACCCATATACAGCATACGAGTCAAAGTACTGTAGGGGTAGAGTCACTATCGACATAGATCTAGCCGTCTTAGATAGTCCAAATGTACCGGCATTTTGTTGCTTGTCTCTTGGAATCATCGGATGTCCCAGTAGCACATACCGCATAAACCATTCTCAACATCATAGGTGACTCGCATCATCCATCCATCTACAACCGATGCTGCCTGACCATCCATCCCAGCAACGATCCTAAAATCGAGCAAAGCAGAGAAATGACTAAAAAGATTAGCATCAGCCAGGAAAATTGTATAGAAGAAAAAACACACCATAAGTCCCCTGCAGCCCATCCACATAACACCGAACTACAACCTCGCGGAGTCGACCTTCCAGCCCAGCAATATAGTTCGTATCGGACACGGCGCGGCGAATAATCTACCCTTATCAGCCTATCCCAAAGACGAAGAAAAGAAACGAGAAACAAAGAAAAGAAAGTTACCTCATCCGCCTCAGGACCATGCAACCTTCTTCCTAACTCCCGCCGAAACCCCAACCCCAAAACCGCATTCGTGGTCGTAATCCCAGTCATTATAGCCAGACTGACCACTAGCATATACCCGCTCGTCGCCATCGCGACCTCACCTGGTTCCAGCAGCGCCGACATGGCTACAAATGCCGCCGCAGAGGAAATCCCCGAACCCAGCCCACCGGGCAAGATATTCAGCGACTCCCAGGGGGACAGGGGCTGGTCGCGCCAGCGGACGAGAAGCAGCGCGTAGGAGACGGCCGCGATCGGCCCTGCGATAATCAAGAGGAGCTTGTAGCGGCCCGTCCGACGGATGACGTAGCCGGCGAGCAAACCGCCGAGGGTATTCCCTGCGACGGAGGGAATCATGTGAGCGCCCGCGCGGGTGGTGGAGGCGCGCTGCGAGACTTGCATGTACAGCGGGACGGCGAACACCATGCCGATCTGGGCTGTGGACTGGAGGAAGGAGATGACGTAGGTAATGGGGACGTTGCGGTTCCTGTAGAGAATACGCAGGTCGAAGATGGGCTCTGGGGCGAGGGTCTTGGACGTCTCCACCGTGATGAAAAGTGCCCCTAGCGCGAGTCCGCTGCTGCTGAGGAGGAGCGCGGGCCATGAGACCCAGGAGAAGGCGTGACCGCCGCGGTCGAGGACCGTAATGAGGGATATGATTGAGGCTGCGAGGAGGGCGGTGCCGAGGAAGTCGACTCGTCGGATGGATGGGGCGTGGGTGGTGTCGGGAGGGGCGACTTGCAGTTTGGCGATGACTAGGATCGCGCCGGTTACGATGAATGGGATTTGCAGGAGGAAGAGCCTGGTTTGGTGAGAAGAATTCTAGTTGTCGGGGTGCTTTGATAGAAGGAGACGCACCATCTCCAGCCGACGGCGTCGGTCAGCCAACCTCCAAGTGGTCCACCGACACTGCGGCCAAGTGTCATGGCGATGTTGATATAGGCGCGCCACGAGGCGAGTTCGCGCCGAGGAACAATGTCTTCTCGAGTGAGTCATTGAGTTAAGCCCTTGGAGATGACAAGGCTCACCAGTAATTATCACCGACCCCAAGGTCATGATGCCAGCCCCACCAATGCCACTGACGGCACGGCCGAGAATCACCATCCACAGACCGTGGCCGATTCCCCTTTAGACGTTAGTGAGGTTTCTCGCTAGCGAGATAGTATCAACCCACGAGATCAAACATCCAATTGCGAAGAACGCATATGCTACGAGAAGAACGGGCTTTCTGCCGTAGATGTCGCTCAGTTTTCCATACTGGTTGGTCGCGTCAGCCCATGTTCTTCGGGATCGCTCGACGCGTCGCTCTACAGTACCATGGGTTGCGCCGCACAGAGACTCAGCATGTACCCTGTAGATAGCCAGCTTGCGTCCTGGAGGCGCTGGAACTGGGACGAGATAGGTGCAGCAGCAGCAATGACCAGCGTGCCGTCAGCACTGGTGATGAACTCGCCTGGGTGCGTCAGTATCTGTTCAAACCCGCGAAATCTCAAATCCTACCAAGGAGTAAAACACCCACTACAGTAGACACACTGGTCAACAGTTTCACGGATTGTTCTGTATGCGCCGGCCGCGCAAGAAGAGGATCCTCCTCGTCGACCCCGCCATGTTGGACGTATGGCTGGCGATCATCATTGGCAATCGTCTGGTATGACGAGTGGTGCTCGCGCGGTGCCTTATCCACCGCTGTCATAATGATGTTGTGAGATGTGACAGTAAATCATTTTCAAAATCAAACTATTATCAAGGAACAAGCGGTGGACGGTCTGCAGTGGTCTTGATGATAAATCAAGCGGTTGATACAGTGTACTCATTGCGGTGCAAAAGCACGCAATTGAATTAGCTCGAAAATCATCTATTAGTAGGTTATTTGGGATATTATCTTGTTTAAAGAGACACTATGACTCTCTATAACAATATCTACCTCAAAATTCTGGATATTGCAATAGACGGTGGTGGGGCAGTCATGAAGGCTAACCCTAACATGGTACGGGGAGTCTTGACTATAAAAGAACAGATCTATCACTGCATCTAAGTTATGATAGTTGCAGAAAGAGTCTGATTCACACCTGTCAGAGGTCACTATGGATAAATTCAATTGAAGGCCTGGAATTTATCACTGGCAGTGTCCTGAACCGGAGCCAGACAGTGAATGCTCTCCATGGATTTGAATTTCAGAGACTTTACACTTACCAAGTCATATTCTCCAGACTAGCTATATCCTTTGCAGCCAGAGTACTTTTCATGTATCTACCATCTTAACAGACATGCTGATCAAAACAATGACCAGACAATATAAATATACTCAATATGATGAACCCAAACCTGAACTAATACTCCACTTGCCTTGTTATACAATGCCACAAAAACACGGCAAGACCCATGAAGGTAGATATCAACCCTCATCCACCGATATACCGGTTGTTTTTGCTTTCTCTTTCGCAGTCTCAAGGCGTGCAGGCAGCCCGGCTCGACTTCTCCACAGATTTGTCTCTCCACGATTCGTGCAAGATACACTACCTCCGTGACCACCAGCGCCTCACAGACTTATAAACCAATAATCAGCAAGCACCGAGATGTGTCAAGACAAAGCTTAGTGAAAAACTAGGAAAGTCTATGATCAATGCTATGAGGCTTCTCTAGGACATCATTGAATGAAAATATCTTAGCTTATAACAAGAGACTAGGTGTGACTAGTAGGGCTGCTTTCAAGGATTATACATTTTTTACACGGGTAGTCTACACAGGCCTACACATCACAAATTTGGTATATGCAGAATAAATTCATCTCTATAATTATTACTACTAGGGCGTATATACACGCGCTCCAAATCAACATCAGAGTATGATCTCGATGCTCACCCGTACACACCCACAAACTACCATAGTCTAATCTATAACATCACATTTACAATCACTTCGTCTCCTGAGTGGTCTCCCCCGGCCACACCAACCACGCCAGAGCAACCACAAACTTTATCCCCGCAGCCATCCACAACGCCGACTCCATCCCCCCACTGCTCCGACTCAGCCACCCACCCGCAATGGCCCCCACCAACAGCGCCACGACGCCCCCGACGCGACGGTTGCGCTTAACATTCGTCAAGGGCCCGCGCACTATCTGCGGATCCGTCGCCACATCGAAGTAAACGCTGGTCAAGACGACGGTGGGGATCTCGGAGTAGCCTAGCGCGCGACTGGCGGTCATGGCGCCGGCGGACTGGAAGGCGAGAAGCGCGATGGGGATGAGTTCGAGGAAGAGCGGGCCCGACTGTAAGGTCATGTCGGCGGGAGTGTGCGGGATGAGGTCGGCTTCGATGAGGGCGACGGCGATGACGACGAGGATGGCCTGCACGAGGAAGGAGACGAAGAGGGCGACGCGGGAGCGGGCCCCGACGCGGCGCGTGACGGTCGAGAAGATGAGCGCGCCGAGGAAGAAGCCGACGATGGAGACGAGGGATTTGAGCCAGCCCCAGGGTTTGTTGTCCGGTAGGTTGGAGGCGCCTAGCCCGAGAAAAATGGTGTTTCCTGTGCGGGTCAGTTTGGTTCGGGGTCTGTGTTTGGAATGAGAGCGGGGGGAAGGAACGTACCTGTTTGCATGGCGAGGAAACAGGACCATGCGTTGTAGGCTGCACTGTCGCAGAGGCCTGTGTTTAGACACAGGAGCAGACAGATCAGGTCGGCATTGCGGGGGTCCACTGCTTGCTTCCACCGGTGGATCCGGGACGGGCGATGCGCCTCGAGATCTGCTGTCATGATGGTCGTCGGGTGCGTCGTCACTTTATCCTCCATTGCTTTCAAGGATTCCAGGCGGGAAAGAGGTAGAACGAAGCAGGGTAAGAAGAGATCTGGTGGTGGACGCCAAGGGTTGTGGGGATGAGTCAAACCGAGGTGCAAATTTTCGCGACGGATACTAACGATTGGCGCCGGAGCTGTTCCGATACGGGTTCGCGGTGTAGCATTCTTTCCGACATCCTAGACACCTTGCCCGCACTCTGGCATATTTGACGCATGACAGTCGAGCAGTCAGGTCAGGGTTGTGAAGGATTCTATTCTTGTTCCAAACGTCGACATCCAGACCACTGCCAGACAAGCGACATGGATGCTGCACGGTGGATCAGCTCCACGCCCCACCGATAGGGCTGAAGTTATATTTGATTGGCGATGCCTGTGTATCACATTGTTGGGGATCGGTAGATTGGTTGATAACCTTCAATCCCAGACTGATCCCCATGTACCATGGCAATTCTATCTGATATCACAACGATATCGAAAACGATACAAGTTCAGATCAGTGGACGGAGATGAGATGCGAGTATGATTACTAATCGTGTGCGGATGGATCTTTACGGGTCCTTCCGATCCGCTCCGATCGATCTGGATGACTTCAAGATCCAATCCCATCGGATTAGATTCCAATTGTCCTTCGACTTCATGGTTGTGTCAGTATTAGAGGCAAGAGTGATACAAGAATGACATAGTCAGTACAGCAGACAACTTGCCACGTAGCCAAGCTAACATTTGCTCTACTTCATCAGCCTAGGCTGAAGGAACAATGAAATCATCATCATCCATCGATCAGAAACTCAAATCCACCGGTCAACGCATCAGCGACCCCGGTTTCTGGGGCATCCCTGGTGCGGAGAGGGGAGGAGAGCGCCATGTCGGCGTCATCACCGCATCATGGCCTTGCCACCGCAGTCGTAAAACACGCCCATCTCCCGCTCCAGGGACACTCTATCAAAGCAATACCGTGAAGAGGAATCTAGCAGTGTTTCTATCCACACCAAGTACGTTTTGTCTTTGAAATTTGACTTACTCTGGCGATCTAACGTTTTTTAGAACATCCACCATGGACACAGCCAAGCAGTACGCCCGATCGGCTCAACAAAAAGCCCAGGAGAAGACCGGCATGGACATGGGTGCTTCCAACCCCCATCAGCCCGACGTCAACAAGTTGAACCCCGAGGAGTACTTCGAAACCACTGTCGATAAGGACGGCCACATCGTCGATGACCGATATGCGTTCACGGATGGCGAGAACATTGGCAAGGGCAGAAGGGATGAGGCGGATGCCTTCGAAGCGGCCACGAAAGATTTTGAGTAAATTGGTTGCATATGCATAGGGGGTTATTACTGAGGCACACTCTTTACTCGTGTCAGATAGCAAACCATAACGAAATGCCAGTCAATCAGTAAATATCGAACATGCTGTCCGACATCAGATGGAGCGTCGTAGAGATCTATAGGATTGCCATGGTAACGTCATCCGTCGCCAAGTCATCGCCGCCCCAGGCACCAACCTGCCTGATCAGGCAAAATCCAAACCAAGGAGTCTTGATCTCCAACTTGACCTTCATCTTCATCCACATTCCATCCATCATTCATTCGTGTGGGCTCATCTATGCTCTGATTTTCAGGGTTGACATTCTTTATCCCCTCTTTCTTCATTTGGATTATTCCTTCCCTCCCCCCTTTCATGGTTTTCTACTCCTTCCTTCCTCCACTATTATAGACCCACGGATGCACTTCGCACGGCCCGTTCCCTTACGACTTCCTCGCAGCTCTTCTTCTTTATCATCCCGGCAGTGACGATCCTTTGGGATCCACTGGTACACCGGCCTGTATGTACCATCATCTATTGCTTCGCCATCGCGACGCCGTCGCTCAGTTTATACAGTTTTTGACGCTTCACAGCCGGGAGATGTCCCTGGACCCACGTCTCTACCATTCCCTGGGTCCGGGCCCCGGCCTGGGCTCGCAGTCGTGCGCCTCGACCTCCGGCATGTCGTCAGTGACGGGCATCACCACTCCCTCCGCCTACTCCACCACCGCTTCCTCCGCCGCCCTTCGTTCCACGGCTTCTAGCCCGTCCCTGCGCGCCCGTCAGGGTGTCGCGGTATCCGCGCGAGGCGATGGCATAGCCAGCCCGTCGCCTGCGGGCAACGTGCGCGTAGTGGTCCGTGTCAGGAATTTCCTACCTCGAGGTGGGTTACTCAGGGAGGACGAGCGAAGTTCTCCCCATGCCCCGAGATTAATGGCTAATGGAGTGCAGAACTCGCGCGCGATGCCCCGTGTCTGATCACCATGGACCCTGACACCCAGATGACGAAACTCGAAGCCCCTCCCAATCATCAGGACAACGGAAAGCCCAAGTCGCAGGCGCGCGGCAAGGTGCTCGAGGACAAATCGTTCATCTTTGACAATTCGTTCTGGTCGCATGATGAGGACGACGCGCACTACGCCGGACAGGAGGACGTCTACAACTGCCTGGGTGAAGAATTCCTGGATCACAACTTTGAAGGGTACCACACGTGCATCTTCGCCTACGGACAGACGGGCTCCGGCAAGAGTTACACCATGATGGGCACGCCCGACCGCCCCGGGTTGATCCCGCGCACCTGCGAGGACCTCTTCGACCGCATAGAGGGCGCACAGTCGCCGGATGTCAGCTTCAACGTGCGCGTCTCCTACTTCGAGGTCTACAACGAGCACGTCCGAGACCTCTTGGTGCCGCGCACCGATCCGCCGCACTACCTGCGCATTCGCGAGTCCCCCGCAGAGGGCCCGTACGTTAAGGACTTGACCGAGGTGACGGTCCGGAACTTCACAGAGCTGATGAAGTTCATGCGCAAGGGGGATGTGTCGCGGACCACGGCCAGCACCAAGATGAACGACACCTCGTCGCGGTCCCACGCCGTCTTTACCATCACGTTGAAACAGATCCACCACGACCTGTCGACAGACGAGACCACGGAACGCACCGCGCGCATCCGACTGGTCGATCTGGCCGGCTCGGAACGGGCCAAATCCACCGAAGCCACGGGTCAGCGTTTGCGCGAAGGCTCCAACATCAACAAGTCCCTAACAACACTAGGCCGCGTGATCGCCGCGTTGGCTGACCCACGCGCCGGGGGGGCGCCGCGTCCCGGCGGCAAGCGCAAGGGCCGGGACGTGGTGCCATACCGAGACTCGATCCTCACGTGGCTGCTCAAAGATAGTCTGGGCGGAAATTCCAAGACAGCCATGATCGCGTGCATATCGCCGACGGATTACGAGGAGACCCTGTCGACGCTACGGTACGCGGACCAGGCCAAGCACATCCGCACGCGCGCGCGCGTCAATCAGGACCACCTGTCGGCGGCGGAGCGCGACCAACAGATCGCCGAGATGGCGGAGACGATACGATCGCTGCAACTCAGTGTATCGCAGGCGGCAGCCAACCGGCGCGAAACTGAAATACAGACGGAACGGCTTGAGGACTACCAGTCGCAGGTCGAGAAGATGCAGCGCCTAATGGAGGAGACCAAGATGGTCAGCGAGTGCAAGATCCGTCAACTGCAGACGGAGAACGAAGCGATGCGAAATCACCTCAAGCTAGCCCTGGACAGCCTCCGGAATCCGATACCCCCGGTGACGATCGAGCCGCGACGCGGCCGCGAGAGTCTCTCCCCGGTGTGCGAATCACCACCCTACGACCTGGAGCGGTCGGGGTCGCCCGACTGGCAAGGCACGCCCGATCTGGTCTGGGAGGACGGGGCTGCCACCAGCGATGGAGACGCCGACGCGCAGGAGATGCAAGCCGACATGGAGAATCTCCTAGGCGATCTGAGCATGTTCAAACGCAAGCTGGCCACAGACCACGAACGGTTCCGACATCCCAACCCGGCAGGGCGCAGGAAAAGACGGGCATTGGGGGATATATGGACCAATACGCGATGATAATTTCTTCCCTTCTTCTTTCTCAAATGTTTCAATTCCCTGTTAGGTCGGATGTCTCTTTGGCGTTGGGTGGGATTATGGTGCGGTTGTCTTTGCTTATGACTTTATGTGATTATGCATGCCATGCTGGGTCATTATGATAAATACTTTCCCCTTCTTTTTTCTTTGACATTATGGATAATTCTTCGTGGGTTTCTTCGTGAATGGACATGAGATTTGTAGACAAGCTCGTTCTACCATAGCTTCAATTCGCAGCTTGAGAACATACATGTCATACGATGATTAGAAGTGGCATGGTATCTTTGGTTTTGCCTTTTGTATTATCATCGGTGTTCCCTAGGTCTTATTCCTTCTCCAGTGGGTTTGAGGCTGGAAGACATAGGCCCAGTCAAGCGTGGGGAGCAGGTTGCATAAAGTTCTTCATGCATTATATGGAGACCGTATACCCCATGTGAGATCGTTGAGACAAAATCAAAGCATTTCGAGAATTGCCAGTTTGCCTGGAATAGTCCATTTGGTCTGACAGCCAATCCAACGTTGTTATCCCAGGACGGGCAGTCAGAGGTCTCTCGAGAAGACAGTCTGCAGGATAGAAGTAGAAGTGAGGTGGAAGATGATCGGTATCAAGTCATGTGATATGCATAATAGCGTTATGTTTATGCAACATGACTAACATGCACGCTGGATGCATCATCTGATTTTCATTTGAGTCATTCACATCGATCCACTTCACGCCAATATTCTTCCATTCCAATCACCTCCTGCCTTTGGTTTCTTGATCCCTCCACTCCACTTGGGGACTAGTCGTGGGTTCAATTGCTCGCCCACTCTGACGGCCAATTTCTAACCCCCCTCCCCTCCTTCCACTCTATCTCCCACCATGTCCACCCCCGATCCGGCACGACCCCCCACCACAACGCCCACCCCTCCGCCCACCCAGCAACCAACCCCTCCAGCCGAGATGTCCGCCCCCGCAGACAAGAAACCCGCCGCCGACTCAGCGGCAGAGAAAGTATCCGGCGCGGAACTCAAGAAGAAAGCCAAGGCTGAAAAGGCCGCCCGTCGCGCCCGCGAGCGCGCCGATCGCGAAGCCACCGGCGGGGCACCCGGTCCCAAGGACGGAGCGGGCAAGAAGGGCGCCGGCGCGGGGGGTGCAGCCGGTGGTAAGGACGCCGGTGCGGGCGGTCAGAAGGGCCAGCGTCAGCAGCAGCGAAGGGGGTCGACGCAGGGCGGCACCGAGGCGAAGAAGCGGCCCGTGGAGAACAAGAATGTCGCCGTCTTTGGGCATCTGTATGGACAGCCGCGGCGCACGAGCGTCGCGGGTGCTGGGAAGGAGGTGCATCCGGCTGTGTTGGCACTGGGTCTGCAGATGAGGGACTATGTGGTGTGTGGGAGTAGTGCGCGCTGCGTTGCTACCTTGTTGGCTTTCAAGCGGGTATGTCTATTTCTTCTCGTTCTAATCCACTTCTATGGGACAACAGCTTATTCATTGAACAGGTCATCGAGGCGTATACCACCCCTCTCGGAACTTCGCTCTCCCGACACTTGACCACCCACCTCTCGCACCAGATCACCTACCTCTCGACGTGTCGCCCGCTGTCCATCAGCCAGGGCAATGCGATCCGCGCCCTGAAACTGGAGATCGCGTCCATCGACCCGTCCGTCCCCGAGGCCGAAGCCAAGGCCGTTCTCAGCGAATTTATCGACAGCTTCATCCGGGAGAAAATCACAGTCGCGGACCAGGTGATCGCCGGCAGCGCGGCGCAGAAGATCCAGGACGGCGACGTCATCGTCACGTACGCGGGCAGCTCGCTCGTCAAGCAGACGCTGCTCGCAGCAGCCCGCGAGGGCAAGCGATTCCGTGTGTCGGTGATCGACTCGCGCCCGCTGTTCGAGGGCAAGAACCTGGCGCGCACGCTAGTCGCCGCGGGACTCGACGTGCAGTACACGCTTGTCCATGGCATCAGCCACGCCATCAAGGACGCCACCAAGGTGTTCCTGGGCGCCCACGCTATGACCAGTAACGGCCGCTTGTACTCGCGGGTCGGAACGGCCCTTGTGGCCATGTCGGCTAAGGAGCGCGCGGGCGGCGTCGAGGTGCCCGTCATCGTGTGCTGCGAGACCGTCAAGTTCACGGACCGGGTTGCACTAGACAGTATCGTGGTCAACGAGCTCGCCGACGCCGACGAGCTGGTGGAGGTGCAGGCCCCGCAGCAGCTGACCGGGCTACCCGACCCTGCCGCCGCCGCCGCCGCCGCCGCTGCCGCAGAGCAGGAAACCAAGAAGGGTGGGAAGTCCAACCAGACAGCGCACAGTGCTCAGAATGCGGGGACCGAATTTCCGTCCGATGCCTCACCGCTGGCGAACTGGAAAGAGACGCCCAATCTGCAGCTGCTGAACATCATGTACGATGTGACACCGGCGCAGTACGTGGACATGGTAGTGACGGAGATGGGGAGTCTGCCGCCCAGCGCGGTGCCTATTGTGCACCGGATGAGTACGAATATGTGATTTTCCTAAGATCAGTATTGTCATGATAGATAGAATGGGTTATACAATCCCTAAGGTACCTCAGTAGTGGTCCAGCATAGACATAGGAATAGGCGGTGAGGTTCTGCCGTACTTTCGTATCTAATCTCCATCAATCCATCCAAAACACCACTCCAGCGAAGTACACAAGACCATAAACAACCAGTTACAACGGAACCACGCAGCGCGCATTCAACACAGACACATACCATCCCTTCAAAATGGCTCGTAAACCCATATTAACACCAATCCAAAAGTTTAACCAACTAACGCCCCCCATAGAGCAAAGACTCAACAGCAACCTACCTGCACATGCACCACCCGCACCTAGCAGACCACTTCGAAGACTTCACGCGCCCACACACCTCCCCCTTCTCCTCAACAACCACCTCCTCCACAAACTTCGCAGCATCAACATCCTCCCCCTCCCTACCCACTCCCCACCCCACAACAACGACAACGACAACGGCGGGCCCCAACGGCGCCCCGACAACAACAACCCACACAGTCACCTACGGCAACAGCGGCTCAACAACAACGACGATCCCATCTTTCTTGCCCATCGAAGACGTGTACGTCGCGCCGCAGTTCCAGCCTCCTAACCCCGAAGACGAGGACGATGTGGTTCCTGATCAGCATGCCGCGTTTGGGATTACGAGGGCGATGGAGAGGAGGCGGGAGGGGGTTTGGAGGGATTTGGGGCTGGAGGGGTTGGTGAGTTCTGGGGGCGCGGGTGGTGGGGGGAGAGGAGGTGCTGGAGGGAGGGGAGGGGGGGCTGTTGTTAGGGTTAGGGACGGAGGGAGGCTGATGGGGGGGAGGAGGGGGGTTGTCATGATGCGGTGATCCTTTCTTTCTTTCTTTCTTACTTTCTTTCTTACTTTCTTTCTTACTTTCTTTCTTACTTTCTTTCTAGTGATTGTATGATATGGTAATGAGGTATGTGGTTATATGAAGGTATGGTTAATGAAGATGATATAATACCGGAGAATATAAAGTAAAGTACTGGGTCGTAATGTATAAAGATAACCAACGCCATTCCATAATTCAAGCAATCAACTTAGATCCGTTTGATATCAACGCGCCCCCGCTCCCACAACTTGTGACTGACATGCTTCTGTTCGCGCTCGTCCTCCGCCAGCTCGCGCGGGTGGATCGCCAGCTGCGCGTACGTCCCCGGGGCGCGGCGCTTGGACAGCGTCCCCGGGTTGATGACCAACACGCTGTCCACGACCTTGACGAACGGCGGCAGCGCGCTCGGCACGATCAGCACGTCCGGCCGCACATTCCACCACTCGCCCAGCTTCATGTAGCTGGCGTCGAGCATGGCGCCCGTCCCCGACAGGCTGGGCTGCGACGTCGGCGGGAAGACTGGCTGGAAGTGTCGCTGCTCGATCAGGTACTTGGATAGCCGCGACAGCAGGTTACCCTCGGCGGGGCGGCCGTGCAGGACTTCCTCGCGGCGCAGGTCGGAGAGCACGTCGTGCGCGCTAATTCCCACTACCGTTTCGTTGAGGGATAGTGTTACCGGGTTGGACACCATGCGGACTTGCTTCGGCAGGCCGAGCTCTTTCTTGCCGAGCTGCTCTTGTGGCCATGATACGTGTCGGCTGACGGCGTCGCGCACGGAGGGGATCATCATGATTGTCACGTTGGGGACTGCCGCGACGAGCCGTTGGAGTGGGGCGGTCACGCAGTGGCGGAATACCGTCGCGAGGGTGGCCGTGTCCGGGTCGAAGCCCGGCGTGCCCTCGAGAAGGTCAAAGTCCCCTGCGGCGACGTGTGGGTGCTCGATGTCCAGGAACGGGCCCAGCAGGACGAGTGCATCCGCCCCGCTGTCCACGGCGTTCTTGCACAGCTCGTTCAACGGTTCGAAGGCGAGGTTGTCATCTGCCGTGTAGGGGCCTGTCGCGACGACCACGTTCAGCGGGGACGATCCGCCGGTTGCTTCGAGTCGCTCGTTGACGTTGTCGATGGTCACCGTCGAGGAGGCGGCGGGTGGCAGTAACGGCGTGGGGAGGACCTCCTTGACGGAGAAGTAGTTCCCGGACGCGTTGATGCCACGGAGGGCGACGATCTGGCCCGGGAAGAAGTTGGCTGACGGGATGGAGTCCACGTTGAGCGGCACGCGGAGGCCCGCCCCCATGCGTCGCGACGTTTCCAGAACCAGCGACGCCGGGTTGAGTTTGCCCTCCATGGTGTCGGAGGCGACGCGCCCGATCGCGACGATCTCACTGGTGCTCTGCGTGCCTGCGCTGCCGATCGTGATGTCCTCGGAGGCGTAGTGCTTCTCGAACAACGCCGTGAACTCGTCGATCCGGTCGTCGAGGATCTCGGACACCTCGGCGAGGCGCATGGCCATGGGCTTGTACGCAAACTTCTTCAGGTCCGTGTTGGCGGTTGGTTTGATGCGTGATTCCGAGTATGGCGCCAGCGGGGGTTCGGGGGGTGGCAGGTGGGGGTTGAGGGTCTCGACGGTTTGGCCGGGGTTAGGGCGGTCCGCGAAGGGAATCGACCTGCTATGTGTTAGACGGTGGTATGAATGAACGGTGCAGTCGCAACATACTGGGTGTCTGCCGAGCTAATACTACTACCGTTGGCCAGTTTACTCGGGGTTTTCGCACCAGGCGACTCCAGGCCATTCATCCTGCCCATTTTCGGGACCGTGGGGGACGAAAAGTCCGCCCTCCGTTTGGCACCATTGGCGCTGTTAGGTGTCCGACCATGCGCTGCTCCGGGGGTCAGACCGTCGAGCCTGGACACATCAGCCTCTCATCACCAACGCTTTTGGGACCTGATTCCGACCTACATGCCGAACACATCGGACGTGGTAGCGGCTCGCGGGGTTGCTGTCTGCGAAAGCTTCTTCTCGGTCGTCTGTCGCCCTCCGCGGCCGCGAGTCTCGCGCTCGAGACCGTCCTGAACATCTCGTTTGAAGAGACGCACCGTTTCGAGATCCATCTTCGTCTCCTCCCCCATCTTCAAACAGTAGGACTCCCATTTGTAGAATAGTTCCTGTGGGGCGATCGAGTGGACGCGGAGAATGGACTGTAGCTCAGTGAGAATATCTTTCGGGAGGCCATCGGGGGTCGCGGGAGCGAAGAGCTCATTGATCTCCGCCGTGTCACCCATGACTATCTATCAATCAGGTTTCTCGAGGGTCTGGGGTAAAAAGATGATGCCAAATGCGAAGAGGTCGGCGCGTCCCGCGATCTCACGCGTTGGCTCCATTAAAGACCGACCGCCTTCCGAAAGTAACCGACCGCCTTGATCTGCCGGATAAACCCAAACAGGAAATGCGCAAAAAGACCGAATTCTCACCAGAGCAAATCTATTTCTGTTCTGGTCCAATGGTAAGAATAGGATCGGCCAGGGATCTGTCGATCTCGGATGATACTCGAATCATGCCGAGAAAAAACGTAATTTTAAAAAAGATGGAAAAAAGCAAAGAAGGAGAATCTGCCGCATGAAACAAACCGGTCAGAGAGTGGACACGTTCGATGCTTCTATAAGAGCTTCCACAGCCCCCTTTGCCTCGTCTTCCTCCCCGGTCGGTCTTTTTTTTTTGAACAATTCCAACCCAACACACATTGATCCATCATGACTACTTCCTCCGAAACCCCTGTCAGCACGGCGGTCTCTCCTGAGGCCGTTCCCAACGGCAGTCAACTGTCCCTCCCCGTGTCCGCGGCCGACGGACTCGTCCAGAAACCGTTCGCTCTCCCCCTGGATACCTCCAAGCCCGAAACGCCGGCCCCACTCACGGCCGACCAACAAGCCAAATATGACACCGTGTTGAGAGCAGTTTCCCAGTGGACGACGGTGCCGACGACGGCGGCGAAGAATGCCGCGGTGGAGCCCATCACCGACGACGAACGCCTGTTCCTGACGCGCGAGTGCCTGCTGCGATACCTGCGGGCGACCAAGTGGAACGTGCCCGAGGCGATCGGGCGGCTGCAGCGCACGCTGACCTGGCGGCGCGAGTACGGGGTCGCGAAGCTGACGGAGGATTACATCTCGGTGGAGAACGAGACGGGGAAGCAGGTGATTCTGGGGTACGACATCCACGCGCGGCCCTGTCTGTACCTGCTGCCGTCGAACCAAAACACGGAGAAGAGCGACCGACAGATCGAGCATCTGGTGTACATGCTGGAGCGGGTGATTGATATCATGGGGCCCGACCAGGAGACGCTGGCGCTGATCGTCAACTACAACGAGACCAAGTCGGGGCAGAACGCCAGCGTCGGCCAGGCCAAGCAGACGCTGAACTTCCTGCAGAACCACTATCCGGAGCGGTTGGGGCGCGCCTTGGTGATCAACAGTATGCCCTCTTTTCTTTATTTTCTCTGCCTGATCATTGGATTGATATACTGACAATGAGACAAATGATAGTGCCCTTCATGGTCATGGGTTTCTTCAAGCTGATCACCCCGTTCATCGACCCCCACACGCGCCAGAAGCTCAAGTTCAACGAGGACCTGTGCCAGCACGTCCCGTCGGGTCAACTGATGAAGTCCATGGGCGGCGATGTCGAGTTCCGCTACGACCATTCGATCTACTGGCCCGCGATGACCGCGATGGCCGATCAGAAGCGCCAGGCCTACCGCGAGCGCTGGGTTCAAAACGGCAAGCATATCGGCGAGTACGAGAATTATTTGAAGACGGGAGAGGGGCCGCGCGTGGCGGCGGGCGAGGAATCGACTGCATGATTTTTTTTTCCTTTTGTCTTGTCTTCTCTTTTCTTCTGTCCTTTTTGTCCCCATTTTTTGTCTTTTCCTTAATACTCCTATCGTTGATATCACAGATGAGCTTGCTTGGTTCGAATCCGGCGTCGAGTGCATGCATGGTTGATTTGATCTTGATACGGATCGTTTATAGATATAGATTCAACGCTGACTGAATGTCGAGTCGTGTATATGCCTTCTATATGATCGGTCGATAATAGAGCAGACGGCGCATTCAACGTCTGCTCCCACATTCCCTTCCTCCAGTTCGTCTCCATCGTATCCATCGTCTCCATCTACAGGTATATAGATATCACGTGACTAACGGGGCTGTACTTTCTACGACGAGGGGTCGATAGAATCCGAGGGGTATATAGTATTACCAGAGGTTGCAGTGGAGTGCCTGTCCGGGGTACTTCAGGAGCATGTACTTGTAGTCGTGCTGTTGATACTTAACAGTGATATAGTGATATAAATCTCAATAGCCCAATGCATACAGGATCAGATACTTCCCCACGAATTAAGGAAGAGGATGAATATGGATCAAATATAAATATATCAAATTTCATATTAGATACCAATAGAACCTGAAAATATAGAATCAAATCAGGTAATATAGAAGAATCAATTGTATAGGACGATCATACCCAACCGGGTCACCGCCCCCGCCAGACTGTCCAACTCCACCGTCATCCTCTCTCTCTTCTCTCTCTTTCTCCCCTCATTTCAATCTTCCCCCAGAGCTCTCGACACGATCCACAACCTCATCTCTCCTAATCACCTCTCAACTTCAACACTACTTGTCCTTTACCCTTTCATATTCGAATCACGATCAACAATCTTCCATTCGCGACACCCCTCCAATGCCCCCCACCCAGCCCGACAGGGCCATCGATCGCGAAGAGCGCGAGGGTCTGGTGAGTCCCCTATCCTGTTATATATTTCGTGTTTTCTCCTTAGCATGAATTGAATATCGCTGTTCCTGTTTGCTCCTTTCTTTTATATTTTTCCTTTTGTCATCTGGCTGGACTTTTTCTGTTTTCATCCTAGTTTTTCTTCTTCCCCTCTGGCGGGTCCTTGCGGCACCTTGCGACCTCCGTGAGAGCTGCAGCCCCTGCATGTCGCCTGTAAATTTCTTTCGCGACTTGTCAATTGTCAAAATCCGGAGAGATCTTGACTAATAGAGTTTCTTCTCCCCTTCATATTCTCTGTAGCGCGCCATTCGCATCTTCCTCAAGGCCCGGACCAGTTATGATGTCCTTCCGCTTAGTTTCCGCCTCATAATTTTCGACACCTCCTTGTCCGTTAAGGAGTCTCTAAATATCCTCATTCAAAATGGCATGTTCTACTTCTCCCCGTTCGCGCAACGCGCCGAGTCGTGGGCTCGAAATTGGGTTTTATGCTGACGTCGGCCCCTTGCTGGGTGTCACCGTTAGGCATCGTCTCCGCGCCGTTATGGGACTCCAAGTCCTCCACCTTCGCCGGTCTGCTGACCACCTCCGACTACATCAATGTCATTCAGTACTACTTCCAGAACCCTGCCGCTCTGGATCAGATCGATCAGTTCCGATTGGATAGTCTTCGAGGTGCGTCGGTTCACGTGTTCTGCCACGCCCCGCGTGCATGACGAGAAACCCTAACAAACAGCGGTCTAGAGGTCGAAAAAGCGCTAGGCGTCGCGCCTCCAGAGACCATCTCCATCGATCCCGAACGCCCCCTGTACGAGGCCTGTCGCCGCATGCTGCAGTCCCGCGCCCGTCGCATTCCCCTTGTCACCAACGACAGCCAGACCGATCGATCCCACGTCCTCAGCGTCGTCACGCAGTACCGCATCCTCAAGTTCGTCGCCGTGAATGTCAGCGACACGCAGCGGTTGCGCAAACCGTTGGGTGAAATCCTCCTGGGCACCTACGACGATCTGGCCACCGCCTCTGTGGATACCCCGGTCATCGACGTGATTCATATCTTTGTGGAACGAAGCATATCCAGCGTGCCGATCCTGAATTCCGAAGGTACGAGGGTCCTGTCCCGAGCGCGTGTGTCCGCCGTACTGACGTGCGCTAGGTGTTCTCTACAATGTTTTTGAGGCGGTCGACGTGGTGACCCTAATCAAAGGTGGCGTGTATGATGATTTGAGTCTGACGGTGGGCGAAGCGCTGAAAAAGCGATCTCCGGTGAGTTTGCATCCCAAATTCAGCCTGTGCCAGGACTACCCCCCGGCTGATCTTTTTTTTTTCCCCAGGACTTTCCCGGAATCTACACATGCTCGTTGAACGATGGGCTGGACACCATCTTCGACACCATCCGCAAGTCTCGCGTGCACCGACTGGTCGTGGTAGACGACAATTTCCGGCTGAAGGGCGTCCTCACACTCAGCGACATCCTGGAATACATTCTCCTAGAGGGTGAAAGTGACGAGTCATGGCGGCCTCATTAAAGAACGCTCAGGCGTACAAATTGCATGGGAATGGCGTTCTTCGAGTAGCTTCCAGTCTCTGGCTGGCAGCGGACTATGTGTTCCACAGCGGGTTATTGTGAATTGAAAAGATAAGCAAAGAAGATATGGTACGGTACGGTTGATCTAGATGGGAACCGCACCGGCCAGGATCCAGCATTGGCGTTCGGTTTGAAATAGACTTTATTCTGTTTATATAAATTCCTTACTTGTTGCTTTAGAGTCATGTCATATCAACACTGTCTTTGATTCATACTGCTTTCCATGAGGTCTTGGCACCTGCTCCCAGTGAAGGGTCGTATACCAGGGAAGCAACGAAGCGCCGTCCCATTACCCTGAACCAGTCCACTGACCAGTGAATGCGTGCAAAACACGACATTGGCTGAAATAGAGAATACCTAGGATCAGTCACATCCAAGGAAGGGACGACCTTGAAAACCTTAGTGGTTCTCACAACGACGTCCTCCATCTACCCAGTACGTTGCCAACACACCGGCAGACGCATCTTTTTTTCATGAATTGAAATTGTCTACATTTGTTGCACAAAAATGGGACGACTCTTGGAAAACTTATTCTCCCGGCGGTCGGGCGTGACTAGCACTGAGTTTGGATCCCCCCTGCTCCGCCTGGATGAGAGGTCAGATGGTGGTATGCCGCATCGACTTCTTGGGGCATCGTCATCGAGAGAGGCTGTGGAAAGGTCGATGGCTTGCGGATTGCAGAATGCGCCGTGCGAGGGAGATATTAATTTCGATCGGTCGGCTCGGCGACTTCACCCTGCCAGCTCGGCTCGACATCGGGGATCCCCCAGAACTGGCCTACTATCTACAGAGTCTACGCGTCCTCCGAGGAGCATACGGCGACTGACGGGCTGGGTGTCTCTTCTCCGTTCTCGCCGTTCCCGTGACAAAGCCGCGTGGGAGGCCTTCGCCGTGCCCGATCGGTCCGCTTACCATGCCCCCATCACCCATGGGGATAGGGCTGACGGACAACTGGTCCCGTGCGCCAGCTTTTTGAGCGAGGATCCCAGCTCCCGCAAGCCCAGTGACCGGACGACCGTGTCCGATCTGACTGCCATGACGGTCTCCCACCATCCGTCGCGGCGTACCCTGACCCCGATTCCCACCGTCGATCGGGACCCGATATTCGAAGACGCTGGGCCCGACTCCACTCGATTGGACGATCCCCAGGTGATGACTGCGCCGGTGGTCCAGGCTAACCCCGGGTTTTTGTACGCGGACGTGCCGTTCGACTTCTTTCCCGAACCTGTGGAGCGCGATGTGGATGAAATCACCTTGCCGGCCTGTCATTGTGGCAGCTCATCCACGGAGAGCTCGGGTCTGCCTCGCAGTGTCTCCAATGAGATTCGGTGGCCCGGTGGGTTGGACCGACAGGCGGCCGCGATCGCATTCAATGAACTGGCGGGCCAATTTCAATTCGTGCCCCTATCGGTGCCACCGGACGGGGAGGATGCGGAACTTGATCGCACGGACGAGACGGTGCCACGGCGACGGGACCGGGTGCTTGTGCGCATCCGCAGCATGCGATCCAGTTTGTCGCTGGGGTCGGTGTCTCCACCCCGGACCCTACGGCGGCGTCGGACTGTGGTCGGGGTCCGTTCTACCGCCTCTGCGATGACCTCGCTTTGTGGCAAGTCATTGGAAGATTTGGCTCGGCTGGGGGGGCATAGCTTTCTGTTTCTACCCCCGGGATTTGCGCCCGCACCGCTGCGGCTGCCAGTGTGCTTCGTGGCTACGGCAAAGTATCTGAGACGGTTTGGTCAGCCCCCTTCTCCTTGTTGTTTCCACGCTTGACGTGATCTTCCTTGGGCCTTGGTTGATTGTTCTGCTGGCAGGCCCTCATGTGCATGACCTTTTTTGGGAGAGGGGGGATCAGAAAACGGCGACGCGGGTGTATGAGTACTTTGCGCGGCAGGTGCGCTCGGCAGAGAGGGAGCAGAATCGGATCCAGGAAACGACCCGGCGCAGTCAGATGCCGGTGGAGCTAGAGGAGGTGCTGCGACCGGACGGGTCCAGCAACCATGCGTCGCAGGTGCAGGGAGTGGCGTGGGCATTCAAGACCCTGGTGGCTGGGCTCCCGGGGGGTCTATTGGGGTCGTCGCGACTATACGAGGCACTGGTGGACCTCTCCCATCATCGACACAGCTCGGGAGTGGAGCGGAGCTCTGCACGAGTGCAGGGGATCGGACTGGCGATCATCGCTCTCACCAGCCCGCTCCAGCGCAACCTGCTCTGCGGGGTGATCGGGCTCTGCACCAGCCTGGTCGCTGGAGACGGCGAGACGGAGGGGGCGATCCGTCATCGTCTAGACGGTCTCATCCAAGCCTGGGAGCCCGTCCTGCGAGGACAGACGGGACGGACGGCGGATGCCTTCTCCGCGGTGGAGACGGAGATCGAAGGACAACGGGTGGCCGGGATGCTGATCGACAACTGGCGACGGATCAATCGACAGCTTGTCCAATCCAAGTCACTCGGATAGGGTACTTTTGATCGACTTGCATCATCGGAGAGTTATTCTTGTTATCGTTTACTGTTTAGCGTTGATGTACATATCGACCCACCGTTTAGTGTCTAACCGGTAACCGGACAGACTCGTAGATGACATGACTCGATCAAAACCGGTTCTCTGTCTCTCTCTGTCTATCTCCGTCTATCTCTCCTTTCCCCTCTCTATGTAGATGTGTGACTTCTACACGATATACATCCATACCGACACACAGACCACGCCACGTAATCACACTATACATAACACAACAAAGAGGGGTAAAGGCAAACATCATGACGCCATCGTCAAATTCCTCGTCCAACCCGAACTCTCTCTGTGTGTGTGCATCGATTAAGCTAAGCTAAGTTGGGCTGGACCACCAAAAACCCAGAACCTACACTAAAACAGACAAAGGCGTTTCCAGACCCAGACCCAGACCCAGACCCAGACCCAGATTCCCGAGGATGATGATGGCCAGAGGGCCCCACTTGGATAACGTACTACTGTACGGAGTACATCGTGGATATCCCCGCTAAGCGAGCAAACAAACCTGAAACCGTATTGGATGGGATGGATATTCGGGAGGAGATCGAGAGGGGTATAGTGGCTGGTTGTATGATCTGGGAAGTAGGTAGGTTGGTTGGTTGATGTTATTGATTGATTGGTATAGGGATGTTCTGCTGACTTGTCTGTTTAGGAAGTTCCGTTCTCTACCAGGGCATGTTGTTGTTGTTGTTGTTGTTCTTGTCGACAATCTGTGTTGCTTCTTCCCTTGACGATAGTATCGTTTTCTTCTCTCTCTGATGCTCCACGTTCAATTCGTCTTCTGTCCATTTCTCATTAGCTATCTTTTGTTGGAGACATCAGTCGTGGTAAGCCTCATATCAAGTGCTGTTGAGCGGGTTGGTGTCGCACTCATTCCAGATCTATGTATATACCACGCGGTCACACTCAAACCCTTCTTCGTGGGTCCTATCCCCCACTGAGGGGCGCCAGCGGATCCTCAAGTAAATTGATCAATACATCCAGACAACCCAGCCACCTACTCGGATGAAGCTCGATTCTGGCAGTGGTGGTGGTGGTTCAACAAGACATCTAGGACGAGGCAGAGATGGTTGCGCAGGAAGGCAGATATCACAACTGCGAGAATCGTTTCAGAGTTGAAACATCTTCTGGTGCAAACGAAGAGTCACTGTTGAGGTACCATAGCTACCATGTGCCCACCGTCGATTCTCATCTGCAGCATTGCGTGGACTATCTCGGCGCCAGGCGCAGCGACCAAAGCCCGATATCCCTAGTCAGCGCAGCATCTACACCCAGTGTCGGGCGCGTGACTGACTCATTCCATGGTGCTACGCTGGGCTTCGTGGACCTGGCCTTTCCCATGATAGAGGATGGTTTATGGCCATCTATCGGCTACGGTCTGCGGCAGGATAGATTGACTATCTCTTGTCCGACAAGGCGAGCTTCTTTAGGGAGCTGTTTCTGATAGAATTTTAAGCTGGGCCTCCAGTTCTGGAAAGCAGTAAGCAGCGAGAGAAGTCACGACCCAGGGAAGTACAACTTAGAGGGCAAATGTGTGGAGGATGATGGCAGTCGTGGGATGTTTACCGTGGGGTTTGACAGGTGTATTCTATAGTGAATGGCACACAATTCCCTGGTTGGAATTCCTCGTATGTTGTGACTTGTAGTGTATTCCGACAGCAACTGTTGTTTCGAGCTTTCATGTTTTGCAACTATTCGCAACTTTGCATGGTATCCATACCAGTACTATCATCAACATCAACCAAGATTTCGACCAACTCGACCATTTCAACAGTTCCCCATAGCATAGTGTTCATAACGTACATCAACACATCCTTTTTGATTAATATCTCTATGCCCATCTATAGATCCCCCTTCCCGTAAACGGGATTAGGAGGGGCAAACCAGGGAAAAAACCAGTTATGACGCCATAGTCGGGTTCCTTGTCCAACCCAGACTCGGTCTCCATCCTGGTTACAGGCCAGACCCCAGCGGATCCCCACCCGTGGATACCGGATACAGGATCCTGGATAGGATAGGATAGTGGATCCTTGAGATAGTACAGGATAGTGGATCCCCCTTCCGCCAAGCAAACAAATCGACTTTCTTGACATCGATCGAGGAAGGAGGGGGGAACCCTCCATGGCCAGTAACAGCCCGGCTGTCTGATCCGGGGCGACGTTGATATCATCGATCGGCTTTCCTGTCTGGTTCTGTTTGTTTTCTGTTTCTTGTCTGGTCTGGTCCGGTCGGTTGGGGTATGGGTTGGGGTGGAATTGCTCCTGCGGTCCGACATACTTTCTGGTTCCTCGTTTCGATGGTTTGTGTATAGGATCGGAATTGTTCAATTCGCATTGGACGGCTCATCCATCGATCTCGCCTTCACGTCTGGGAGATGGCAGTGCCCATTCTATATTAACCTTTTCTTCCCTTCCTTTCTCTGTCTTTCCTCTTCCTCTCGCTTCTTCTTCCCTTTTTCCTCTTCTTTCCTCGTCCGCGACGATCCGAATCCCCACCATCTTCTTCTCTCTCTCTCTCTCTCTCTCTCTCTCTCTCTCTCTCTCTCTCTCTCTCTCTCTCTCTCTCTCTCCACCTTTGTCCATCCACCATCATCGGAGATCTTTCAATCACAATCATTCAGATCCATCGACTCACTCAAATACTTCAGCTTCAGAATCATGCATCATCAGGGTCTTCCCCGCGTGGGCCCTGCGTCCCTCCCATCACCCCCCGTCACCCCTCGCAAGTTCTCAGTCTCGTTGAGCCCCAGTAATGATACTCATGAGACATCAACTCCCAGCCCCAAACGGCGCAAGGGGTCCACTCGAAAAACGACCAAACCCACCCCTGAGGAGCGCGAGCAGTACTTGGAGCGCAACCGTCTGGCAGCGAGCAAGTGTCGCCAGAAGCGGAAGAGGGAGTCAGAGGGGCTGGAAACACGATATAACCTCCTAAAGGCCAAGCATGAAGAACTCGAGGAGCTTGAGCACGAGCTGCGCAATGCAGTAACTCGTTTCAAAACCAATTTACTGGGTCACCATAACTGCGGAGATCCCAATGTCAATGCCTATCTGCAGCAGGAGGCGATCTTGATTCCCCAGAAATACGCCCAAAGCAACTTGGCAGCCTACCTGTCTTCGCCTGCGTCTGCTCACCAGGCCCCCTCCCAGGCCAATTTCCAGGTCCCCTCGCAGACCACCTTCCAGCCCCCCTCCCCGGCGATGATGATCGCCCCGCCTTCTTTCTCGTCACCGGGCTTCAGCGCCAGCGGGACCAGCAACATCAGCAACCCAAGCCTGGCATCCCCAACCAGCGCGGTGAGCTTCGACAGCTCCTTCGGCCAGGAAGCTGCTGGTACGGCATCGGCAACCATGCCGTCGCATGGGACCAATGCCTTTGATGATGCGATCGCGCTGAGATTCCCGGACCCGCCTCTCCCCATTATGGGGGGCGAGTGCCCTTGTGACCAGCCGCCGTCCACCATGATGGACTCGGAAGTTCTCTCGGCTCAGGAGACGAGCTTCCTCAATGACATTTATCTAATTGATCCCGAGCTGGACCTGGGGGCCTGAGATGCCGGCAGTCATTCACGAACGATAAAGAGATGTATAACCAACGATGACGATTCATGAGAACAGAAAAAAACTCTTTACCACGGCGTTCTATACTAATGTATTCTACGATGACTTCCGCACGATTCCCCCCGGCTGTATTTCTAGCAAGGTGTTCGTGTTTTCCAATTTTGGTCGGCTTGTTTCCTTCCCATCTTTATTTAATTGTTGGTGTTGGTTTTTCACTTTTTCCTTTTCCTTTCTCGCCTTTTTGCCTTACTACCTTCTTTAATGTGCTTGCTCCATCCGGACTTCCCTAATGCCTAATCCTGTTTCCTATCTCAATTGTATTGTTTACTTGCGTTCAATCTATGGAGAAGGGAAATCGGAAAGACACTAAAAAAATGGAGAAAAAAAAAAAAAAAAAAACACAAAAAAAGTGTCTGTATTACTATGTTTCGAGGTTGTCGCAGGGGCAGGCTGGTTATATTCCAAGATTGTCAAAGGGAGGAAAGGGTGTTATCACTATATACTGATAGTGTCGCAGGGATGGACTCAATGTATTAGTATGATTACTCTCGTTTGTGTGGTGTTATTGGTATTTTAGGGAGAATGACATTTGTTATTGAATGATATTCTTGTAGGGTAGTCTACTTGCTGTAGCTGTGTTTGGCTCTAGCCATGCTCTAGCTGTGCTCTAGCTATACTCAAGCTACAGCTAATAGATCCTTCTATGCAGTAGGTAGTACGTAGATAGCATAGAGTGAATAGTCTTATAGGTAGTGATAGTAAGCAGTAGCTACTAGTAGTAGATAGATAGATGTAAAGAAGCAGGAATAGTAACGTACTCCATACACGAATAGAGAATCATCTCGATGAGAATACACATACTCAGTACTCTAAGACTACGATGTTACACATAATGACCACCATAGTACCTAGATCTATCTACATAGAATGGTCTTTCAACTCGGTAGATTCTAGCATCTACGTAGGATAGTCATTTACTCGAGTAGTCTAGTCTAGTCTAGTCCGCCTGGTATATCACAGCACAGCATACATCACTATTAACGCATCTCTCCCCCCTCTATTAGCACACTCATTCGGCAGAGCCGGCACAGGATCATAATCAGATCAGATCACGAACTCAAAAAGACGGAATAGTAGATACTAGAATCCGAAGAATACCCAACTGGTTGATCCAGACTGAGAGTGCCTTAGAAGTAGAAACCCTCGACGAATAAGGAAGTGTGTACATAATTCATTCCATTATCGTCAGATAATACGTGTACAATACAGGTACATGATAAACACATCAATTGCTTAAATGTATGGATTCGGGGATAAATCTCCGGGGAAGTATAAATAAGGTTTCTTATGTGTTTTATGTTTTAAACTTTCTGCTCATGAGTCATGTCAGGCACGGGTTGGCATTTGACAGTCTAGATCAGTCTTTTATCTTTCATTCCTGGATTCTTCGACTCTATTCACTTCTAATTGAATATTGTCGAGTTTGCTTAAGATTATTAAACCTATTATTGAATGTTGCATATCTCGGGTCGGGATACGGGGGTGCCGGTGATATCGTAGGCATCTTGTATAGATCTAGGGATGTGGATTGATACGTTGATTAGTATATTGTATGCAACGTATCAGTATACCAGTGTGCTATTTTGAACGCATTGTGATTGTAGCTATTCGTACTATATCTTGATATACTCTTGGAGTCCTGTATATACACTATACACTATACACTATGACTATACACTATGTATCGCTCCTATCTATATCCCCATTCTTCGGCACCAACACCTCATTCTCTCCATCCCCTCCCTCCCCCCCAACCAACGCACTCTCTTCATCCCCATGCCCATCCTCCCCCCGAAACAACCCCTCAATCTCCTCGAGCGACAGCCCCGCCGTCTCCGGCAAAAACACCCACACAAACCCACTAAACACCGCGTCCAGCACCCCGAACAGCAAAAACGTCGCCCACCCGATCCCAGCCAGCACGTACGGCGTGCTGAACGACCACACAAAATTCGACAGCCACTGCGCCGCCACGCTGACCGCCACGCCCGGTTCGCGCAGACGCGTCGAGAACAGCTCTGCGCTGCACGGCCACGGCAGCGGGCCCCAGGATAGATTGTAGATGATGATTGCGAGGTATATCAGGAGGACTGTTGCGATGCCTGTTGGGCTGACCCCGTTGCTCGCCGTTTCTGACCCCGTGTCTCCCGCGGACGATGCGGGAGGAGCAGGAGGGGGCATCCCCTGCACGAGGAACGCCGTGCACGTCATGCAGACTGCCATGCCGAGGGCGCCGCTGATCAGCAGCGGACGGCGGCCGAAGCGGTCTGCGACGAAGAGGATGAACGTCCCGCAGCTGAGGACCTTGATCGCGCCGAAGAAGCCCGTCAGCAGGAGCGTCAGGGCGCGATCGCCCTCGCCGACAAGCAAACCAAAAAACTGCGGGCCGAAGTACGCCATCGCGGTGGCGCCGGTGGACTGCTGCGCGAGGAACATCGTCGCGGCGAGGGCGATGCGCCGCGCGTTGCTGCCCTGGAGGAGCTCGGAGAGACGAAATCCGTCTGTGGCGCGGCGGTCGGAGTCGACGGCGGTTTTCATGGCGGTAAATTCGTCGTGGATGGGACTGTCTTCGTCAGGGCCCGCAGACGGAGACACCCCCCGCACCCAGCGCAGACTCTCCCACGATGCGGTCGTGCGCCCCTTGCCGAGCAGCCAGCGGACGCTCTCCGGTAGAGTCAACATGCCCAGGCCCATCAGGGCGCCCGGGACTAGCTGCAGCGCCAGCGGAACCTGCCACTGGAGGGGGGCGTCAGGGGCGAACTGCATGCCGTAGTCAATCCAGTAAGATACAAGTATGCCGATTGTGAAGGTGAATTGGTAGCAGCTGCCGAGACGGGCGCGCATGTGCGTTGGGCTCATCTCCGACAGGTAGATGGGGATGACGGTGGCCGAGCCGCCGATTCCCAGGCCGCAGATGATGCGACCGGTGTAGAAGGCGGTTAGGGAGCGCGAGTCGACAACCTCAAATAGGACGCCGAGGCAGAAAAGCGCCGAGCTGGCTTTGAGGGCCGTCCGGCGGCCCTTTCGGGTGGTCAGGGGGAAGATAAGGAGGGAGCCGATCAGCGCGCCGGCTTGCTGGATGCCGACTGCGATGCTGCTGACTTTTGTCTGCTGTGAAAGAGTGTAGTTGAACGAGTTCATAAAGGAGGGGAAGGTGAGGACGCCGCCTGTCGTTATTATATCGATATCATATTAGCGGGGTGTATATACTTCGCGTCTCCGTAGTCGGGTATGGGATACCTATGACACCCGAATCATAGCCAAACAGGACGCCACCGCAGCAGACAATGGCGGTCAGATAGTAGATCCGAAGAGAAGACCTGATCCAGGCCGACGAGGTCTCCTCCTGGGAGAGCTGGGCGTAGGATCTCATTCTCCATAGATAAAGCGAAGGAACGGGAGTTGGATGAATTGAGTCTGGGGAACGGACGGGATGACGACAGATTGCCTGTTTCGGATGGGGGTCTAGCCCTGTTAGGTTTAGGGCCAGTTACACACACGTGGGATCAGGTGATTGTCACATAGTGTACAATTTATATATTTCATAAACATCTCTATAGACCCCTATATAAGAATCCATTATAATCATAAGGGTATAAGGGCTAAATCATCACAAAACTCTCCGTGAACAGTTCCTGCCGCACACATCGCGAATCCGCCCACGTCCGAGACAGATCCTGCCGCCGTGTCATCTCCTCCAGCAGCTGCCGCGCCTTTCCGATATTAGGGTGTCTCTGTCCGGCAGGTAGACCTTCCATGGCCCGCATCGCCGCCACGATCCACCCTCGCTGCGCCGGCGAGCCCTCCAGCCCTGCCACAAACAGTGGCCAGATGAAACTGGCGGGCAGACGACGCGCACCAGTGGCCACCTCCAGCCCCGCCAGTTGGATGATCTGGTCCACGGCGCGGTGCACGCGGTCTGTGCGGGGGTAGATGACGAACGCTACGCGGTGCAGATAGATGAAGATGGCTAGGAAGTTGGCCACGTATTGCCGGAACGTGCGACAAAGTTCGTCTGCAACGTCTGGCTGTAGCGATCCTTCTAGGCGCTCGGGATGGTCGTAGAGGTCGACGACCCGTGGTCGTCGCTGCCACTGCGTCTCTAGATCGGCGCCCACGCGGTGGGCAATTTGTAAGACCTCGAACTCATCGTCGACCGTGCCGCGACTGCGGTGGTGGAGGTCGATGCACACGATGCGCCGGATCACCTGCTGCGTCTGCAGGAAGAAGCGGAAGGCCGGTCCGACAAGCGTCTCGTGGACGAGGTAGCCTGCATCGTGAAGAAAGATGTCATCGCTGTCCATGTCGTCGGGGGGCTGGGCCACCTCCCCGAGCTCTGTGAGCGGGTCGCCGTCGCGGCCTGCCACGAGGGATTTGACGTCCAGCAGGGCCACCCACGAGACGACTAGGTGTCCGAATCCTACCCACGTCCGCGTCCGTTGGTGAAACCGCTGTAGTAGTAGATAGGCCGAGGGAAGGAAGGAAGTGCCGGTGCGCCAGACCTCCGCCGACGAGAGAACCTCGGACAGCATAAGTAGTAGTACAGCCGCAAAGACCCGCTTGAGCAGCGCATCGTCGACCTCTCCCTCCAGACACGACTGTATTTCTGAGCTGGCCTGCTGGTGGTAGAGCGGCTCCCGCTCACCCCGCTGGCCCGCGTTCAGAGACCGCTCGACGACCGCGTAGCAGTACATCGCTTTCTGCAGGGCAGGACAGTCCGGCGACTGCGTGACGACGGCCTCCTTGACAAACTTCCATTCGAGGTCCACGGGCCCGAAAATCGCCGGAGGCGGATCACTTTCTGAAAAGTGGATGAGCAACTGCTGTTCCTCGCCTAAGGTTTGTGTCTTGGGTCCTCCGCTGCCGGTGTCTTCGGTCAGTTCTTCAGCGCTGGCAACTCGGTCATCCCCCAGCCACGGCACGTCCGCATTCCACGCCATCTGCCGCTCAGTATGAAGAGCCCCAGAAATTTCATTCCCCAGAGCCGGTGTCCCAGCACTAGTCAGGTCGAGGTGTTTCTGTTCAATATCCGACGTGATATCTCCAATGAACCCCAGCATATCAAAGGCTGGAAAATCCACGATATCCGTCATATCCTGCGGTCTCGCGCTTGTCTCCGGCGGCAGTGTACTCTCCAGTGTTTTTGGTGACTGCTGCGACGGAGGTTGAGAGGCAGCAGCCACGATCTGTCGCTGTTCGTCCGGCCGCAGCACCGTTTGGAAGAATGTCGTGTCCGGTCGATCGGAGCGCAGGGTAGAGCGGCGGTTGGACCTGCGCGCTATGAGCCCCGGGACAAGGGTCTTGTAGTCACATTGCAGGTTCAGACGAGTACAATTCGCACAGGTGGGCTTGACTTCGTCGCAGCGGACTTTGCGGGCGCGGCAGGTCAAGCAGCCGGTTCGACGGCGGGGACCCGACCGTCCCGTGCCCCGAGCTCGAGGGATCTACCATTTCAGTCACCCATGTTCCCTGTATAGGAATCAGTATGAACCTACCTCCATTGTATGGCGGAAGATTCTGGCATGGCTGCGAGACGTAGTGTGTAGAAAGAAGAAGAAAGTGCGGAGCAGCGAGTGAGCCGGAGCATGATGTTTCTCCCGATCGGGTTTAGTGCCCCGCATTCCAGGCATCAGATTAGATATGATCTGCATCTATACAACTGACAGTTTCTTTCGATTTTATCTATTCTTCGTTCTATCGGGGGTCAAAGGTTTGCTCCGTAGAAACAATTCGCTTTTCTATACACCGCGACATGTGCAGCAAGTGACCCCGCTCCTTGCGCACATACGCCGCAAAGCACACAGCGGCCATGGTGATGGCCCCGAAGCTGATGAACACCGGATACCGAAAGTCCTCAGGACGGGGGTAAGCAATGGTCGTTGCGAATGAGAGCAGTTCTTGTTTGTGTTGTAAAACACTATTAATAGTATCTATCAGTCACAGATATAGATAAATAATAAGAATAAGAATCAGAAGACCAAGAGTGAGATAAACAAGATTCAGAAGTTAGGATGGTTTGAGATATTAGATAAGATAAAGAAGAGATTCCACGGTGTAGCTGATACTAAGATATTTTCCTATTTCTTTTCTTTACTTACTCTTTTTACTTCTTCTACTCTACTATTATCTTTTTACAAAACTATACTAATAAAAACAGACTTGCGAGAGCCTTGTGTAATTCAAAATGGACACAGCTGACTCATTCAGTATTAATAGCATGATTGCGGATGTCACGAAGAAGGAATCTGGATCAGGAGCTGGATAGAAGTGCTATAGGATTCAGGAGGCCGAAGGTCATGGATTTAAGTGCGCTCGAGTAGACAAGGAATAAGCTTTATTCTTCAGTTGCTGCTTGTATATTACTTTGCTTTTTATTCTTTCTCTGTGTCAGAGTATACATTGCGGGCGTTGATTTGGACAGATATAGTTTTTTTCTGATTCAAAGGAAATATCATGCACTGTCTTTTTTCTCTGCTATGGATGGAATGGATTTAACAAGGTGTATCATTGTTGGCCATTGATCTCCCTGGAGGGTCGTGCGAATTACCCCGTATCTATCTAGTACATACTTCTGTGGGTCGATGTTAATTAGTACCTACCTACTGTACCTACCCATGCTCGGTGATATACCAGGTACCTAGGTACCTGACACACCTGGTCGACCACAACCCACTATCTGTCAGTAATATCTAAGTACCTGGGTAGGTTAGTACACGCCATGTCAGATTCCCAGGATGTACTAAATAGAAGTTACGTGAGTAACGATAGTACCAAGTACGGTGGCGGCAGACTCGACTAGACGGCGAAGATAAAGCGTGTAGAACTCTCATTCAGTCAGCAGTAAACCATCTCTTCTTCTTGGAATTCTCGTATAGAATGCTGTTTCATTGGATTATTATTCGCAAGACAATAGCTTCCTCACTAGTTGGCCTGATATCCATCCGTATGCATGATAGTGCTCCCAGGAAGGAGCTTTAGGACTAGATATCATGAAAATTCATCTACTACGGCGGGCGTCTTCTCTTCCTTGGCCTTTCGGGTTTCTGGTGAATTTAATTTGGACGAGTCAGTGAATGATCTCCAGGCACGAACCTAGCATGTCAGCGGCAAGGTGCCAGTGATGATTCATTCATTGGGGCTATGGCTACAAAGAAAGCAGCACGTTTAGTGCTGGTTAGAAGCAGCTCGTATTAAACTACTAGTCCTGTCTTGTAAATAATGGTAGCTTTGATTCACTAGTAAATACCTGCCGTTTCTCTGGTAGGATGTCTCTTCTATAAACCCATCCGTTCACGAAGTAATATCTTGAGATAATGTCCATACTGTAGTACGCTGCTCAACTCTCCTTGACTGCCAATTCTCAAGGTGCGAACCATGTCTTCCTTTAAACCTGCCCTGACCATTTCTATTTGTCGAGTCAGCCAGCCTGGCTGGGATTCGACATCCACCCCGAGCTGCTGCTGCTGCTGCTGCTGCTGTGCGTCTTCTAATGTATTGTTTTCTTTCTCGAAAAAAGGGGTCTCAGGGTCATGCAGATTAGCGAATGAAACGATATCCTCCACAGCCTGAAACTCGTCAAGAAGCATTTGCACGGTTATATAGACTCCACTGCAATCGAAAGGACTAGGAGGTGCTAGGAGCTCTCCTGGCTGGAGTGGCTCTGCCTTCCCCAGGTTGTGAGATGGTATTGGTGCGTTGCGCGAGGAGGATACAGATTCCGGCAACTGTTTGAGGATATTGTGAATCTGGCTGAAAGCGATCGTGTAGAGTTTCGTGAGAGACGCGTAACCGGTCAGCATTAGTAGATTGGTTGCAAAGTCCGGCACCTCTGGGGACATCGACTGGGGATCGAGAACCTCTGACGGTGTTTGTTGACTTGGAGGTATGCTGAAGAAGTCCATGCCTTCCGGACACACGGGGTATGCCGAAGTCGAGAAAGAAGAGGCGGGCCGGAGCTGTTGTTGTATGTCTTGGACTGACAATTCTGGCCGCCATGAGTTTCGTAGTTCGGCTGCAAGTCTTCGCGTCAACCCCAAGATGGGGCCGACGTGGTACTTGTCGGAGTTTTCTTCGGAACCACTGAGGCTTGGAACACGCGAGTCGCCTTTGACAAGAACGATTTGCTCGTTGATCTCGGTCACGAGCATAGAGGCGTTCAGGAATTGAGGAGAGTTGTTCTGTTCATCGATGGGGGAGTCTTGAGGCTCGGAGGACCCTTGCACCCAAAGTGGTGGGGACTCGTGGGTACTTTCGGCTGTTAAGGGCAAGGAGGACATGCCAAAGTGATTCGCGAAAGGATGCAGCTGCAGCAAAATTTCCTCGTCTTTGAGGAAAGAATCGAGATGAGTATGGAGAATATGGTCGTCCACACTCGGTAACTCCATCCCGTATATGTGTTCTCCAAAGGGGCCCAGAGTTGTGAGATCCATGGAGGATCCGGGGTGCAGTTCGGAGGGTATCGAAGCATGCCCAGTCCCTGCTGGCTGCTGCGGATCCCCTGAGATTTGGGATCTCTGCGTTGGTGTGTTGTTGCTGGTATATTTGTTGTTTGATCGCTGGGTGCTTCTATTCCCCCTGCGTGTGTGCGCGCGGCGACTAAAGACGCATTGTACTCTCGCCCGAATGCATCGCTCACATTGCTGGCCCGGAATCCGGGATTGGTTTGATGTGGAGACGACGCAGGCTAGTTTTTTTGCCCGACAACGATCGCAAGAGGCTCTGATAGAATCTTGTACTGGAGGGAGTTGGGATGTCATGATTATGATCAGGATCTTCTAATCTCTGGGCAGACTTGCACTACTAGCTAGGCGAGGTGGGCTTATATATCGAGACTTGTCCGAGTAGGAATATCCTATAGCAGGATAGTAGGAAAGAGAATTGTCTCTAACGACCAGGGGGGGAGAAACTAGGCCTCCCACGACATGGGGAGATTGAGACTACAATATCCAACAATGGATGCACAGTCACGACAAAGCCTGGCTATAACTAGCATGAAGTCCAGCCTCACCTATATACAGCAATTTGTAACATAATCTGGAGTCAACTCTTCTTCAAAAGAATGAACGACTCCTCCGGATGATCCAGACGTAAACTCTGGGGGGTGGTTTGGAGTGGGTGAGGCAACATGGCGGGACCACGATACCCACAAAACAGGGATTAACAGGAACACGGACAACTTTGATAGGTCTGAAACAGGCAAACGTTTGGCAGGCCGATATTGGGTGATGTTCTGTAGGCGACTTGGCTAACGCTAACAAGATCCGATCAAGTAGGTTGTCCGGAGATCAAGATTTAGAAATACGGCGTAGGACTCAGCCCCAAGGATGGCGTGGCGATACATGGTTATATCACAATCCTCGAGATCGTAATCGGGGTGATAAGTGAGCACCTGCATGATTCCATGTCAGCATTTCCGTGTGCTTAGTTCATAGTATATACCCCAAGTCAACTGTCTCATTGGTGTTGCGGCCAGCAAAGACCCTGGATATTTACCTCGAGATCTGGAGTGTTGATCTTGGAGTACTATTTTCGCGGGAAGAAAAATCAAGAACGAAACTGACCAAGGATTTTGCTGCGTTGGATTTGAGGTTCATAATATGCACGTATGGAGACTTGATGACCGGATTCGAAGCTCCATGGATGCTCCGAGCATACGTACTATGTTCCGCGGAAGGTCCATGATATCTCCGAGACCTCCATGGACCCTATTGATACCACACGATGTTTTCATATACAGTGAGAGAGTCATTGATTAGTTACTTACTATAAAGGTCTACCTTTTCATGCTTTCTGATCATTGCCATCCAGAGTGGAAAGTCATCAACCGAATATGAGCCAAATTCATTCTTCTACCACTTCCAGTGGCTCTGAACACACGTCAGTCAGATACTATTTTCGTGGGATTAGATATCCGTACTGACAAAGTGATAGATTCCGAGCATGGCTGACGGTAGTAGGAGCCTTCTTCACTTTCTTTTGCAGTGTTGGGTTTCTCAATGCCTTTGGTGTTTTCCAGGAATACTATGAATCGCATCAACTAAGTGACCTCTCTAGCTTCGACATCTCGTGGATCGGCTCCTTCTCTACCTTTGCGCTCTTTTCTGGTGCTCCGATTGCTGGGGTTTTGGTCGATCGTGTTGGACCTACAGTATGCAAAAAAAAACCCCCTATGCCTTGATCCCCCGGAAATTGGTAAATCAGACGGCTAACGGAGACGCACGCTAGATACTTCTCATCTTCGGTGGCCTGGCCATGCTTGTAGCCATCTTCATGACTTCACTTTGCCAGCAGTATTATCAATTCTTTCTGGCGCAAGCCGTGCTTATGGGCGCCAGTATGTCTTGTCTTTTCTGTCCAGCGATCGCGACCGTCTCTCGGTATTTTCACAGAAACAAAGGCCTAGCCATGGGGGTGACAGTGGGAGGATCGTCCGCCGGGGGGGTGATCTGGCCGATTGTGCTGAATGAGCTCCTCAACAAGAATGGCATGTCCTTTGGCTGGACGATTCGCATCATCGGGTTTATCATGCTCCCACTCCTCGTCCTCGCGGTCTTGACCGTCACCCCGCCAGCGAAGAGAGCCGATGATGATCACCATCGTCGTATACTGTCAGATGAAGAAGAGAGGAACAAGAGACATGAGGGAGATGGAACCCACGCGATTCCACAAGAGGAAGCCAATACACACAGGCAGGGTCTCGTCTCGCTTCTCAAAGACACCACCTTCATGGTGCTCTGCTTGGGTCTATCCATTTCCTATCTGGGCATGTTCAGCCCGTTCTTCTATGCGACCTCCTACGCGCAGAGCCTGGGCTATTCCACCAGTTTTGCGTTTTACTTGGTTTCGATCATCAATGCCGCATCCCTCTTTGGCAGAATCCTGCCGGGGATTCTCGCAGATCGCTATGGGCATTTCAATCTCTGTGGTACAGCGGCTCTGCTATCTGGAGCCACTGCGCTTTGCTGGACCGCAGCAACGAGCTCCGGAGGGCTTGTTGTTTGGTGTCTAGCATATGGACTCACGTCCGGTGTATGCACCCCTCCAAAACGTAAAAACAACAGAGCTTCGAGTTTTGCTAATTCTCACTCCCAGGCTATTATGAGTCTGCAATCCGCTTGTGCAGCTCACCTGGCACCACACGAGCTCCATGGTACAGCAGTAGGCTTCCTCATGGGATCACTTGCTTTGACGTGAGATTTGCTGCTTCCCCTTTCTTAGCTGTGCTTCCTTCAACAGATCTATTGCTAAATCACATCCATTTTGAAAACCACAGAGCTTTGTTCGGTACCCCCATTAGTGGCCAGCTGGTCGGATCTTACGGATATCTTGCCTTGTCAATGTATGCTGGGGCATCCCTGGTTATGGGCGGCCTTCTCATCTTTGCGGCGCGGTTCAAGTTGGAGAAGAGAGTATTTGCACGGCAGTGATTTACTTTGCTTTCCTCACACGGGTTAAGCTCGGAACATAAATGATTCCACACCGTTGTTGTTGTTGTCTTTCTTCTGGATTTTCTCTTGGGGTCAAAAAGTCTAACGCCGTAGGGAGAGGTTGTTCAGCCGGGTCTATCTCTTTCTGTCTTATCTTGTTTCCTTTCTGCTCAAGGTATAAAATGTTTAATAGATAGTAACAACCAGATCTGAAATATTCATAACCCTTATTTTCCACGATTCCGTTAGAATAATGACCACTGCTATGCCACCTTGAATTGCTATACCAAGCAGTATTGATATCGGAACGTCTGTCTGAAGCGGAGAGTCAATTATGCCACGTAGGCTCGTCCTTCCGTTTTCATCTGTATTCGCCTGCATCTAATCATAGACTATGCTTTGATCTTTCGAGTCAAATGATTCGGCGGGCAGCAAGGCTGTAATAGTATTATCGCGGAGTTATATGGAGCTAGATATCAGGATAGGCTTTCAAATACCGGCATAGAAAACTGTTAGAGCACGTGGCTACTCCTAGTAGCCACACTTACGGGACCCGGTCAATCTACTTAGTTACTAACCAGATAACTCGAGCAATACTTTGAATTTATACTTTATCTGATGGCTAGTAACTCTTTTGTGTCAACGAAAATTACGTGGTTGAAGAACCCAACGCAAATTTTGAGTCCATTTAGGTAGGTATCGGCGTAAACTCAATCTCCTCCTCCGATGTCACCGTGAACCGGTCCTGTCTGGTGCTCTTCTCTTTACCAGCAGGATTCATGAGATACCGCTGCACGATGGCTACGGTCACCATCTTGAGCATCATGTCAGCAATGTTCTTCCCGAGACAACGCCCGCGGCCGATCCCGAAGCGCAACAGGCCGTATCGGTATGCCATGGGCGAGATGTCTGCAAACCGCTCGGGCCGAAAGCATTCCCCGTCGGAGCCCCAGATGGCCGGGGTGGTGTTGAGGCGTTTCCAGTCGATAACCGCGGGCGTCTGGGCGGGGATTCGATAGCCTCCAATGATCTTTTCGGCTGCTGTCTTTTCGGGCAGGGAAAACCCTTATGCCCCCGAGGTTGGTTTGTTAGTGGAAGATAAGATAACTTGCAACATTTGGGGGGTTTGGACTTACATAGAGCTGGACTCATACGAACAGATTCCATTGCGGCATAATGAAGAAGGGTGTCCTTCTCCAACACGTAATCGCTCAGATTATAGGACGGTTGGCTTTGCTTTGCGGCAATCTCCTCCCTCAGGGATGACTGGAAGGATTGATTGGCTGCGATGTTGATGAGGAGAAATGCAATGACTGTCGAGGTCACATCGATGTTTGTGAACAACAGCTCGTCCATTGTTTCTAGAAACTGCGGTGTATTCATGTCCAGCTTAGCCACATATGTCCGAAAGGAAAGGTGGGTGTGTTTGCTGGTAAAAACGGACCTCAACATTTGACATCTTTCCAGATTCAACACCTCTGTAAATGCGCTCGGCCGGGCAGTGAAGCTTCTTCTATATCTTCGATGTGAGCTACCGTCTTCATGACAACGGCTGCCGGAGCTCCGTCTCCCCCATACCGTTCTTGCTTTCGCAACTATGTCGAGGTTCAGCTTTCTCCATTTTGCTTTGAATGTGTCCAGACGACGTCTTGACGGTGTGGGAAGCATATTGAAGGTTTTCGAGATGGTGAATCTGCCGAAGAAAGCGTCAAGCATCACCTGTTCATGGAGATCATTCAAATGCACAAGATCTTGGTACGTCTAGTGGTGTGAGTCAGTCAACTGCAACAATTTCCATCATTCTGATTGCATCCTAGGTAGAGGATACACCCACCTCCGTGTCGAGCGCGTCTCCATAGACTGTCAACCCCGTCAAGCGGAAAGGCAGATACCGGCAAGCTTCAGTGGGGTTCCGACGAAATGACTCCAGAGTGGCCTCTTGTTGATGGATGCCACGGTTCCTTGACAGCTCAAGGGCCCACCTCTCGATCTCCATCGCAAATTTATCTGCCATGTTCACGCTTGCCAGATGGGAGAATTCGGGCTCGAAGTGGGCGCGCATCACGGCCCATTTCTGCCCTCCCTGAAGGCCCAGGCATTGACCAAGAAGACTTGTGAGAACGAATAGTTGTCAGCTGCTACTGCCCACAACTCAAGAGGTTCTTTCAAGACAGAAGTCCTCAAACTGATATACTCACCGCCCAAAATAGTCGCCCAGATTCATGTTGATTGGCTTCTTGTGATCTGGGAACATCGCAGGTTAGGATGAATGTCTACATACCAGAAGAAAGTTCGAGTAGGAAACAAGGGATACCTTTTGCATCCTTTCGATAGAATTCCTGCAAGTGATCCGGGTTTGTGATCACCAGCTCGCGAGTCCACCATCCATTCTGGATCAAGTATGGTTCGTCGCCGGCGAGTTCCCGGCCTTCCTGGGACAGTTCACGACTGTGCGAGACTCTCCCTTAGCATCGAATCCCGAATCGTATTGTTTGTTTTTGATTGCCTACCCATGCGAGAACCTTCGATACCGGGTATCCTTTCTGAGTAGCTTGATTTTGAGACCTTGACTGTCTTTGAAGTCATTGCTGATCTGTAATGGCGCGAGTCAGTGTCCGATTTCTCAAGGAGCAGTTAGACACAGTCAAACACTTACATGTCTACAATACCGCGTGTAAATCGCGAGCAATAAAACAAGGACCGTCGTGCTGAGCATAGAAACCATTCTCTGAAGCTGACAAAGAGAACCCCTGCAAAGAAAGTTTTTCTCAGGAAGGCGCTGAAAGCGTGTATAGCGCAAGGGAATTTGAAACCCCCATTTATAGCGCAGAGAGAGATTATCTCAAAGAATATTGTCATACTCCGCGTCGGAGCATGCTCACGCTGCCCTAATCTCCGAGCTTCCCGCATATAAAGGAGTAACAACGGGCATTCGCCATCAAGACGACGCGCGTTAAGGCATTAGAGCTGAGTACACCTCTGTACATGACTCCATTCGAGGACAACATTTTCCGAGTTCCATATGGAGTTCTAGACATCGGGGTAGGCTGTGATTCGGAGTGTGCACACACCACCGAAAAATCCCGAAAAGTTCCGCGCGCACTAGTTATCCACTAAACTGGTGTACTCGGTGATCTTGTTAGTCTTGTTGAGCAGGGATCAATTAGTGGCAATGACGATGATGATGGGTCGGTCCGTCCCTGACCCAATACAGCGGCGTTTCTCTCCAGTCCAATGGATTTCGTGAAAGGGGAATAGAATGAAGGGAATCCCGGTTGAGGCTTCTGTCTATATATCAAGACGGGAGATCCAGCGATTAGTTTTACATAGATCCAGTTAAAGCAACAACTCCTCTGAAGCAATCGGCTCAAAGCAATTTGATGACGAGAATTATTCGAAGCGAAACTTCTCTCTTCAATTGAAAGAGAAAAAAGAAAAAAAAAAAAATGGCATATTTTCTCTTTCCTGCAACAGCGGCACCCAAAAGCCTTCGCCCGCGAAATTGTTATGGAACAATTTACACGGACATAGTTCGCGCATCCTCCGATGCCATCGACGCCTTGACGATTTATCGCCGTCTCATATTTTCCAAGGATGCACGTGTCGATAATGCTGGGTTCACCGCGTTTGACGCACATGTCGGTGACACCTCCTGCCAGCTGCGAGCCGGAATGCTCCTCGACATGACCAAGAAGCATAGGCACTGGGCCTCAAGCAGCAGTGACAAAGAAGCGTCCTGGCTCGACAAATACATCGAACGACTCACCAGCGTGCGTGACGGCGCACGGAAGATGCTGGCCAAGCTCACAATTGAGCGCGTTCACCCCGAGAAACTGAGGATTGGTGCGAAGAAAGATAGTCCGGACGGGTTACTCCGCCACTTGGGATGGGATGAACAGGAAATATTGAGTTCCATTAGGGCTATCTATCCCAAATCCCAGGTGAAAAAACCACGGGTTCACGACGGCTGTCTAAACGGCTGGGATTTGATCAAGTGGCACCAGGAGCAGCTGGTCGCTATCTGCCAGGAGAATGGCTTGTGGCAGATTTTCGACGATCTAGCAGTACTGCACAGCTCTATTGCTCGCCAAGAAAACAAGAACGCGGTGTTTGTGGATGATTACGACGTCAGGCCGACAGCGGAGAGTGTCCCACCGTCAGGTGCATCCATAGCATCGTCCAACGAAGGAGTGGATGGGATTGAGTGGAATCCGCTAGACGCATGGACGATGGTTCGATTCCTCACCTACTGTTTTGTTCTTTCCAAGTACAAGAGCTTCCGTCGGTTCCAGCACGTCGTGGGGGCGCGCATCGACCCTGAAGCAGCGATCAAGGCAGGTGACGAAATGGTGCGCGATGTGTGGGACTATAATCTCCACGACTACAAGTACTCCCGAGCCACTCGCCGAATCGAGCTGGAGTTTGGAATCTTGCAGAGCTGGGTATCGAAATTGAGTTCTGCATGGTTGTATGATATTGCAAAGACATCGGCAGCCTCTCCTAGAATTGATAGGTAAGCCACCTGGTACAAAGCCCCCATTTCATGGCAGGAAAAGCTAATGAAAACCTTCACCGTTATAGTTTGATGATGCGTACCATCCGGACCTCTTCAATCAACCTAACATGCATCCCGACATATGTCGGCTATTTGGCCATGAGAGAACTATGGGGGCGAGACGGCGACCCTTTAATTCTGGTCGACCGGCATTTCTGTGACAGCGGTATATAGTCCCAGAAAATGTTGATCCATGAATCGAGAAATAGAGAAGAAAACTGATTGTCTTCCAGGTTACCACTCCAACTTTTTCCTCGCCACGCTCGGGCTCGAAGACACGAATGTGACGGACCAAGATGGATTTCCACCACAGCGTCTACCCCTCAAGCACAAAGTGACATGGAAAATTGAGAGAATCAGCAAGGACTGGCTCCAACACCATGAAGACCAACACCTTCCGCACGTCATCATCATGGGAAACAGCATAGAGGGCTCCTATGACGATTACATGGTGGCGTCAAGCACTCGCCAGCGACACGAGAAGGACGACTGCGACGACAACGAAGCACACATAGCCAAATTCTTGGATCACGATCATGATAGACTAACACTAGCCTTTTTTGCGAGACATAGGCATTATACGTTTGATCTGTACAGTTCGAAAACTGGTACCAACGTCGCTGATGAGCGGGAAGAGGTCGCAGAGCAGATGGAACGGGTCTTCCCTGGGTTAGCAGAGCAGTGGAGTATTTCTGATCAAGAAGCAGACGCGATGGGTACTGCAGGCGAGTCATTGCACATGTTTGCTTGGCAGCATGCGTTCACGGAGACCAAGGGCCGGATTGCAGAATTGGTTTCTACGGCGAAGGACACGCTGCCGATTTCGCCTCCGTTGGGAAAGATTCACTGATATATGGTCCCAGAAGCAGGAACCATTGATGTGTTAAGAGCCACATAGAGATCACGTTTGTGCTATTATCTGAAGCCATATTTTTATCTGAGTTGGAAGATTCTCATTTATGTAGAACCTTATGCCCCCTTTATGATCTGGAGATTCCAAACTAAGAAAGCAAAGGATATTGTCGGTCGATCTACAAAGATAGAGTGAGTGCACTCAAACCCAGTTCTTACTAGTGTGCCACCGAACTTGAACCATGATGACTACAAGCCATTTACTGGGGTTTTCCCCAGCCCTCTCCCCGTGCAAACAAGAGCTTTCCCAATCAACCATAAAAGACAGCGCCCCCGGCATCCGTCATATGGTGAGAGTTCAGGTCATCAAAAAGAGAATCCCAAGAAGGCCCATCGATGTTTTGGCCCAAATCGATGTATTGCTGCATCATGACATCGAATTCCCAGTCCTCGACATATGGCTGTTGTTGTTGTTGTTCGTGTTCCGACTGGATTGCTGGCTGCTGGCCACCACCGCTGGCGGTCGTTACTGATGTATATTGGCCGATAGTGGTGGGCAAAGAGCTATGGAAATCGCTTGACGGATTCCGGGATACTTGACTGATTCTGTGCGCATCAGGCGGCCCTACCATCGTGAGAGGCACAGTCGACGGCTGGCTTTGCTGGAGTCTTTCTTTGTGTTTCTGCAGGATTTCTATGAGAGGTTGGGCCAGTTTCGCGGCCATGGCGGAGTCCTGTTTCAAGCTGTCAAGCATCCGGCACGCTCGGGTGACTTCGGCTTGCCGCTGTTCCTCGAAACCTTCTACTTTGTTGGAGCAGAGGTCCATCACCAGCACAACAGTGGCCATGAAGACGTGGTGTACCACGGTTGCGAGCCTGGCGGGGATCAACTCTAGGTCGTCCTTCTTTTCCTCCAACTGGTAGCAGATCTGCAGAGCCGCGCGGGAGGAATTGAGGCAAGCATTTCTGGAAAACGTGTATTTGGGATCGGTGAGCCCCGCTACCACGAAAGGCTGGTGAAGTCTGCTGCGTCTGGTATAGATCCCGAGGTGGATCAGATAGCGCTGGAGGGTAAGCTGGGGCGCGGTATAAGAGAATTCGCTCCCCTGGTCTAGCCGAAAGAAGGCCGGGAGACTTCTGATCAAGTCCTCGAATTTGCCGTCCAAGAGGATAATGCGCTCATAGCTCGCATTCTCAATAATTTTAGAGAGGGGCAGGGAGTCAATCACCGCGCGACAGGTCTCTGCTATCCGAACGCGTTGAAGGAAGTAGGAGGTAGATAGCAGTGAAGCATCCCCCGCGACATTCTCGCAGCTCTCAGGATAATGCGGCTGATTTACATGCATCTGCGATAGCTGAATAGAATAAGTGCCCTCCTGCGGGCCGGGGGTGAACGCCAGTAGCCTTTTACGCGCTTTAGTGTTAGCTGAAGAGTGGACCAGTAAACGACCGCACCTTACCAGTCTGTGGCAGCAATGTGCCACCATAGCCTTCTCTTTACGTCGGCGTCAATCTGACATGGCGGTGGATCTGTCTCTCCTTTTCTTCGGGGACTATCAGTCTTGTGTAAAGAAAGATCCCGGGCCATCATGATCATGTTGCTATGAAGCGAACGGAACATGGGAGAAAACCCTTGAGAATTGTAGATAACGTAGGAGATCACGATCGTGGCCTGGAGATCTTCAATCGAGGCACTAGTAGTTCGCTTCGAGTACTCCAGAATATCCAGCGCTGCATTGGTCCAGAACAAGGACATGGAAGCAGCTTCTTTTGCAGATAAGAAGATCAGACATTTGCTTCTCTGTGGTCTCCACAAATGGCTGGCACTAGCAAGCATGCTCAGCAGCAGCGCGATATTTGCCACTTTGCTTTGAGTCGGTGTACTCGGGTGCACATACACTGCGTCTATCACATGCTGTAGGGAATGAGGCTGGAAGACGGGATGAAGGTACTGGACATTGTCCAGAAAGTATTGGGACAGACTCATGGCCTCATCTTTAGTAGGCAGCTGAACACTGGGTGTCCGAGGTTCTGCCTCATTCCGCGCCGCTGGCACAATCTTGTGCAACTGGTGAATAGGGCCAACTTTGAATGGTATGTTGACTGCATGCGCTCTGAACTAGCGGCCAGATTCGGTGCAGGGTCAGCGCAGTAGGCATTGACTGTCTTGACAGTTGTAGATAGCCTTACAATCAGGTTCTCAAGCGTCCCAATGCCTTCAAGCCATCTAGATGTCACCTCATGCTCCTCGCTGGAATCGAAACCTTGTCTAACCGTCGTAGTCAATGCCTCACCAGTTGATGGTGCCATTGCAGTAGGAACAGAGGGTCTGTCATCCTGCTTGCCAAACACCGCCTCCTCAAGTCTTGTCAGGCGAGCTTGGAGCTCCGTACTTTCAGCTGCTGCAGATAACGCTTGTCTGGAGTTCGTGTAGTCTGTGGATGTGGAACCAGGGTTTCGCCCAAAATATTCACACCCGACGCCACGGGCGGAGCAGTTGGAACAAGGTTGTTGGCGGTTACACTTGAGCTTCTTCAGCCGGCACAAACGACACGATACCGGGTTCTGGCGTGTGTGGCGAGCTTGATGACCATCAGGATGGATTGGATCCATCAGGGGCAGTTCTGTGGATGAAATACCTATTTGGCACAGCAACGAGATTGGCGGGAGTAGGCCCTATTCCCTGGAAGATGCGATTTCTGAGTCTGACTGCTGTCACTAGTCACTAACCCAATCAGGGAGGCGGAACAAAAGTACTCACAGTACTAAAATCATTGTCAAAAACTATATAGAGTTAGATCAGAATCTCTGATAATACAATCAGGAGGATAGTAAGGACTAGTGTTGGACTGGATCGGTTTATTGGATCGGTTTCCCTTAGAATTTCAGTCGGATCGGTTTGAAAATATAGAAACCGATCCACCCTCATCTAATACTAGGAATATTATAAGAATAAGATCTCAGGAAAACACTTAGTTAAGATACTAGTCTAGAAAGAGATATTAACATCTTCCTAATTAGACCTTGCTTACCAGAGCCTTTCCTCGCTTCCCATCTAGATAGCTTCCATAGTCCTCCATAGCTCTACATAGCTCTAATACGAGTTTATCACCCCCTTCTCATCCTTTCAGAGCGATTCCATTGGAGTCTCAACATAATATACATACACTACAACCTCCCCACCCTCTTACTCCTCCCCTCCGTAAAAGCCACATGCCCATACTCCCTCCACCCCAAATTATGCAACCCCAGAATAACCCTCTTCTTCCAAAAGTCCTTCGTATAATGATAAGCATCATGAACCTCCACACTCTCCCAGCCCACCCAAACCGTATAACACTTCGGATGCCCATCAACCGGCTCAACGACCCAACCCCCAGAGCAACCCAGGCAGCCGCGCACGCGCGAGATGAGCGTCGTCCACAGCGCCCAGACGCGCTCCCACCCGTCCTCCGGGTCCTCGACGGCGAGGTAGATGGCTGTTCCGGTGACGGGGGCGCCCTTGCCGAGGCCTTGCGGGTAGGGCGTGAAGTCTGACATTTGGGCGTGGCGGACTGTGATGGCGGCGGGGGATGTTGATTCGGGGGTGAAAAGTTTGGTCAATTGCTGGGTGAGGTGTGTCCATTCGGGAGACGAGAGGAGGCTGTAGTGTTGCTGGAGGGTGTCTCTTACTGTTTTCTTTCTATCAGTATATCCTGTTTTTGGGTTGTATCTACCTCCGGGGCGGGGTGGGAAGGGGGAGAACATACCAACATGCAACTCCGCCACGTCGGCCTCTTCAACGTGTCGTCCCCAATACAGTCGCTGAAAGCCCGGCCATACTTCGAGTGCATCGAGGACTTGCGTCCAGAGCTGGCCGTCGGGCGTTGTGACGTCCTCGATCGTGGCGGTGGCTTTGATCGGGAGGATGATCATCTGAGTGGGCACGGCGGGAGTGGTCATTTCTGCGGTTTCTATCTGCTGATGTTTCTTTTTTTTTTTTTCTCCAATGGTCTGTTGATATATCGAGGTTTATCTCCAGATTTACAACCCTCATATACCTCAAAATGCGGGGTCAACCATCATGTAGATCCCCCCGGGCAACGGCCCTCGGTCCGCTGGTCAGCAACATCTACATACACTGCAGGTAGAGAATGGATGCATGAATGCGAATGTGATTCTATCAGACTCATTACATGGAATAAAACGCTGCGTACATCACCCGTGGCATCCTTCTGGCCCGAGCCGAGCCGAGTCCCTGGCGTAGCGCGCTGTGCTGGCTGTCTACTTCCATCTTCGAGGACGGCGCAAGGCAACTCAATCTCAGGCCGCAGACGCGTGTCGCGGTGCCTGTCCGGAACCAGCGGGGAAAGAGGTCACCAATTGTCCTGCACGGTGACTTATGTACTCGGTCCAGGGAACACATGGTATAAAACATGGTCTAGAAGGGGGAAATGAATCAGGCTAGGGTATCAAAAGCACGAGACGTAGATCGCGGGGGCGGGAAAGCACGTCTTCCCCGCAGGAACGAACCCAGTGGGGACGATGCGATGAGCTCCCCAAACCGGAAGGGCCTGAGATTCGAAGGTGGAGGTCCGTCACGCTCGACCGCCGCTACGTAAACACCCGGACACTCGAGTCGGCACTTCCCGTAGCGATGATGCACCGAATCTTGGGCGGCGCCTTCTTGGCCGGTGCCGTATTGGCGTCACCGTTCTCTGGAGGCGGCTCGGTCGCTGGGGCCGGCGCCCACCGAATGCAACTGACAAAGTGCCCGTGCGCCCCGTCGATCGTCTTGACCAGCTTGCCCTCCTGCGCCAGGTCCCAGCACCGGATTGTCTTGTCGTCGGCCACACTGAACAGGTACTTGCCGCCTGGGTGGAAGACCAGCCCCCGCACCCAGTTGTTGTGGCCCACCAGCGTCTTGATCAGGTTGCCTCGCGAGTCCCACAGCTTGATCGTCTTGTCCCGGGCCCCCGTTGCGATGAACTCAGCCGAGCTCGTCGCCGGCGGCGGCTTCTTAAGCCCCGCCAAAGTCGCCAGGTAGCCATAGCTGGCCGGCGGCGCAAAAATGCAGCACTCGAGGAAGTTCTCGTGACCCAGCAGGGTAGCCTTCGCTTCTGGCGTGGAAGATGAGAGATCCCACACGGTCGCAATCTGGTCGCGGCCACCCGACACCAGCCACTTGCCATCAAACGACGGGTACACGTCGCGGATCCAGTTTTCGTGCGAGCGGATCGTCTTAACGCAGTACCCGGTGGATGCGTCCCAGATCCGGATAGACCCGTCGCGACTGGCCGACACCAGAAGATTGCCGTTGGACGGGAGGAAGCGGACGGCGCACACGGAGTGGTCGTGGCCGGCAAGTGTGCGGATGTTGGCGTACTGGTTGCTCGGGTCCCAGAGCTTGACCGTCAGATCGCTGGAACAGGATGCCAGGAGCGTGTGACCCTTCTGGCCGCCAAAATCCAAACCCGACACCCCGCGGAGGTGACCTTTGAGGGTCTTTTCCAGCTCGCCCAACTCCCAGTCCCAGATCTTGATGGTGCAGTCTTCGGAACCGGACGCCAGAGACGAGAAGACCGGGTGAAACGCAATGGCGGTGATGCCGTCGCGGTGCGACGAGAGGGTGTGACGGGCCGTCGTCGGAAGCCAACTGGTGGGATCTTGATTGGCGCGCGAGCGGCCACTTATGGAGGACGAATCGAGTTCCTCCTGCAGGCTGGCGACTTTGGACTCAAGGTCCATGATCTGCCAGGCGATTAGTTGGCTTTGTGCTTTGTGCGGGCTCAACAGTTCACGGGCACACGTAGTCCCACCTTCCTCTGCAGCCGGGCCACGCTGGTCCATTTCTTTTCCAGAAGACCCTCATATTTCTTACAGGCAACCTCGTCGAAGTTGTCCCCAATAGGCAGCTCTTCGCGGATCGTTTCGACACTGCGGGAGGCGTTGATGGAGTTGAGGTAGGCGACTAAGGATTTGTGTCTGCACCATCACCACCAATGGGTCAGTTCCCAATTGATGCAAGATGAAAGGGGGGGTTGTTTATGTTATACTGACAGTTCCTCCGCCTGTCTCGTGGTCAGAACCACACTCATGACGGCGGTGACAGCGCGAGACGGGGATAGTATGGGGTGTGCTGCCGCCCGAGGCGACGCAAGGGGGGAGTAGTCGCAATGAAGATTGTAAGGAGGGAGACCGTGGCGGAGTGGGAAGGGCACAGGAGAGGCCACCTAAGGTAGACGGAGTAGAGACTGGGAAGAGGAATGGAGAGAAAATCAATGAGAGCGAAAGAGGAGGAGAGAGAGGAGCGGAGAGTATCAGAATGAAGCATCACTGGAGTTGTTTTGTGTTTGTCGGACTGAGAAAGCGCGGGGCCTGAGGCGGGCGCACGTGATGCAGCACGTGTGTTGCGGCCTCAGGTGTCACCCGCGGCGATGCTTCACGGGCTTTCAGACTGGGGATAACGAGATCAACCCGATATCTATGTGAGGACATGGGAGAATGCTAAGAAGTAGAGTCGAGCGAGGTTGTACACGTGTCTATCTACCGAGTAGCTGTATATGAAGCATGATTCTATAATGAAAATTCAATTGCTAGATCCTATACAAGTCCAATCAACGAATCCAATTGCATACTAATACACACAGAGGATCCTCTACTCCACCCATCGCAGGTTGCCCTCCTCCGTTTGCGCCGTTCGCCGGGCCAGGACCTCGGCCACCTTCTCGCGCACTCCCTCCTTGTTGTCCCATTTGGCCGCAAAGACGGCGATGGTCTTGAAGAACTTCTCCGAGTGATCGCGCACGTACTGCTCGATCTCGGCCTCGCTGGGCAACCCAAACCTGGCATGCGGGTAGCTCGTGTAGTTGGCTTCACTGAGCAGCGGCAGACGCTCCTTGCCCTCGGGGAGCTCGAAGAAGGACGTCACGGCCTCATCAGTGACCTCCGACAGCGTGGCCGGCTGCCACTCGGCCTGGCGCGCCGGCTTGGCCATCAGGCGGGCCTTGACGCCCTCCACGAAATCGGGGTGGCGCATGAACATGCCGGCGAGGTGCGCCTCGCGCTGGAAGGCCTCGGAGATGGACCACTCCCGGCCCAGGCGCATCTGTCGCAAGGTCACCTTGAGCGAGGTGGGCGACCGGATTGACAGCGTCTCCAGCGTCTGCCGGGCCCACTTCTTCTGCTTGGTCTCCTTCTCGAGCGCCTGGAAGATCTCATCCACCGTGTTGTATTTGAAGCAGCGGTCGATGGCCTCGCGCACACCGCCCGCCAGCTGCATCGGCTCCTCTTCCAAAGATGGGATCCCGGTCGAGTACTCCGCCAGGGTGCGGTTCACCAGATTGAGGCGTTGCCCGAGTGGCCATTCGTCGTCGAAGACCAGCTCGGCGAGCCGGTTGGTCAGGCTGCTCAGCGAGCTCGAGTGCAGGTAGTGCGTGGCAATGCCCCCGTAGAGTGCCTGCACGCCCTTCAAGCGCTCCGAAGTCAGAGCCAGGTATGTGCCGGTCTCGCCGTCGAGACGGGGAAGGAAGAAGGAGCCGCCCACGTCGGGGAAGAAGCCGATGGTGGTCTCCGGCATGGCGAAGAGAGTGCGCTCGGTAGCGATGCGGAAGGGCGCATGCACGCTCAGGCCGACGCCGCCGCCCATGGTGATGCCGTCCATGACGGAGATGAAGGGCTTTTTGTAGGTCGCGATCGTGTGGTCGAGACGGTATTCAAGTTCGAAGAAATCGGTCGACTGTTGCTGACCCTCGGGGCCCTGTTCGTTCTGTAAAGCCAGCGCGGCCACGTCGCCTCCGGCACACAGCGCTTTGGGACCAGCACCCGAGACCATCACGATGTTCGCCAGATCAGACTTTTCCCACTCCTAGAACCGACGACACCCACGCGTTAGCGCTCTCATTTCCCAAATCACCGTCGCATCTCGGGGTTTAATCAAGGCGCCTCACCTTCATCCGCGGGAGAATCTTGCGCGCCATCGATCCATTGAGGGAGTTCAGTTTCTTCGGACGGTTCAGCTCGATCAGTCGCACACCGTAGAGGGAGCTGAAGAGGACATCATCCGCTTCGTCTCCGGGCAGTTCTTTGGGGATCTCGGGGGTCGTAGACATCTGCGGTCAGTCAGCATGCGCCCTTTCCTCCCAATCCAACACTCCACCGCCGCAACACCCACCTTCGCCGTAGCAAAAAAGGCCGGGTTAGTGACCTTAGCGCGCAGAGGCATGGTGACCGCTGGGGAAGCCCGCGAGATCCAGCTCGTCGGAGGGGAAAGGCGGGAAAAGCTGTGTCGAAGCAGCATGAGTGGAGACCACCTCGAGTGGAGGGGAAAAGAAGGGGGTAGAAAAAGAAGGAGAATGAGAGGGAGGGGGGAGTAGATTGAGTTAGGTTTAGGTCAATTAAGTACTAGTAATGGATTAGAGCGATCGACTGGGGGAGTGACGATGAAGAGAAGCAACAAATCTATCCGTCTCCGCTTTGACGACCTCGGAGTTTTTCGCTTTTCCTCGCCGGCAACCGATCCCAACCGAGCACCACAATGGATTGCCTACTGTTTACGTACCATGATCTTGAGGGGTTTAGTGTACTCTTCAAGTTGAGTAAGGCGTGTTCAATTAGTCAGTTTGTTGTCAATTACAAAATTACTGGTGTCAATGGTAGAATAACCCCAAGTCGGGACAGTGGAAACACTGGCGGACTCGTCCCATAGTAGACTTACAACATGACAGTAGAGGAAATATGTTGGAAAGAATCAATGCCGATTTACATCTATTTGTACACATAGAACAGCCGACCAGCCAGTGCAGTATTACCCATGTCGCCAATCAATAGCCCAAAATTCAATACAACGCCTTGGCGGGCTGTTGGTTCAGATCCCGAGAATGCTCGGCCAGAAGGCGGTCCAACGCCTTCTTCTCGATCACCAACCGTCCGGTCTCGAGAAGGTCCTTCACATCCAGGTCCTCCAGATCCAGGATCTTAGCGTCCTGGCCCACAGCACGCACCGTCGTGAAGAGGTCCTCGTTCAGCTGGTCCGTGATCAGCGTCGACCGTCCAAAGTCCCGACCCCAGCAGTTGACCTTGAAGATCTCCTGGATCAAGTGCGGCGTGGCATCCTCGGGGATGGCAATGTCATTGTCGACGATGATCAACTGGCCGCGTCGATAGCGGTAGCTGACAGCGGTACGCCACGCCTGGTCGTAGATCTTGCGCGGCAACCCCGTCGCAAAGTCCCGGGGCTTCGGTCCAAAAGCCACACCACCACCCTTGCGGATGGGCGACTTCTTGTTTCCCACACGGGCCCGGCCAGTTCCCTTCTGCGGCGCCAGCTTCCGGTTGCTTCCATGCACCTCATCCCGCCATTTGGTGCTAGCCGTTCCTTGTCGGGTCATATCGCCCTCGTACACGACGGCGCGGTGAAGGAGATCTTTGCGGAGCGGCATCATGAGGTGGTTTCGGGGGTATTCGACAAATCGAAGGGGCTCCATGGACGGGAAGGAGTAGGTGGTGGCCTGGACGGGTTGAGTCCATCGGGAGCCCGCTTGGGGGGCTTCGCGTGTGAGGAAATCGGTCGTCTGGGATTCGGTGGCCATTGACCGGGAGAACGACTTGGTCATGCATCGTTGCTAGAGCTCAATCAGCATTCGTCTCAAGGAGACTTCAAGTACAATCATATCATAATAAAAGAGAGCCGTACCGTTGTGGTCTCAGCGCCCGACAGCAGGCCCCCCGAGGTGCGCGACAGCCATCTCAACGCACGAAGAGCGTCTGATCCCGGCATTTTCCAAATCAATAGAATCCTGAATTACCAGGAATGAAAGGTGGAATGGAAAGGAAGAGAAAGTCGACCGGGGAGAGTAGAGAGAGTGAAGCGCAAAAGTTGCAGGTCGGAGAATCTGGCGCTAACCCGCTGAGGTCTTGGCGGAGAACGCAAAAAAGACTTGACTGTCTTTTCGACTTCTCCGACCACCAACCACCGCCGAATCCCCCATCAACACCTCTCTCTCTCTCCACATCCCGTTCTCCCTTTCGGTCTGATCAAAATGGCCCATTGCGAGCGGGCGTCCAAGCCCCTGCTGCAATGTCTTCAAAAGGCCTCTACTAGGGGTCTTCCCGCCCTTCAATTGTCCTCGACGCGGACCTTCCAAACATCCGCCCGAGTCCAAGAGGAAGCGCAATCTGAGGTCCAGAAACAGCCGTTCAACAAGTCGCCGGATCCCGCCCTGGTCTCGAGTCCCCGGTTAGAAAGACGATTGATCCGGCAGGGAATTTCTCCGGTCGGATCCCGTCGACGTCGCGCGGCCCTGCAGGGCTCGGCCAACATCCCCTTCGCGCAATTGCCGTATCAATGTTTCCAGGAGGCCCGCAAGGTGCTGTCGCAGGATCGCGAAGAGAAGCTGGAGGAGATCACACGGTTGCGGGAGAAGATTGCGCGACTGGAGGTCCGGCCGGTCGAGGAGGCTGGAGGCGAGCAGGTGAAGAAGTCCCGGCTGGGCGGGATGCAGAAGCATCTGGAGCACCTCAAGGTTCTCGCGGACATCAATGACCCGCAGGTGAAGAAGAAGTTTGAAGATGGACAAGGTGAGATGATTTCCGTCTGAGTCTATTTCCTGTGCTTACCGGTTGTTTTTTTTTTTTTTTCTAGGCGACATGAGCAAGCCCATCTACCGCTACTTGGCCGACCAGAAATGGCGCGAATACCGACGCAAGATCCTCGTGCAAAGAATCACCCAGATGAAGGTGGTCCCCGACGTCCTCCCCCATTGTGATCCTACCGTCGACACTAAGCTCTACTTCAACCGGAGTGCGGTGCAGCCGGGCGATTTCGTCCAGGCGAACGCGAGTACCACGGCGCCCAAGCTGGACATCCAGCTCTTCGAGGGCGGCGAGAAGCTCGTCACCATCGCCATCGTCGATCCCGACGTCCCGAACCTCGAGACGGACGGGTTTGACTTCCGGACACACTATCTGGCCGTCAACGTGCCCATCTCGGTCACCTCGACCAAGGTCGACCTGGCCCAACTCTCGGCGGAGTCGCAGATGGTCCTGCCGTGGGAGGCGCCCGTCACACAAAAGGGCAGCCCCTACCACCGACTGTCGCTCTTCATCCTGGAGCAGAAGGACTCCCAGCCGCTGGACTTTGCGGCCGTCAAGGCCAAGGAGTCGGTGCGCGACAACCAGCTGCTGCGCACGCTGCAGGGCCGCTACCACCTCAAGGCGATCGGGGCGCACCTGTTCCGATCCCAGTGGGACGAGACCACGTTGGAGGTGATGGAGAAGATCGGGTTCCCGCTGGCGGACGTGGAACTGCGCCGCAAGAAGATCGATCCTCTTCCGTACAAGCGGAGGAACCCGTCGACCTTCCGGTAAATGTCTTTAGTTTGAATCATTTTAGATTTATCATGTACTGTACAATGGGATGTATAAATATGCACAACGAAAAAAAAAGAACAAAGCCACAACTCCCAACTCCATGCTTCTAAATAGTACACCGTAAATTACCGAATCGACAGCAAAAGGAAAAGAAAGTAGCAAAATCAATCCTCCTGAGCCGGTTGCATCGTGTTTTGCACCCACTGCATCTTCGACGGCGGCCACACCCTCGCGATGATCTTCCCATTGATCAAGCCCATGGGAATAGGGCCATAATTTCTCGAATCCCTCGACCAAGGAAGATTATCCCCACCGAGGTAGACATGACCCTCCGGGACCTACACCCATTAGCCTCTCTTCTTACCTGCCCCCCAAATCGCAATCAAAAAGGAACCAGGAGAGGAAAGGAACCAACCTGAATCATCTCCCCCTCCCCCCCAACGCCCGTACTAAACGGCAAATCCCGACAGACAAAATCCCCCGGCATCCCCAGCACGCGTTTGGCGCCGTGGACGCCCAGAAACGTCGGGTGGTAGAAGCGCACGACGTCGCCGACCTGCACGTCGCGGCCGCGCTGGTGTACGCGCGAGATGAGCAGGTGGTCGCCACGCGGGCTGAACGTCGGATACATCGAGGGGCCTTCGCTCAGCTGGATGGTGAAGAGGTGCTCCCAGGCGAGGGTGCAGGCGCAGAAGATGCCCATGCCGTCGACGACGAGGCGGGGGATGGATTTTGATGTCATTTTTTTTTATCTCTCTGTTTTTCGTTTTTATTTCTGCTTTTTGTCTTAATTGTTATTTCTTTCTGGTTTGGTTGTCTGGGTGTTTATTTTCATGGTACTGTATTGCATGTAGCTAATGAAGCCTGGATATAAGCTAGTCACTTACATCGGCGGATGTATGTCACGTGCCGCTCGGCCGTTTAAATTCGACTTTTTTGTGCGCGCAATTTTCTCTTTTCTTCTTTCCTCCCACATCTTGATCACCATCTATCTGTCTATCTGTCTATCCCCGTGGTATCTGTACTATTGTACATGTCTACAGGGCTATGGCTATCCATGCTATAGCCATGAACTACATGATGAATTGAAACAATTCCTCAATGCCTGAACTTGGCGTCAGATTAATGCATCTTGACCCGATCACCATACTACCCGATATGATACGATATGATATGATTACATGACAAGATGATGTAGTATCAGCTTCTAAAATTGCTAGAGCTCACCGCTGCCGAAATAAAAAACCAGAGCGAGTGAGTGTGGACAGTGAAGCAAGATGAACATTTGTTGTCTTCGGATAACTTCCCTGAACGATAGCCCGGCGTGGACCCCATTTAACTATGGGAATGGGATGCTGGGTGGTAAAGATGGGAGACATCACTTTAGACTATCTTAATACTATTGACATTATTATCATTTTACACTGTACTTGTCTTGTCCTACTTAGGCTTGCCAGCATCTGCAGCTACATGTTGTTAGCATTCATACAACTCTCATGAAAGAAAAGAAAGAGTTAAAACATACCAGGATCCATATCCACATCAGGAATATCCTTCCTCATCTCCGCCTTCTTAGCGGTATCAATCCCAAACCGCTGGTCCCTATCCTTACACAACTCACTCAACCCCCCCTTCTCCGCCAGCTTCACAGTCTCCTCAGAGACAAAGCTCCCCATCAGCACAGGCGGGCCCAACGGCAGCGCATCGCCGCGATCCACCTGCCAAAAGTGGTACGTCTTGCCGTACAGCGGCGCCACGTCGTACATCTCGGACGTCTCGGCCGTGTCCCACGCGATGTCGGGCATCATTGCGGGCGAGGGCATGACGAGCATGCCGCTCTTGACTTCGAATTCGTGCGTGTGCCAGAGGTGTTTTTCTTCTTCGGGGAGCGTGCGGAAGAGGCGAGGGGAGATCATGTATTCGAGGCCGATGAGGCGCGCGTTGGCGTTGGGGGAGTCGTAGAGGAGGCATTGTCTGATGTCTTTATTTATATTGCGTTAACTTTCCTTTCTTTTCTTTCTTTCTTTCTTTCTTCCTTTCTTTCTTCCTTTCTTTTTTTCTTCTTATTTTACTGTAGGGGTAAAACTAGATAGTTAAAAGGGAGAGAAGAAACACACCCTCAGTAATATGCGAACAGTAATGATTCGCCTCCACACATCTCGTCGGATCATCAGCGTAGACATGGAACGCATTCAAATGGGCGCAGATCTGCTTGACAGGAGTGAAGTTCTGCACTGCAGCAGCGCCTGTCTCGAGGACTTTGCTTTTGGTGGTTCGAGGGGAACCGGGAAGGGGGGGATTGTCGTGGCAGGTAGACATTTTATTTATTTTTCGATTAATTGATTGGATTACTTAACTGTTAACTTGTAGTAAATAGATAGATAGGTAGGGATTGGAGGAGGATTAATTTGGGAATGGGATATCTGGGGTGAGTATATAAAAGTATGGTGACACCTGACGTCACTATGATAGTGATACTTAAACAAGATGGTGGATATCTTACTTCAGGATTCGCCTTTTCCTGGATACTGGATCATAGGTTCTTATGATATAAGATTGGGATTTGGTTGTAAATAGACTATAATGGTGTATTTGTGTGTTGAGTAAATCTGTTACTTTAGATCGTTTTACCTCTTGAGAATATCATATAGCCAGATTGGACGTAACAAGTCTAATCGCACGTCTACAAATATGCTTTGGGTCAGTCGGTAGATACGGCAGTTCCAATCTCTTATAATTATGATCAAACGTGATCACTACATATTATTCTTCATCTCCCGCAACGCAGCCATCACCTCCACGGGATTCTTCTTGCCCGTCTTCTGCTGGATCTCAGGGTCCTACAGCCATTAGTCGCAAAACTACAATCAAGCGGCTACACTTACCTCAACACGCATAAACACGTTATGCAGCTACAGCCGTCAGCTAACCGCACACAGATAAAAAACAAAAAGAGGAAGTAAGAGCACACCTTTTCATCACCGATGGTGAACTTCCCCTGCGTCTGCTGGCTCTGGTCCGCAAACGCCTGCAGCTTTTGAATGGGCTCCGACTGCGACACGGTAGCGCAGAACTTGACGTTTCCTTTGGTGTATTCATGTCCGGGCTTTCATCGTAAGCTGTGCACTACAAGGAGGGAAAGAAACCAACATACATAAACCTTGGTATCATCCGGGAGAGAAGCAAGCGTCTCGTTCAGCGCCTTGTGCATCTCCGCGGCAGTGCCTTCGAAGAAACGGCCGCATCCTGACATAGACACATTTTAATCAGCAACTCAAGACCACAACATGGAAGGGAAGTTTCCGGAGGGTTGAATAAGGAATACCTCCGATAAAGAGCGTATCCCCAGTAAAAACCACCCTCTGATCCCCATCCTGCATGAAATAGCACACACTATCCTGCGTATGACACGGGGTATGCAGCGCCGTAACGGAGATACGATCTCCGATCTTGAAGACCTCGCCGTGAGCGGGCTTCTTCGTCGCTGACTGGCAGTCGCGGCCTCCGATTACGGGAAGCTTGCCGAAGATTTTCAACTGTCACCCTTAGTTAGATCTATCTATCAGAAGTAGATTGCCCCAGAAGGATAGGAATACCATTTCCTCGTTGCCGCCAGCGTGGTCCCAGTGGCTTTTCATATCAGCGGCTTTGCTTCCACCTCTCTATACAAGAGGAACATACTGGTGGGTATTGACGATAGCAGTCAAGTCGATCTTCCCAGCCTCAAGCTGGGACTTGAGCACGGGAGCCACTCTACCCAGTTAGTATAAAACTACCTGCCACAACTACCAACAAGACAGGAGACAAACTCGGGCGGATTGGCCGGATCGATAATAACAGACTGCTTGGTCGGCTCGTCTGTCACCAGATAGGCATAGTTATTGCCTTTCCCGGTCCCTGATATCAAATCAGCTATGGACTGGCATTTCGACCGTTGGGTCTGTTATTATTTGATAGGTAGTTCCATACACATGGGAATCGAATGCACGTGCATGGTTCTGGATTGTAATCGTGTCGGTGCGCGACGGACTGAAAATCGGGTCAGGGACAAATAAGGGCGCAGTCCAGCTGTGGGCCTAAGGGCTGTGAAGAAGTTCATGGATTGAGGGTCAATAGGGGGCGTGAGACTGAGTGATACAAGATGATGATTCCCCTCTTCAATTGATGATGCGGATTACCAATGACGTTGGGGCCGTTGATTGGTGGGGTCAGCCACTGTGGCGGTGCATTATCTGCCTGGAGATGAATGATGCTATCCAAAACCTAATAAAATACAATAAGATAAAGAAAAAGGAAAGAAAATTGGTTTTTTTTAAAAGGCAGAATAATATTCTAAGCCACTCCCAACGGCCGACTATCCCAAGCTCCATCCATTTCCCAACCGTATTTCCCCAATTCCCGCGCAGATCCATCCACATCCCCATCCACCTGCATGGAATCCGCCTCGAGCACAGCCTCAGCTCTGCGCAGAGGCTCTCCTGACGACGCTTCCTCCACCACCCCCTTCAGCAACCGCATCCAATGGCCGGAGCTCGCCTCGCACGCAGCCCGCGCATACACCAACGACAGTACCCGCCGGCGAGACGCCCACTCTGTCGATCGTAAGATGTGGTCCAACCACAGGAAGATCCCTTCGCGGTAGGCGTCGTCCTTCTCCTTGCTATTGGCCTTGGCTACCGTGAAGGCGAGCATATCCACCATCTCCTCTGCCAGAGACGTTAGGAAAGCCGGACAGCTGTCTGTCAGCGTCTGTAGGCATGGGTCCCACCGGGAGAAGGCATCGTCCATGGAGTCGTCAAGTCTGGGAATGTTAGCCATTTTCTTCAGGCCCTGACTGAATAGAAGATGAAAAGAAAGAAAGACACATACCTTCGCCCCCCAGGAATAAGCGCCCCCTCCTCCACCAACCCCCCACAAACAGCCCTCCTCCCCTCCTTCTCCGTACACACCGACCCCAACCTCGTAGCCAACGACGTCCCCATAAGCGTCTGCACACGCCGCTTCTTCCTTGCGGGCAGTTGCTGCTGCTGCTGCTCTTGCTGGCTTTGCTGCTCCCCCTCCTCCAAAAACAATCGTACACAGTCGCGAACAGCTTCCCTAAGCACTAGCAGAGCGTCCTCATCATCAGCCTCAGTAGGCGGCGGCGGCAAGAAAGCGGCGTCGGGATCGGCCTTGACCCAGTAATAATCCCACAGCCACTCCAGCGAGCGCTGGGTGGCGTTGCGCAGCACGACGAGCGAGGGCGGCTCGCGGTGCGTGGCTTCGTGTCGAAGTTCAACGAATGATGCTGGAAGGCCTAGGTCCACGGCGCGCTGGAACATGGTCTTCCGTTGGCCGGGTTGTTTGGAGTCCACGAGGGCGGTTACGAATCTGATATATCATTTAGCTTTTCTTTTTTTCTCTCTTTTCTTTTCTCTTTTTATCTATTAGAGATAGAGGTGTGAGGACTAACCGACAAAACGCAGCAGAATAAGTCGCCCGAATAGCAAAGATGGAATTCTTCTCTGCATCATCATGCAAGATAGCATCGGTCAAGAGCGCCGTCGCTTCCACAGCGTGTGGTAAATTGCCGCGTAGTTTCCATGCAGCGACCTATTAAATAGTTAACTAGATTTCTTTTCAAGTGTACACATATATTACTATATACATATACTATTTACATAATATAATATGTATAGCATGTAGTAAAATATATGACATATTGTAGAAAAAGAAGGAAGGAAGGACAATATAGGTAGGTACATACTATAGCACAAGCGGTGGATCGCATATCAGTCCCATCATAAGACTCAGCAGGATAGAAGAAGGACCGAACGGCGAGTAGCTCGGAGGCGTCTTTCCAAGGGGTAAAGATGACTTTTGCCATTCTATCTATTTACCCACTTTATCTCGGCTTGGGGTATTTGCTGATTGAATAGTATTCGGTTTATGTCTGAATGCTGGATTGATTGATGGAGGCTGATTTTTGTGCACGGTGGATGGTTGTTCCGGGCCGCTCTCTTCTGTATACTCTGCTCAACTTACTATGTACCGACGTCATGTTGAATGATTTGTTTTTATTTAGACGGTGGATTAGTATGTATTTTCTGTTCATATTACAAGCACGGGATCATAATCTTAGTTAAGTGTTGATTCTATTCATTTCGTGTATAATATGTGATCTCGTAATCCTCTCGGGTATTCGTCAATGCAACCAAACCCAAACCCAAACTCCGTGCTATGCGACTGAATAACAAGCTGAAACAACATAATAATGGATAAAAAATCAAGAAGAAAGCCACCAAAGCAAAAATGAAATGCAAAGAATGAAAAAGGCGAGCCTAGATCCACCCATATCCGTAATTCATGCAAGGCTGAGCCAGATTAAAGAGCTGCTGCGCCCCAACAACCGGCTGCGCAAAGTCTTGATCGAAGAACGATTTCTGGGCCATGGTCGCGCCCGCGTTTTCGGGCTTGGGGGGCGGCTTTGAGCTGTGCGGTGGTACAGTCTGCTCTTGAGGCTCGTCGTCGGAGTCATCATCATCATCTGCTTCGGCGTCCTTGTCGTCCGAGTCAGATGGCGTGAACGTCTCCTCGAGTTTGAGACCCTTGCCGCAGAGGCTGCTGAGCGGGGCGTCGGGGTTGCTGTAGAGGCCCATGCCGACGAGCTCGTCGCCGGGCTCGTTGTCGTCTCCGTTCTGCACAGGAGAAGAAAATGATAAAGAGGGCTGGTCGAAGAGGCCGTCTGGGGTGGAGGGCGCACCGGTCAGACAGGCTGACGAAGGGGCGCTGGGGTAGCTGGGAGGCGCGAGGTCGGCACACGGGATGCTGTGGGTCATGGACATCATGTCGAAGGACCAGCTGTCGGGCATGGGTTGGGTGAGGGCTCCACTATCCCATGCGGCGGCCATGGGATCGATCTGGTTGGCGGTAGTGTTGGTGGTGGTGGCCATGTGCTGCTGTTGCAGGAAGGATTCATCGTCCATGGGGGCGGAATCGGGCATGGCGGGGAAGGAGGATCCGGACAGCGCGTACTGAGGGAGCATGGTTGCATCTCCAAAGGAGGCGGATGTCGTAGGGGTTGCGTAGTACTGGGAAGCAGCAGGAGCAGGAGGGCAGTAGGCGGAAGAGTCGAAGGTTGCGGGGTGCCAGCTTGTCGGGCGAGTCGTTGGTCTGCGCATGGACGCGGCCAACAGGGCGGCGTTATACGCCGATGCTGGGCGAGGTGGTTGATACTGGGCGGTTCGTCTGGCTGTCGACGACGATGGACTGTTACCCGCACTTCGAGGCTTGGAGATGCGACTGGCGTGACGGTTTGGTCGTGGAATGGCCTGCATCAGGTCGCGAAAGGTCGAGGCGCTCCAACATGGTTGATTCTGAGGCATCCATTGGGAGCCGGGGAGCATGGTTTGTTGGAAGTGTGCCATGGTATACTATAAATGTATACTATAGATGTATAAAATATACACTTATATAGATATAGTATATGTTCATACACTATATGTATAGTATAGTGTAGAGTATATGATCTTTAGATGAGTCGAGGTGGAACGGCAGATATAAGTAGTCGAGGGTTATCAATTATATCAGGCCGAACGGACCATGGATGACTGCAGCAATGCAATATGCGACGGATCGTCACGATGGAAGTTTGTCGTTCGACGAGACAAGTTGCAGGGGGGAAGAAAGGAAGAGAGAAGGGAGGGTCACAAGGCGTCAGGCAAGGCACAGAAAACAGGAACAACGAGGAGGTTGACAGGGTATATCAATAATCTTACATGGTCTAGGTCAGAAGAGTCAGATAAATGAAAGAAAAATAAAAACGGGGAAAATAAATTGAAAATGAAAGTAAAATTGAAAGAAAAGGAAAGAAAAATTGATCTACCATCCGCAGCTCCACGATCCCATTGATAGACACCAGTTGGAACGGGCACCAGAGTGACAAGTTGACACCGGGATAGGGACTAGTGGGTGATGATTACTCGTGATTACTGGTCTTGGATACTTGGATTACTCGGTCAGGAAGTAGTATAGTAATTAGGAAGCACTATAGTACGGAATTAAAGTCCAACTATCTTAGTCGCGTAGTTTGAGGAGTGATGATTCAGGCGCGCTGGACCCGGACCCATGGACGGTGGAGGATCCTGCACGGTCAATGGTGGATGGAGAAGGAAGTGGAGGGATCATTCAGTCACTCTATTATTTATTATTCTTTTTTATTATTATTATTTTTTTTTGTGATTTAATATACATATTCTTTCATCTTAAATTAATCAATACTGGGAGAATTCTGATTTGGAGTAACCCAATTAGGGCTTTTCTCCATCAATACGTGGGGATCCGATCACCGTTCCAAGTCCTCGTATTGGTATGGTAATCGTGCGATGGAAATGGATGGAGATCCCCACACGTTCACCGTTTCCAGTCCGTTCCAAGTACAGCGCGTGTTACGCAAGGGCGACTCCATTCCAATATTTGGCCCGCCTTGCTCCATTCCAGTCTTAAGTATGGAGTACTTCCTATTCCTAATACAACTTGATCCTCCAGCCTGACCAGTGGGGGTTTTCAAACCTTGGTTTTATTAGGGATAGAATATCATTTGCCACGACCACTGTCGGCAGGAGTAAGCATTGGGTTGACTCGAGAGTCAAGCAGAGTCAAGAGAGCCTGAGAGTGGAGTGCTCCGTCTCTTCCAGACTGTTGATCCTCAAGAATAGGTTGGTTGGTGTTGGTGACTCCTTTGCTGTGTTACCTCATCACCCCGTCACGTCACAAGGGCTCCATATCTCTACGCTAGAATGGGATGGAGTGAAGGAGGACGGACTAGAATAGTGGCTGGACCCGTGCTGGAACCATGCTGGAACCGTGTTAGAAGTGTTGGAACCGTGCCTTGGAACACCAAATTAAATGATCACAATCATTATAGCCAAGTAAAAATATAATAATAATGATGATAATAAAATAAAATAAAAAAGTTCCGTGCGACGTTCCTCCGTACGAACCTGGTCCCCTTCGAATTCTTCCAATCGGACAATTGAGATCATCGGTTGAAGAGCCCTTCAAATCAGAATCCCCATCCATCCACCCACCGGGACATGTGCAGCACTAGACGCGACTTATTTTTATTCTCCTTCTGGCTTCCCAGGAGGCCGATCTTTTCCGTCAAGGGACACGGTCCGGTTGCATCCATCCCATTCTCCCCACGTCCACGTCTTATGAATGATTCTTGGACAGGATGAGGTTCACCGCTGGACGGGATCGTTGCCGACACACTGTATTATCTATCTACTGCTATACTACTCCGTGTTGTTATAACCGCGACAACGATAACAACAACTACTCCCACTATAACCTCGGAATAATGGCAATGAAAATAGATCATAATGAAAATAACATAATAAATCTATAATCTTAATAATAATAACATAGAAGAAGAAGAATAAAATAAATAAGCTAGCGATTTGGCTCGCCCTAGCGCCGTGTCATCAGCCCCGATGGTTCCAACGTCGTAGCATCCAATCTCTCCAATTTCGGTACGAGTCCATCCCTCATATATACTCTCCGTCTCTCCGTCTCCTCCGTACATAATTTCTACTGGGTATCACTATCCACATGCACATGCATGTCCCAACGCACAGGCTGTAGTAATATGTACGGTACATATCATCATCCAGCAGGATCCATGCGTATGCGTTTAGGTAGTCCGCAATTACGGCCTGGGGCCATGTCAGCTGCGCCGTCCGTATCACTTTGGTGGGGACAATATCATCGTCTCTTATAGTCATTATACACGGAATATCACTTAGAACACGGAACACCATGGAGTACGTATGAGAGACTATTCCGCATCCCATACGAGTACAGAAGTTCAGCCTCAGAAAGACGAGGGGACGAGATACATCCAAGGCTAGTCAGCTTTGCCGCGTGCCTGCTGCCTTGGCCTGCGCCACAGCGCCTGATTCTGACCAGGTCGATCGGGGAGGAAGCCCAGGATTGCAAGCTAGTCAGTCAGTCATGTCTGACTTTGGCCCTTGGCCGTGGCCTTGACGACCAGTCCAGACACTAGGCTGGTTTACGTATAGGGCGACAATCCAAGTGGAGCTGGTTCAGATACGATGGAATGATATGTGCCCCGCAGACCGTCATTCATGTCCGTCCCTTCCCCTTGTTATTCCCATCCCCTGGGTGAAAGGAAATGATGGAGGAGTCATTCTTTGATCACTATTTTTAACTTTGTAATTTTTTTTTTGCTTTCTTACCCTTTCAAGAGGGGAGGGTTACAGGTGTTCTGTCCCTTGAGTCGAGGTGTACGTGCAGACACATCCTACAGAGTACGGAGTACGGGTACGGATAGACGATATGCATATGATGATGCGTATGCAGGCTCCAGCATTGCATCACCAAGTGTCTATCCCTCTACTCCGTATCTATCCATCTATTGATCAGTCTCTCCGGAGGAGAAACCCTGAAAAAGGAAAAAAAAAAAGACCGGTGGAAACCATTCAGCCAATCACGCTCCACCGTCCGATCTTTCTATCAAAATTAGGGCCACCTCTTGACCTTCACTAGAGAAACCTACTAACCCTTAGTTCGGTCCAAACTTGAGAGGGGGAGGGGCTGGACGGTGAACTGTCCACACCGCAGGAAGCTAGCATAAGCCACGGCACGAGATCTCAAGTGTGGGCGTAGTTGATGGGGGATATTGATTGAACGACTCCGGACTAGGGAGGTATGCAGGATGCTATGTTGAGGTATTTCTCTTCTTTCTTTTTTTGTATTTTTTCTTTCTTTTTATTATTGGTATTGTTTTTTTTTTTGCCACTTGGTTAGGTAGTTGTACGGCTTGCTACATGTGCAGCCTGCATACGGAGCATGCAGCAGTTGCATTTCCTCAGATCGGGGGTTCTGCTTTGAGTAAGGTCTGAAACCCTACTTGCCTCCATCATCAACCGGTATGGACGATGGAGTTCTCCTCGGGAGAGGGACACCTTGCTTGAATGGTGGGCCGTCTCAGGCATTCATCACTGCAGGGAAGCCATCATTGATGACCATACCTCCCTAAGTAGTACTCCGTTGGTCGTTTAGATGAAAAGGAAAAGGCAAGCAATCTCGGATGATCATAGGAGGCCGGTGCTTCAGCTGATGCCACTATCCCTCTCCCTTCTCTTTGGTTGCCTCGTGGAGAGGGGAACGAGTCGACACTAGACTAGAGATCAAGGCGGTTTCACCATCCCTTAAACGATCAGACCGAGCACTCCGCTGATAGTCAAGTCATCCCTTCCCCGCTGTGTTGGACTTGGACCTTGTAAGTTTGTAACGAATCCACTCGCCGACCGAGAATGATGATGTTGAGGGATCGGCTGGATTGATGGTCGAGCGCCTGCGTACTCCGTGAGACACTTCAGTTAGAAAAATCAACATAGATCATAAATCAAAAATCAAAAATAAGAATAAACTCAATCGCTGAGGAGAAATGACACTGTCTCTCTCTCTGTATACAGGAAGTACTCGTCTGCCTACTCGATATCATCATGAACAGCATCAAATTCATCGATGATATATTACTGCAATAGGTAATACTCAACTGAAAGAACTGTGGACACAGCCAGCACTAACGAGCCTAACGAGACCATCGGGACCAACTATTATAGTCCGTCTCCATCGATGACCTCCTACCTACCTCGTCTAGGCGTAAGATCCTGCGGCATTGTCACGGTAGATCCAAGTGGAGCCCGGCGCAGCTTTGACGTTGCAAAAGCGGCAACTCCGATCAATCAACTGGCTTGTTTTCTTTTCTTGTCCCCACCTCCTTTTTTTTTTTTTTTCTCTCTCTTCCTTCTGACTTTCTATTCTTGCTATTTTCCTTTCCCGGTCTCTCCTCTAGCACTAACCTTGTTGTCTCACTTCTCCAGTTTTGGGTTTTTCTCTTCCCTCCTTGCCGTCCCTGGCCTCAAGTGTGACGGCGACTAAACCCCTGACCACCACCCTTCCCACCACCAATCATTCCCCACTCAGAAGTGGGTCGAGTGGGTCGAATCACCGTATCATGCCTGTCCCTTGTGGTCCAGCCAATGCAGGTGAAAAGTCACACGTCCACGACGTGGGTGTGGTTGGATTGCCGAAATGACGATCAGGCCGGAGTCTCAGACAGCTCAGTCTCATTCTCTCACGTGATGGACTATCATCTCATCCATACTTCATCCAGAGGATGGACTCCTGATGGAATTCAGGTTCAGACCCAAACATAATTCAAACGTAATGGATGCTTCGGACTGAGCGGTTACGCCGGTTAGTCGTGAGTGGAGCCCGATTACTCGGTGGCTGGTATCCGGGCACGTTGTCGGGATGATCTCCATTTCTTTCTCGTCACTATTGGATTGGGGGCCTTCTTGGTTGATTCTGGTCCGTTTCTATTGCCTTTCGATGGGGACTTTACCCTTGCGACCCATGGGATTCGGTTGGCTAGAGGATTCTAGTCACCCAGTACGGAGTACTCCGTACCCCGTAATGACTTCCAGTTCCTCATCTCGGTGCAGATTCCACGACTAACGACTCAAAAGAGTCAATTCGATTCCACCAACTCAGGGGAAGAACCCAGATCACCGTGTGGAATGTGGATCCTGTCCCATTCGGTACCCGCCACCGTTCCATCCTCCAAAAACGTGTCCTCTCGGGCTTTTCATGCTGTTTGCGCCCCGAGGAGAAAGTCGTATTCGCCGAGTAACTCTTAACTGTGTACGAGGACGAACGTCAATGACCCCTGAAAGTCGAAATGTATGCATCCAATACGATAGTCATGACACACCCCTCCGAGGCAGACAATCCACCGCGGCTCGAATCAGAATCCTTTCCATTCCGTCTTGCGATCAGCGCCGTGCACGGATACCTCCCGCCAGCCTTGTGACGGCCTGACGAATCGCTCACTCGCATTAGATTTGAGACCACGGCGGGAGCGACAGAATAGGTATGTAGCAAGTAGATGTCGAGTCGTCCGGCCTAAGGTTCAGTCCATTGGCTATCCTCTCCCCCTTCACAACCTACCTACCACACCCATGTCGGGCTCTGTGAGACCGGCTTTCCCCGGGTACTCTTGATTGTTCCATGTATACTGGGTTGTACGGCCGGATCGAGCTTGGTCCAATAGGATTCGGACCGGAGACAAACTCGCGGGTTTGTGCTGGTGCAGTCCATCTGCGGTGGTTAGGCTAGATAGGAATGATTTTCTTGACTGGATCTGATTGTAATCATTCTACGGAGTACCGAGTAGTAGCCGACGGTAGAATTGTACCTGTGTGGATTAAAATATGAGTCGTGCTGGTTGATATCATCCAGACGGGATATATATATATCCAATATATGTGGCATTTATATGATCCGATCAACACCCGAGGCTAATCAGCCAACCAATTGCCCTAATTTCGAATGCAATTGGATTTCTCGGGTAGAACTACTTTCTTCAACCACCTTTCAAACGAATTAGAATACCTATAGGTATCTGACCTTAGATATAACTGAGGGTGAACGATCAATCCCATTGGCAAAATGCACCACCGCCTTCAGACCGACGTCATAGATACCTTCCCCCCCGGTGAATCCTTTCTCCAATCTCGACCAGCCATCAATTACATCATAGCTACTTGAAGCAAAGAATAAAAAAAAAGTAGCCCAAGACAAGCACCTCAATCAATAAACCGCCCGAGGTTTGCTAAATCATGGATCAAGCTCGAATGGTAGGTCCCGCTTCCCCTCCCCCACTGCATGGCGATTGAATTCCCGGCTGACTGACAGGGGGGTAGAGCATCGAAGAATCCAGGCGGGACTCGGAGGCGCATCACAAACTCGAGGTGAATTGCAAATATTTCTGCAATCGGCGGAGAGGCCTATTGGCTGACGCTGCGTGTGTGAATTCAACAGGTCGTCCTGTCCCCCGATTGCAGCAACCGTCGCAAATCATCGCTCGTCGTGGCGGATGGATCCAAATCCCGACCCCATGTGGATTGCTCGGATGAAAAGACCGCTTGCTTCGTGCATTCGCTCATCGCGGGGGAGTGGCTGTCGCCGAAGAAGGAGCGGCGGCGGCGGCAGCAGCAGCAGCAGCAGCAGGAGCAGCACAGCGCAGTCGAGTCCGAAAGCGACGAGGAGGGGGTCCATGCCATTGAACAAAGCGATGACGAAGAGCCAGATGTGTCGATCAAGGTGCAGTCGCGACAGCTGACCAAGCGGCAGCTGTCGGACATGGCGTGGAACGTGCGCAAGCTGTCCAAGAGGCTCGACAGCATCAAGCTGAAGCTGACGGTGCAGTCCGTCTTCGTGGTGACCAAGGCGGGCGATGAGTCCGTTATTGGATTGACGCGCGAGCTAACGCGGTGGCTGCTGTCGCCTGAGCGCGAGAGGCGATACACCGTCTACGTGGAGAAGCGACTGGAGACGGAGCCGCAGTTCGGGGCGTCGAAGCTACTGGCGGAGGAGCCGTCCGCGGAGGGCCGTCTGCGCTACTGGGATACTCAGTTCGTGCAGGAGCAGGCGCACCGGGTTGATTTTGCGATCACGCTGGGCGGCGACGGCACCGTGCTCTATACGAGCTGGCTGTTCCAGCGTGTTGTGCCGCCTGTGCTGTCTTTCGCGCTGGGCTCGCTCGGCTTCATGACTAAATTTGACTTCAATGACTACCGGGACACACTGAGCACAGCGTTCCGCGAGGGCGTCATTGTTAGTCTGCGATTGCGCTTCGAGTGCACTATTATGAGAAGCAAGCCGTTACCGGAGCACACGCCAGAGAGCCATCGGAAGCGGGACCTGGTGGAGGAATTGATCGGGGAAGAGCCCGACGACACGTTGACCCATCAGCCGGCCAAGGTTGTTCAGATCTTGAACGATGTCGTGCTGGATAGAGGGCCGAATCCGAGTATGTCTACCCCTACCTATCTGTCTAGCTATATGCCTGGCGATCCGCCTAGCTATCACACGACCATCTACTAACTATCACAGCCATGTCGTCTATTGAACTGTTCGGCGACGACGAGCACTTCACCACCCTCCTTGCTGACGGCGTCTGCATCGCCACGCCCACCGGCTCAACAGCGTACAACCTCGCTGCCGGGGGCTCGCTCACGCACCCGGACAACCCGGTCATCCTCGTCACCGCGATTTGCGCGCACACGCTGTCCTTCCGACCGATCATCCTCCCGGACAACATCGTGCTCCGCATGGGCGTGCCGTACGACGCGCGCACCAGCTCGTGGGCCAGTTTCGACGGACGGCAGAGGTGAGTTCTTAGGTATCCGGTGTCTTATGACATTTCGTCATTGGGCATCGTACCGTCCCTCCTCTAGCTTAATGTCAATTGGCTAATCAATCCAGGATCGAACTCCACCCCGGTGACTACGTGACGGTCTCCGCGTCTCGATTCCCGTTCGCGAATGTGCTGCCCCCGCGACGTGGCCGACGCGGCGACGACTGGGTGCATAGCATCTCCAAGACACTGAACTGGAACTCGAGAGAGCGGCAACGGGTGTTGAAGTAGGTAACGCCTGTCTGATCAGACGAGTGAACGAGTTGCATTTGGATTCAGGATGGGTTTGCATGGTTCTGGACTGAAAATACATGCTAGCATGTAGCATGATCTGTTGACGGTGTACTATATGTCAAACTTAGTGATTTTATGAATAATAGTGATGATCTACGAGCATAATAGAAAGCAACTCGACTGAATGATGTTATATTATCAAAACGAATGGTGGAGTCTCTAGAAGCTTCGTTGGACTTATTTTTTTTTTTTTTTATATATGGGCCGGTGGGTTTCCCGGGTAGCAGTAGCAGCAGCAGCCTGAGGCCGACGCGACTATAAAAACCCCGACCCGCCCGAGAATTTTTCTTCTTTCTTTCTTCACTTCTTCACTGTTCAACTATTGGAACTATCCAGGCGACTCCCACACAGAGTATCTGCTCAATAATGTCTTGACCAGTCCACCACAACAACCACACCCATAAGAACACTAATGAGTAAGTGACTACATCTCTTTCTCTTACGGAACCACAGAATCAGAGCATCCGCCCAGCTCAATGATGAAAAACTTCCTACATTCGCAGTTTCCACGCTAGCCGTCGCTCGAACCTAATTCAGACGTGCTCTGTGCGCATTACTTCCTTGGATGTCTGATTTGGGTTGATGCTATGATTCTGTGGTTCTGGTTGAATATGTTTGATGCTGTTTGATCGGTGCTAATGAATCTTCAGTTAGGTTGCCTCTTCGATAGTATGGGTCAATGTGAATATGAATATGAATATACTTATGATGAATTTGGTATCTTCTGGTATTCAGTAGTAGTAGTCGTAAACAAGAGTAGTGTCTTGAGTCTGTAATCCGATTGTTGATGGTATATTGTAGAGAAACCACCGAGGCGGTGTGGGCGGCAGATATCTGTCTCCATATCATTTTCATCTCAGCTTCATCTTTATCTATCCCCAACAACCACATACAAGTCAATTCTACACGCCTACTCAGTCCCACTCGAACCTACTCACTCTTAATCAATTGAACATAATTCACCTCTGTTGCACACCTCCTGTATAGCAGACTCTCTACATCCCGACCGCCATGCGATATACATAACAATAGCCATCCCGCCATCGACCCTCTGCATCGAGACATCCAACCCACCACCTCAACACCACCACCTCTATAGCCAACATGTCGCAACCACGACACAACACCATGCTCTCCCTCAGCAGAACAACCTCCAACACCCCCTCCCCAGCGGAGAAACACCATCAACACCACCCCTCCCAGCAGATCCAATCCGCGCCCCTGTCCAGTCCCAGTCCCGGCCTGCGCGTCCCCTCCAACCGCAAAACCATTTATGACCGACACCTGAACCGCAGCCGCAATAGCGAGCTCAGCCGTGCCTCCTTCGCCTTTCTTTTTGGAGAGATGGTGACTTACGCCCAGCGTCGCGTGACGGGAATCCAGGATTTGGAGAAGCGGTAGGTTACCTCCCTACACCTACCTACCTACTGCCTACATCCTACACCTACCTACACGTACTTGACAACGAAGCTAAGAAAACAGATTAAATGAACAAGGATACCCTCTCGGACTCCGTCTCCTCGACCTTCTCTTCTACCGCACCATCTCGAGCTCAACCTCCTCCGCCCTCTCCAGCTCCTCCTCCACCTCCGCCTCCCCTCCAAACCGACCCCTCCGCATCCTGCCCCTCCTGCACCTCATCCACGGTCCCCTCTGGCGTCTCCTCTTCGGCCGTGCCGCCGACGCCCTCGAACACTCCGTCTCCCCCGAGACTCCCAACGAGTACATGATCACCGACAACGACCCCATGGTCAACACCTACATCAGCGTACCCCGCGAGATGAGCATGCTCAACTGTGCCGCCTACGTCGCCGGTATCATCGAGGGCGTCTGCGACGGCTGTGGCTTTGAGACTAAGGTCACGGCTCATAACCAACCGACGGAGTTGTGGCCCGGTCGGACCATCTTTTTGCTGCGCTTCGGGGACACTGTTATGGAGAGGGAGAAGGTGTTGGAGCGAGCAGGCGTTAAATAGTTTACTGTTCTTTTTCCCTGGGTCTGTATATGTGGTGCTTATTCACGGCTGGAGAGACGCTTTACGGCCGTATGTGCTATCAATCAATACAGAACAGCCTGATCCATCGGCTTGTATGCAACCCTTTAGATAGATACCCAACGCCGAACATCAATGTTCATATGTATGCTCCGCCCTGATATTACACAGTATAGATGCTTCATCGCGGCGACACGCTGGTCCGTCTCCGTTTCTCCCGATCATACGGCGACGGACTCCGTTTCCTGCGATCGCCAGCCTCCGGTCGATATCGATCTGTCGGGCGGTCTCCGTCTCCATGTCTGTCCCTGCGAGGTGACCGAGATCGAGACCTCCGTCTCTGGACGGGGCCCGCGTTGGCACCCGTCGGCTTCATGGGCCCCCCGTCACCCCTCCGGTCACTGTCAGGCATGAACCTCTCATCCGTCACGCCCACCGGAGCGCCGTCACGCCGCCGCCGCCTTTCGAACCCATTCCCAAACTGCCCCGTATCCTCCGACCGCAGATCCTTATAGCGTGTGCGGCCCTTCTTCCCCAACTTCGTCATATCCCGAATCTGCATATACTCCGGGAGCGTTTCGCGCGAGACATCGTCCACGAACCGCGCACCCACCAAGGCCCGCTTATCCAGGCCCTTCTGCTCGAGCCCCTCGCGGTGGAACGCCCCCTTGTGGAAGTACCGCTGCATGTAGCCTCCCTCGCCCCTCGTCGCCTCCTTATCCTCCTGCTGCCGCGCCAGGAACTCGCGGTCTTCGCGATCGCGCTCCTCGGCCGTCAGATTGCGCCGTCGCTCGACCTCCTCCCGCTCCTTCTCCGACTGCTCGATCGCCTCCCGAGACCGCTTGATCCGCTTCAGCTCCCGCAGCTTCCACGCCGCGTACTCCGCCTCGGGGTCCACCCCGTCTTTGTCGTCTAGGGCGCTCTCCTCCGCAGCTTCGACTTCGTCGTCGTCCCATGCGCGGTTCGCCGCGCTGCGCGCTATCGCTTCTTTCTCGAGCTGCTCGCGGACGAGCGTGTCGGCCTTTTCTTGCCGTTGGGCGCGGCGCGCTTCGGATTCGGCGTGCGAGTCGGCTGTCGCTTTGTCTTGCGTTCGGGTTTCGGCATTGTTGGTGGTGGTGTTGGTGCGCTTGTCTTTGCGGATGAATGTCGGTCGGAGGAGGACTCGGCGCGGGGCTTCTTCTTCGGAGCTGCTTTCTTCTTCGGAGCTCTCTTCTTCGCTTTCCTCTTCTTCTTCCTCACTTTCTCCCCCCTCCTGCTTTCCAGCCTTATCGTCCGAACCTGTAGCAGGCGCAGCCCCAGAAGCAACAGCCGCATCGCCAGCAACGCGACTATCCTTCCCTACTGCCTCTTCATCTTCATCTTCCTCCTCCTCCGTAACAAACCCCTCCTCATCCTCATCCTCCTCCCGCGCCTCAATCCTCACATCTTTCACACCCTTCGTGATTTTCCCCGCAGCGGCAGCACCAGCAGGGAACGAACTCGCCTTGGGCGCCGCGCCGCGCTGTCGCTGCTGCTGCTGTAGCTTCAATCGACGAAGTCGCTCTTGTTCTTCCCTTTTCTCTTCCTCCTGACCCTCATCTTCTTCGTCTTCGTCCGAGGAAGGCTCCTCAGCAACGGCTTTTCCGGGTCGGTAGCGGGAGGGTTTGAGCGGGTTTGCGGTCATGCCGCGGTGGTGGGAGGGGAGGGGGGGTGGCATGTCGATGATTTAAAAAGTGAGTCGCTCGATTATTGTGTCATTGGTGTATTTTCGGTTTCACTTGCACCCTTTGTTGGGTAGAGGTGGACTGTTGCAGGAGTGGTAATAGTGGTTCGTACTGAGTAGATGATGGAATAATGTGAATCTTAGCTTAGCTTAGGTAAGGTTTTCATTAACTGTAGCTGGGTACATCACATGACTACGCGTTCGCGCGCGCGATTACCTTAGATAGGGCACTCACCACCTCCAACCTACCTCAGCACATGAAACACACCTACCTACCTACCTACTCAACCATCCATCATTCTCCCAGCCAAAGACCACGAAAACCGAAACCTCAAAACAGGACCCGAAGAAGCAAAAGAATCCGCAAGAATGTCCCTCCAAACCCCCCGCATCCTCCCCTCGCACCTCCACGCCTTCCACCCCAACACCGCCAACGGGCCCCGCTCAACGAACACCGTGCGCCTACTGGGCACAGTGACGAGCCTGCGCGGCGACACGGCGACCATCACGTGCGGGAACCACGGGGATGTGACGATGCTGTTGAAGTCCGATGCGCATTTGCAGATGGGGAGGGTGGTGGAGGTTGTTGGGAAGGTGGTTGACTTGGAGGGTGGGGCTGTATGTTTTCCTTCTCTTCGCTCACCGATCGATCCCCCGCCATGCGTATAGCTACGTAGGAGGTTCATATTGAAAAATATACTAATGAGTGATGTTGATGTATAGGGTATTGGGCTAAGACTGCTCGCAAACTTCGACTGGGGGAATCCTGCTGATGTTGGTATGTTTTTTTCTTCCCTTCTCTTCTCCTCCTTTTACACTACTACCCATACATACCTACCTCACTACAGAATCGTCCTTCATCAAAGAATCTTCCCTCAATAATACTAATATGATATCAATGAAATAGACTACAAAATCTACGAAAAACTCGTCGACGTCACACATCGGTATCCGGAGATCTTCTACGACACGGGCGATGCTTATTGAACCTACCCTACCTTCCGTGGTTAATACTGAGAGTTTGGGTGAAACCAAGCGGTTGTTGAGTTGAGTGGATAGTGTCAATCAAAATAAATATACCCCGTCTTGTTGAGATTTGATGTGCGTTGTGATAACAGGTAGTGCATTTACGATCATGATCTTGTACGTATGATTGCTTAGGTGAGCTCTTTAGTAACGCGTACATGTATATTATCATACTACATCGTAGCTACTCTGGAAAAGCCCGTTGTATAATGTTAATCACAATTGATAATAATTGACTGCTCCAACATTCTCAGACACGTAAAAGAATAGAGCCATTTCACCCGTAGGCGACCCCAACGCCATCGCTAATATCAACAGAAAAATATGACAGAAAAGAAAGCAATCATAAAGCATTAGTGTTCGCCTGGTCCCCCTCCTTGGATTCCTCCGGCTTGTCCGCCATCAGACCGTTGTTGAGCGCATCCGATCCGAAGAATCCCGAGTCCAGGATGCTGGAATCCGTGAAATTGAACAGATCGAAACTGGGATTGTTCAGGTTCTGTTTCTGGACCTCCGGGTCCGCCAGGATCGCGTTGATGAGATCTCGTGACTCGTCGCCCGCTCCCTGGTCGTCCTCCGACCCGTTCGGCGACACGTAGTCCGACGGCAGCCACTCCGGCCAGTTGCTGCTGGACGCGCACCGCGACGGCTCGAACGCGAACAGCGAGTCGCTGTGCACCGCGGACGCTGCGTCCTCAGAGAAGATGTCCACCATCACGTTGTCCATGCCAAAGGTGCCCGAGGGGAATGCGTCCGTCGGCAACGACAGTTCGGACGTCTGCTGACGCAACGGCTTGGGCGTCCGCTGACGCGGCGTGCCTGGGCTGCTCTGGATCCGCTGGAGTCGCTGCGCGGTGAGCTTCGTGGGGCTCTCCATATTGGCCATCCGGCGCCGCGACGACGGCGAGCACGGCAGAGACAGACGCTTATCGCCCGGGACACTGGTGCGGGGCTGCCTCCGCTTCGGCGTCGGACTCGCTGGCAGGTCACAGTCGAACGAAGGACTCCCCTCAAACAGGTTGTCCAGGTCGCCGGAGGCATTTTCCTTGTCCTCGCCTTTATCTGACCCGCGCGTGGCAATGCGAGGGCTCCGCCGAGGACTGTTCAGGATCGCTTCGCCTAAGGCTCGGAAAGGAACCCCGTCCGCGTGCGAATTAGGAAACAGTGCTCTCCTTACAGGCTTGGGAGTAATGCTCTCACCCGCAGCTGCAGACTTGCGGTTTTCCATATTCCGAGCCGGGCTAGACTGGATCGCTCGTCGGAGAGCTTCCATGGGGTCCTCGTTCTCCCAACGGCTTTTCTCCGAGGATCGCGAAGGTTCGGCGCTGTTTGCTCGTCGTTTCTTGGAGGGAGGATCCTGCACGTCGTCGTCGTTTTCGCGCCCGGTCTGGTGATCTGCTGGGGTCGTGCCGTCGTCCGCCGCGGGCGAGGAAGCATCAGAGGCTCCAGGGGAGGATCCGTCAACTTTTGATTCGGCTCGGCTGCGGCTCCGCGTCGCCGTGCCGTTGATGGAGAGCGGACCGCCTTTGCGGCTTCTCGAGGGCCGCTTCTTTTTGTTCGCGACGCCTTTGTTCCATTTGTGTTCGGGACGCATCGACTTGAACTTTTGGAACCAGAGACCGCAAGCTTCACACCACTTATGTTAGCAACAAGACCATCGAAGATGATCACAACGCGGACTAGTACTTACGGTTGCAGAGAAGAATCTGGACCCAGTCGTTGTCCTCGTCGGCCAGGGTCTTCTTGTACACCTTGAATTTGATGATCTTGTCCTCGTCGTCTCGCTTTACGGCGCGCCAGAACAACATCGTACGATCCTTGGTGAGCTCATTGGCATAATCCTCATCCCCCTCAAATTCTTTGGACCAAGCACGGCGCCACGTCGGAGTCTCGATCGCCCCGCAATTCTCGCAGTAGGGCGGGACTTGACCGTTCTGGATGCACTTGTCCAGACGATCTCGGACCTGCTTCAGCCTGCGCGCACCGGCTCCGCTGCGGCTTTTGGCATCGTCCGGGACAGGCTGCGGGGCAGGTGTCTCGGCGGCAGAGAAATCACTCATGGGACCCCAGGCTTGGGACGAGTGAGCCTGCGTGGGCATCACCGGATCACTGGCGGGAATAGAGCTGATGATTTGCTCCATTTCGCTCTGTGACATCGGGGCTGGCGCCAGAGGCTTGGGGGTCGGCCGAAAGCTTGCTCGGGACGATGGTCTCGAGCCGGCATTGCTCGGGGGGCCGCGGACCGGGGCGGGAGCGATGCCCTTGGCTGCAGGCTGCTCCGGGAGCGCATCGCCACGGTGACAAGACTCTCCCTGCGGCTCCCGGGTTGCAGGGCCACCGACGGGCGAATTGGTATGAGCGGCAGGTCGGGTGGCGTTTTTATCCCCGGCCATGTGATGAGAGACGGATCGCGTGCAGTCTTCCAACGGGGTACCGATGTCCTCGTCCAAGATCTCTTCCACGCCTCCACTCATGAAGCCTGAATCCGTGGTCATAGGTGGGAGGACCGGGCTGGACCGATTCGGAAGCCCGCAGTCCAAGACCGGGGGTGAGGACGGCATGCTGAACGACGGTTCGAAAAGACCCTGATAGCGGGACTCTTCTGGTGAGTGTCCATGCAGATCCCCATGTAGTTGATCGTCACTGGCCGAATAAGGCGACATGTACTGCGCGTTGTTCTGGGCCGACGAGGCCTCGCGCAGGAGGCTGGGGGGCGGACGCTCGCGGCGAGGGAGGTCTTGTGCGTGCGAAATGGGAGTGGGGGGGCGGACAGGTTCTTCGAGCGGACCCTGACTCGCAGCGACTGCAGCAAGCGACGGATTCACCGGTGTCGGGCGATGGATCCGCACCGAGGCGGCAGTACTGGCAGCCACCCGCAAGGAGCTGGGCTGCCGCTCAATGTTCAGGTCCGATTTACCAGGCCCCGTTGCCCGATACAGCTTGGCCCTCTTGCGAGGCTGTGCGTCCATCGACTCTTCGCCGCTGCCATAGCCCGACTGCATCGACCCCCTGCGGCTGGCATAGCGCCCCTGGGTGGGGAGATCCGAATCGTGCATCGACGCACTGGACGAAGGGCGGATGGCGTCTTGTGCCCGGTCGTGTGATTGCGGTCGCGGTGCCTGGCCTGGTTGTGTCTGTTCGCCCGACTGAGACATATAAGGCGCCGGGGTGGAGACGCTGGCCGGGGATGCAGAACGGTAGGAGCCGTGGGCTGAGAGGGCGGGAAAATCTCGCGGGGTGGACCCCTCGCTGAGCAGTCGATGGAACCGCTCGATTCCGGTATGGTCCAGGGGAGACGCGGTCCGATCTGGCTCCGTCATCGAGGGACTCATCAAGGCAGGATTTTGGCGTAGAAAGTTTGTCCACGTTTGTGCGTCGAATTCATGGGGAATGTTGTTGCTCAAATCCCGGTACTTTTGGATGCTGTCTAGATACTCGCGTTGCATCACCGTCGGTACAGGCACCAGCCGCAACTTGACCTCCAGCGTCTCCTGAGCGCCCTTGGAGAAGAGGCCTAGGACGTTCTTGCACACCCGACCGGTCACCATGGTCTGGGACTGATGGGCCGGAGCCTCGGGGGTTGGCGAGGACGAGGCGAGGACCCACGAGAGCATCCCCTGCCCGACCAAGGGCGTCTCATATTCGGAGTAATCGTAGGCGTAGACGGTGTAATCCTGGCCCAGTTTGGCCACCAGTTCGGGGCTATCCACGAACACAAGGTATGAGCGTCTATCCACAAACCTCCCGGGAGGGGAGAAACCTACCTAGCGGACACAATGGCTTGAATGCAAGTTTTCAACTCGATGACCCCGATGAGCGTCTTCTCGTCCAGAGCAGCGGTCTGGATTTCGAGCAGGTGAGGCCATCGGGCTAGGCAGTTCGTTTTGCTCGCGTCATCGAATGTGTAGAGCACCTTCACTAAAGGGATCGAATCAGGGGTCAGCAATTGGACGCCACTGAACCGAACCAAGGTGGGCCACAAAAACTCACGCCTCATGGGCCGGACGGAAATTCCGTCCTGAGATTCCATGCCACCAGACTTCGAGTGATGACCATAAAGTAGCGTTCAGAACGAGGATCCCGGGGGTTGTGAGAGGAGAGAGGGAGGTCGATCGGGTTGGACAGTGCGAGGATAAATCAAGGCACCTGTCGAGGGTTGGAAAACGTGACCCAGCGGTTCGTTGGGGTTTCAAACGACGTGCGTCGAGATCGAAGTAAGGCCGTTATGCAATCGACTCGGCAAATTCCAATCAGGTTCGAGAAGCAGAATCGGCAGCAGCGTCGACCGGGGAATGCAGCGGTATGTACGTAGCGGAGTCGCGGGGGTCGTGGTACTGAGGAATGCTGGACACTGGACAGACGCGGGACAGTAGAACGCTTTGCGGTGAGGAAGGAGCGAAGGAGAGGTGGATGAGATGCGAGGGATGAAAGAGAGAAGGTGAAAGAGAAGTCAATGAATTGAATTGACAAGGAAGGGGGGAGGGGGAAGAGAGGAAGCGAGGTTGGGAGAGAAGAGAAAGAAGAGAAACGCCTTGCGTGAAGAAGTTGGAGAGATCGCGGGCGTGTTGGGACGCGACGTGACGCAGCCAATCGCGCCTCGAAATGGACGGCCACACAAACACGGCAAACACGCGGGCACGTGACTCAGGCGCCAAGGCCGCAGCTGGGAAGTTGCCGCGTTCAGATCTGGAAAAAGCTGCACCTGAATCACGCACGAACAGCCAGATATTCAGCAGCTTTACTCCCCTTCTTATACCCGTTCTATACGCCCAGCATGTCGACCGACCCGAAGATTCAGTATGTTACCCCTCTTTTGCGCTATTCGGATGAGTCATGTGTCATCCAAGCTCCAACTGGACCGAGCCGTGCTAACCATTTGACCAGGGACCTGCTCAACAAGCCTAAGAGCGAGCTCACGTACGTTGATTCTCCTTGTCGATTATTCTCTCTCAAGTGCATCGGCCGTGTCATCATCCGTGTGGTGTCAACAGCTGTCAGATGACTTGCTTTCCATCTCAATCCCGCCTACCCCCACCACCACCTCAGTCCCCATCCGACCAGCTCTCTACCCACATATCACTCCATTTTCCATCGCCATCCTCTAACAATACCCCAGTGAATACGAAGTCTCCCTAGTCGAAGACCACGAACTCACCGCCGGCCCGCTCTCCCTCCTCCAAACCGCCACCCGCACACACACCCAGGTCCTCATCTCCTGCCGAAATGGCCGCAAACTGCTCGCGCGCGTCAAGGCCTTCGACCGCCACTGCAACATGGTGCTCGAGAACGTCAAGGAGATCTGGACCGAGAAGCCCAAGGGGGGTAAGGGCAAGGGCGTGAACAAGGATCGCTTTATCAGCAAGATGTTTGTTCCTCTACCCCCAACCCATATTCGAAACTCAACTCATGCTTATGAATCTGTTAGGTTCCTGCGCGGCGACTCCGTCATCCTCGTCCTGCTCAGCTGATCGAGTCTTCTGAGCTTGATTCGTTTCTACCTGAGTTGTCCGATCCCGTCCGTCTGTTCGTCCACGTGACATTCGTGCATCTGTCCAGGGTACATCCGTACATGTCCCACGTCGCGTCTTCTCCTTTATTATCTTGATGATCAAGGAGAAAACGATAATGGAATGACCCCGAATGGACCGGACACCGATACCCTACTTTTTTCCCTTTACGATTCCGACATCGTCCATCCACCTCTTTCTCTTATCTGTCTTTATTGTTGTCTTGGGAGCTGGAAGATTTTCCTTTCTATTATTATCTTTATCTTTATCACGATGGGTCTATCCTGGCGTTTCTTTGGTGTGAATTGAAAAGAGAGAAGAGAAAGAGATCTACGTATCTACCTTCCTAGGTCGGGAGGAATGGATGGGATTGAATGACGATTCCACCCGATAACTGGGAATAGAAAATAAATAAAAAAAGAAAATAACTTCACATTACAATATGTCCGAGATATCACTATTAGTCTCGGTAGATATCTGCTGGAGGAGTGATAGATAACCTACCTTGGTATATCAAAGTCCAGTAGAGTAACCACCTCCCTACGGGTGTATACTTGAGGGGCGTGTGCAGGACACTGCCTACCTAATAGATATGATTAGAGGGCTAGAAGGTAAGATAGGAAGTACCTAGTACCTGATACAATACCTAGGTCAGGAGGTGCAGTAGTAGGCCTCTTCTTTCCATCTATTCTATCTATCTATTCTATCCTAGTTACTAGGTACGTACTTTTTCAACAACCGGGTTGGGCAGACCTATCCACCCACCTACCACCTACATTTACCTTAGAATCGCGTACTAATACTACGAAGTCGAACAGTAAAACAAATAGATGATAAATAATTTCATTAAACCAACCACTAGTCATCAACATCATAAAATTATATTAAGAGATGTAGTATGTACCAAGATGAGCACCTCCCAAGAAAAAAACCCCCAAAGGATTCAAGCCCATTAAAGAGCCTCCGCAAGACCAGTCAAGAACTCAGCCAGACCATGCGCGCCAGGGTCGGGAATCTTGCCCACCCACTCATCCTCACCGCCAACATAGACACTACGGCCCAAGCTGGCCTTCATGGCCTTGGTGTCGTCGGAGCCCTTCTGGGCGGCTTGCGCGGCCATGTGGACGTCCTTGACGGTCTGGAGTTTGTTGCAGAAGGGGTAGAGGGCGTCGATCATGGTGCGGTCGCCGGGCTGTGCGGGGGTGTAGTTTGCGAGGGCCTTGCATGAGTGGTCGAGGGCGTTGGCCCACACTTCGGTCGTGGCCGGGGTGGAAGAGCCCGGGTCTTGATTGCGGAGGCCGTGGGCCAGCGCGTTGAGGAAGATGGCGTAGACGGCGCCCGAGGTGCCGTCCATGGTGTTTTCGACGACTGTTACGATGCGGTTGACGGCGTTGACGACGTCGTCGGTGAGGCCCGAGGAGGGGTTCTCGAGGAGGGCGAGGATGGCTTCCGCGCCGCGCTTGAGGCCGACGCCGCAGTCGCCGTCGCCAACGATGGTATCGTAGCGGGTGACGAGCGGCTCGGCGGCGATGACGCGACGGAGGCCGGAGCCCAGAACTTTCCGGAGCACGGCGGGGTCCACTGATCGGCATGTTAGCGGTGTTCTTTATTTCTTTTTGACGAATCAACGAGGGTCGTGGGGACAACGTACGCTTGAGGTTGCTGGGCACCTCGTGGGCCGGCTTCGTCCGCTTGAGCTGCACGGGAGCGTCGCTAGAGTGTTGTTCCCAGGTGGACGACTTGATGGGAGCGGTCCAGCCGACGGCTTCGGCGGGAGCGTCTAGGAGCTCGATGAACGACTTGCCCGCTCCGAGACCCGTGTCGGCGACCTTGAGGAGGGAGACGCTGAAGCCCATGCCGTTCAAGCTGGTCAGGAAGGTGCCCTGGATGACGCGAGATGGCTTGATGCTGTGGTCCTGGCCGAGTTGGCGGTAGACCTCGTCGGTGATACCCGACAGTTCGAGCGCGCTCAAGCCGCCCAGGTTGTTGATCAGGAGGACGAACTTGTCCTCGGGCCGGTGCGTGATGAAGGCACGGTCAGGATCGTTGTGGTCGAGGATCTGGAACAGCATGGTCTTGACCAGCTCGGGAAGCGAGGCCTTGACGCGATGGGATCCCGGCTCATTGTGGATGCCCATGCCGACCTCGACTTGGCCGTGAGGGATCGAATCCTCCGCGGCGGTCACAGGGCGACCCGGAATGTGAACATGCTCCAGGGATGCACCCACCGAAGCGAGGTTGTCGTTGGCCAACTGCGCGGTGGCGTAGACTTCCTCCAGGGATGCACTATAAGGCGATTAGTTTCCGCTTGACCGATTTCGGCGAAAAGAGGAAGTGGACTTACCCAGCCTCCGCCAGGGCGCCAACGATCTTCAGGACCAGGATGCCGCCACCAATGCCACGACGACCAACCTTTCCACCCTTCTTCTTGCCGACACCAGCGTCGTCGTTGATGGCGAAGAATTCGGTCTTGATGCCCGCGGCGCGGGACTTCTCGGTGGCCATGCCAAAGTTGAGCACGTCACCCGTGTAGTTCATGGGAATGATCAGCACGCCCTTCTCGTTGTTCACGCAGTCCATGGCGCCCTTGCGAATCTGCTCAGCAGACGGCGAGGCGAAGATGGTGCCCGCGACGGACGCATCAAGCAACCCGTGACCGACATAGCCGGCAAACGCCGGCTCGTGACCGGAGCCACCGCCGGAGACAATGGCAACCTTGGACTTCTTGACGGAATCGGGGCGACGGAAGATGATCTTGTTGTCGGGGTCAAAAGCCAGAGAGGGATTTGTCAGGGTGAGAGAATGCAGGGCAGTGCGAACCAGATGGTCCGGGTCGGTAAAGAAGTGTTTGGCTGGAGCGCGACGTTAGCGTGTGCGTTAATGCAAATCGTCTGGGGTTTGGGTTTTGCGGGGTAAGATTATCCCGCGGGCACGACTCTCGGGAGAGACTACCCGCTCGAGGGGGGGGGGGGGGGGGGGGGGGGGGGGAACGAAAAGGAAAGAGAAGGAAAGGGAAGAGCCCCAGGGAAGATCTAGTGCCACTTACTCTGCATTGTGAGATTGAAAAGGAAATGATCGTAGGATCGGGGATGGGCGGGTGAGGTCGAAAACGATCCGATTTAGAACGGTGGGGAAAACCGGGAGGATAACCAGATATAGAGAATCCGGAGAGGAGTATAGGATGTCAGGGAACCTGATTTTTTTTTTTTTCTTTCTTTCCCTTCTCGAGGCCAGCGGTCGAGCGCGTCTTTATAGGCGGAGGACAGTGGCAGTGATGACTCTAAACGAGACGGATTCTGGGCGAAATTGGTTTCCGTCGCAGGGGTTGGCGCGCAAGAACTGAACCAGGAAGTCCGGGATGTCTCCAATAGTTTAGTGCCGTGAACACGATCGGTTTGCTGACCAGCAGAAGCGGGGAGGGTGAGGGGGTAGAGAGGTGGAGACGTTGGTGTTTCTTGGGATCTGGTTAGAGTCAATCCGGAGGCTCTCATGCGCCGGGGGGACATGATGAGGGGATGCCATTTGCTGGGGAACATGGCTAGGTAGTAGGATGCGCATACCTTATAGGTGGGAGGATAACAAGATTGTCGTCACTGGGACGTTATAGAAGATCTGTAGGGAATGGGAGGGGAATTGGATTGAGGGAGAGGGAGAGAGAGAGATAGAGAGAGAGAAAAGTAGATATAGGTATAGATATAGATAGAGAGATCAATTGACCGGAAGCTCAGGAGGAGGATGAGGGAACCAGGAAGATAAATACGGCGACGACGTGGAGCAGACAATAGACGTGCGTGTCAAGTTGCCCGGAACCAACATTTCTATTTTATTCTAATCATTTTATTTTATTAAAATGATTTTCATCATTTTTTTTTTTTTCAGTTCACATGAACAAGGACATCGTGATGACCCATCAGGATTCCCAGATAGGCAAGAATGGAGAAAGGAAAGCAGTTGAATCATACATGCGACATCATACATCACCCATTATCCATGATTTCTGTATGGAGAGGGATCCACTGGGAAAGGGTTCCCTGGGAATGATCCATGATCAAATGATCAAAAGGACCCACCCGACTAAGTCTTTCTGGATTCTTAAAATAAATGAATAATCCGACCGAAAGTACCAACCAAACTGAATGGGTTAGATTAGGATGGTCTAGTATAGTGAATTACGGAGTACGGAGTAGTCATCGAGTCGATATCATCATAACGGGTTGCCAGAAGGGGGAATTCCGCAGTATCCTGGTTCAAAGCAATTGATAGAAACTTCGATGCTTATTCTGATTCCCGTCTGGGTGTGGAGGACAAAGTACAAAGAAAGTATAAGTACAGTATGTCGGAGTACTGGTAACCTTCCGAATTCATCCATTCCCGCTGAACCCAGCTACTCGGCCGTATAACCATACGTCCGATCTTACTATCTACCACCGTCTTATTCTATTATTTTTATTATTAGTATAATGCGGAGTGACGAATCCAGGTCCCCAACTACCCAGATATCGGTCTGTTTTCTGGCTGGGTCGGCATACCTGCATATGATATATCTGTCAGGTATTAACTTGAGCTCTCCGGTAGTCAGGCAGTACTCCATACCTGCAGAGTACAGAGTACATACTACATACGGACTACAGACTACAAACTACAGACTACAGACTACAGTTAGGCTCACACACATGAAGATTCCACCCCAAGATCATCCGGACAAACACGGAGCAGGACACGTCTAGTTACTAGCTACCCTACCCAGTAGCAGGTAGCGGTACCTACATGCAGGATTACCTAGGTACGAATAATCCCAGGCAGGATGCAAGCCTAGTTGCCATCCAGGATGGATCGACACGAATCCAGGAGTCAACCGCAGGCACGCATCGGTGGGTCCAGCCCCAGCATCAGGATTGCGATCATGAGACCTTAAAAAAAAACCGTGAAAAAGGGAGGACCGCTTGTCAGATCTCGGTCGAGTTCCACTTTGCAACCATCCCAACTGAACTCGTGCATCACGTACGTACGCAGGACAGTTCCTCGGTGAGGAGGTAGGAGTAATGATTGAGGGATCATCCTAGGATTGAAAGGGAATCAATTGACTACGCTACGCTCCAATGTCTAGGTAGAAAGAGAATTGGAGGGAGAGTCAACAGCCGAATGATCGTCCTGGGAAGAATAACAGAAAAAATAAAATAAAATAAAATAAAGAATATTAAGCAACAGAGTAATCAGGATAAAACACAAAAAAAGCAATCATAAAATAGGATAAAAAAATAAACCCTCCACGTGAACAGCATCCTTTCTCCACCAGGGAATAAAAAAAAATAGAATAATCAAGCCTAGACCGTTGCATTATTAAGTCAATTCGGTCTGGATGGGGACAGTCTTAACCCGATGCAGCCTTTCTCTCGTTCTCATCCAGAAGGTTTGCCTGACTTTTTTCTTTTGTGCTTCTCTCTCTCTTCCATTTCTCTTCTTTTTCATTTTTAAATACTATTAATTTCTCTGCCGATAGACACCCCTCTCGGGCGAGTTCCCCCCGCGGAGCTCCAACATTCCTCTGTAGCTTACTGAGACTTCTACCAACAAGACCAGTCACAAATAATATCTTCCAGTGGGGCAGGAAGGAAAAAAAACTGGTTGCGGCATCAGCTGGACACAATTCCACTCCATACATAGTTACTCTATTTGATGTACTACCGAATACGCAATCGCAATCAAATCATCCCATTAGCTATCTATTATCTACCCCATAGCTAACTAGCTGGTAATTACAGTTGTTAGTTACTTACTTAGTTGTTATGAACCCGGGTCTTCCCATAGGGCCCCCTGTATCGGGTGCCGATCACGGAGGTGATGGACTGGGGTAGTTTACTATACTATACTATACTAGGTAGGTAGAACTGGGCTGAGTGTTGAGCCGAGGTTCATAGACTGAGTCACCTCATACTCTGTCTGTCTGTCTGTCTTCTCTGGGTATACAGAAGGGAATTGTGTCCCTACTATGTACATTGTGAATAAAAGTAACATAGAGATTAGATTCCTTTCTTGGCTGTAGATGTCCAGCTCTCTAACGAGTAGCTGACTACCCATACAACAGCCAACATGGGTATATAGGTAGCAATGCATACAGTTCACCAGTAGAACTCACGATAACCGTGATGGTTGCTTCGGTTCGGCTCTGCTGCTCCATGTTGATCACCCTCTTTCTCCAATCTAGGGACTAGGGACCCCCCTTTTGCCCACTCTTGTTCACTCCGCTTTCTCGTCCCTCTTTTCTAACGGAGACACTTCTGGAAGATCATGACACTATCTGTATTGTGATTCGAGAGAAGATGTTTTGTTAAGTACGAGAAAGATATGCTATCATAACTACGAGAGGAAGATGTGTGTGAAAGAATGTATGGCCGTGTCCTCAAGATCATCATTAAGCTACGTACTGATACCGATTCCCCTCTTCGCGCTCCATATAGTCCTTCTCAATTAACCTGTGAGACCGGGGTTGGTTAGTTAATTCGTCACTGTGGGGATAAACAGAGGAGGGGCAATCGGAGCAATCGGATAAAAAAAAAAGAACAATAATAAAAAAGAAAATGACGTACTTCTCAATATTCTTCTTGATATCCGCCGGCTCCAACACCCCGCGACTTCGGGTCGCTTTGATCACCTCGGCCACTAACTCCGCGTGTGTGATCAGCTTGCGACTCTTCATGATCCGGACTATCGCCGCCTGCGTCTCGTAGTGCCGGTCCGCCGCCACCCGCTCGTGGGTCGTCTTGTTCTCCTCCTTCGTCTCCTTCAGTTGCACCTGGTTGATCTTGATCCGCATCTTCGCGTCGGAGAACCCCGGGTTGTACGAGAATTCGTCCGTCGCGTTCACCTCTCGGCCTTTCGGCTTCTTGCTGAGCACCCGATACTTGGCACATGCCAGCGACTGGAGGGTCCGCTTTAATTCTTGATCCGCTGTAACACATGTTAGTCGGTACAGGATAACAATATTGATACAAAATTTGATACAAAATTGATAAAAAAAGAAAAGGAAGAAGGATGATACTCACACAACATAGTCGCTTCCTGGATCTGAGCGTAATTGAGCGTCCCATTCTCCGGCACGTCATTAAACAGCAGCAGCACCACCGCCTGGAACGAACTGACCACCAGCTCCTTGGTCCCCTTGGGGAATCGAGCCCGGATTTGACAGTGCGCCAGCTGGTGCTTCCAGTTGAGCTTCCGCCCGTTGTACTTGGTGTTGTAGAACTTCTCAAAGTCGCCCACCGCCGTGGCAATCTCCGGCGGTATTCGAACCTGCACGTCCGGGTAGGTCGGCCATGCCGATGCGGAAAGGACGCTGACATTCAGATCCACCGGGAGCCGGTGTAGCCGTTCTCGCTGAATCGAGCTGTAAGCGGACATCTCGTCTCGAGCGACCTCCATGTCCTTGAACATGGACTCCAAGTTGTGCGTAAAGCTAGACCCGCATTCTATTCAAGGATTAGGATTCATCATACGTGAGTGGTCATCAAATAGAGCTGAAACATACCCGTCTTGAGTCTCGCCAGCATGCTTTTCTCCGCGTCATCGCTGGCACTCCGGCCCATGAGGAGTCGACGAGCGAGATCATTCTTGTAGAATGCCTCGAACACTGCCTTGCCATGCACAAACCGGAACAGATCCAATACTTGATCCAATTGACGATCGATCTCGGCGTCTTCGTCCGCCAGAGACACACCGTCGGCCTCCCGCACGGGCGCCAGCTTCCACCCACCTTTGAGTAGTCGGTCCACGTATTTCGCAATCATCTCCCCGGTCTTGGGGTTGTCGGTCCCTCCCGTGGCTTCCGACTTCTTCCCCTTGTTGATGAACGTCTCGAAGGCTTCGCGGAGGGAATGGCCCAATTCCTCGTGGCGGTGGAAGGAATTAATCCAGATCTCGTCAAGCTGCTGTTTGAAATCCAACAGTCGAGTCACCATCTCCGCCTCTTTCGTGTCATCAAATACGATGCCGGACCCTTCTTCAATAATGTAGGCGGTGAATGCGGGCTTCAGCTTTACACCGAGCTCCCGCCGTTGCAGAAGCGAGTAGAGCTTCTCCAAGGCGACCTTGTTCCCCGACCGTAAAAGCCCCAGGATATCATTCTTATTGAGCAGCACAGACTCCTGCTGCGCTACCAAGGTCTGATCCAGGAGCTCCGAGAGCTGTTGTTTCGTGCTGCGGTTGAGGGAGAATAATTCACATCGATTCACCTCGCGCTCAATGAGGCGGTGGCTGTTTTCTGCAAAGGCCGCGAGGTGCCCGGTTGCTTCCCGTTGAGCCCACCAAGTAAAATACTGGCTCGACTCGGAGACGAGAAGGGGCTCGAAATCCGCGACGTAGACATCGAGACCGTGGAAGAGCTCGATGGAGTTTCGAAGTAAAGTAGAATCCGCCAGCACATTCTGCCCATCTCCACGGTCGGCCTCCACAAGGTCGCAGGCTCCCTGTAGAATCTTGGGTTTCAACATCGGATCCGAGAATATATGTTGACGGAATTGGAGCAAACCCATCTCGCGGATGACCGGATGCTCTTTCGAGTGGAGGAGGAACGATTGATCGAGGTAGTAGAAGATCCAGCGCACGGTAACCTGTAGACATTGGTCAATCTCAAGAAAATTAAGAATGGCTTTTTCATCATACCAATTTCGATTGCCATGCTGCCCACGACTCAACCACCGCCCGCAGTGCGTCGACACTTGTACCCCCTCCGGCCTTGGCCACCAACGACTCGCGCAGCTTCCCAGACACATGTTCCCGGCACCTGTCTTGCAGTCGTTGAGCCAAGACCGCAGCCCGTCCCTGACGACAGATGTTTTCAGCCCCCTTGTACAGTTCTTCCAGCGACGTCGCGGGCTTGCCGCCGTCGAAAACCGCCGTCAACGCATCATCCAGCTGACCCCACACCTTATCAAAGTATGAATCTTGGTTGAGCCGCGGTCCCGTCCGGAGGTTCTTGACAACAAGCTTCTTGGCTCCCGTATGAGGGGTAAAGTTGCTTTGTCGCGATGCGGCGTTGAGCGAGCGAGCCTTTCCGCCCGCGCCGCTCTGCCCGAAGGGCGGCCCACCGGGCTTGGAGTCCGCGTTCGACAGATTGTACATATTATCGGAAGCGGAAGGATTGACAGACGGCGATGGCGAGAATCGCATGCGTTTACTCGTTGGAGATAGGTCCTGGGATTGCTGTTGTCCTTTGCCTTGGGGTGTGTGGTTCCTGGAGAGGAGCTCCGAGATGGTCGCCTGCTGGTGCTGAGGTTGCTGTGTAGCCGCCTCCTGATCAGAAAGCTTCCTCTTGCCAATCGACTTGCGCTTACCGCTCCTCTGCTCGGTGGCGCCTCTTGAGTTCTGCTGCATCTATACCCGGTCCTGTCCGAGATGAGGATAGTAGAGAGAGGCAAGGAGCGTCCAGTGTTGGAAGGATCCTGGATTTATTCGTGGTTTAGAGGATCATGGCAAGAGACCCCGAGGAGCGGCCTCGATTCTGTAGCTTGCAGTGGTGATGGATCGATATTTCAAGTAGGAATGGACGGCAGGTCGGAATGGCGAGTTAATGGATCGGAGCAGAGTGAGGGGATCGATTGGAAGTCGGGAAGATGTGGTGCTAGCAGGGAAGTTGGGTCTTCTCCGCAGCGGCTGAGCGGAGATAAGATAATACGTCCGACCAGAGTCATCCATGAGTCTCACCATCTCATGTCTACTGTAAAACAATCGATAATGTGTACGGATACTTGATTTAGGGACCATGGTCATTCCATTCATTGATCAGGCAACTACTCGTGTTTTTGTAATCAACAGAAAAGAAAAGAAAGGAGGGAAAAAAAGCTGTTGCTTATATGCTATTGCCGTAAATACATCCGTTACTCCCAGCTGCATTCCACTGAACCTTCCATGACCTGACTCAGGAGAACAAATTAGACCTGGTGGGTTGTTTCACTTCGTTTTCCTCATGCTAGACGAGAGTTAGTACACAGAACGACAATAGACCCGGCCACGCAGAAAAGCTCACCTCTAGGAAATCCGTGACAGCAACGAGAGTCATGTACGATTTGGTCAAGTCACCAAGCGTGCTGTGATGATCTGCAGCTCCTGCACCGCCGATTTTCGCAAACCGCTTGAAGACACCGACCATGCTGTGTCGGTTCTCGGCGAGGAAACCCCGCGTCTGCTCCGCCATGTGCTCGTTCTGTATCCCTCGAGAAAACACCGCCGATACAATCACTCGGAGAACGGCTGCGAGAAGGTCATAGTATTTGCGAAGCGAATCAGGGTTGTCGATATCTGGGAGAGTCAGTGTGGGTTGATTTTGGGCTGGAAGCGTTGATACTCACCGATGCCGAGATCCGGGTCAGCGGCAAAAAGTTGCGACTCTCGTACGGCCTCGAAAAGACCGGCTTTCAGAACGTGGATCGCGCCGTTCTTCGTCTGACAGAGTTGCTGAAATAAAGACAACAGAGATTCGTAGAAAGACAACAGGAGAGGGGTGTCTGAAAGCATAGGTCAGCGACGTTGGGAGCGTGTGAACCAGACACTGGGGGTGGCTTACCACTGGCTTGGGCACTCCGAAGATCAACGGGCAAAGTCCGGATCGCGTCCAAGAAAAGGCTTAGATAGTTGGACTCGGAGATGAGCTCGACCAGGATCGGATCGGTTTCTCTATCTAGAGCAGCCAACAGGTTGAGGAGCAAGAGAGCCGACACGCGGCACGTTTCCTGGCCAGCATATGCATCGTCGCAGATGGCTTCAACCAGATTGGCGCCCCCGGCCTTGATGACCTGCTGACTGTGACGTCTCATACTGTCGCGAGCGGTGTCAGGGGAGATGATTCGCATGACATAGTGCGAACAGATGTTGTAGAACGTCTCTCGAAGGTTGATATCGCCGGTGGCCATGGTGATGCCCCGGACACAGGCCTGGAACAACTGGTAGAGCTTCTCGTCGACAATGTCTCCGCTTCGCCGGGTGGAATTCACTTGGGGGATGGCCGAGTCTAGTTTGCTAACTAGAGTCTCCGCCAGTCGCGCCAGTTCGACAGCCTCAGGGAGACCATCCTCGATAGCAACCTCGAGCTTAGGGAGGACTAGTTGGATGGAGTGTAATATGAATGTCAGTTTCTGACCACCTTCAATCCCCGAACAAGTGAGCATGGTCGTAACGAGCTCTGTCCACGACCGAAGAGCCAGATAGCGATTGTGGTTGATTGTCTTGGACTGGTTAGTTGACTGTACGAACACCGTCAAGCTTTCTGCTTCAGCCAGAAACTGCTCTTCATCCTGAGGCCGGAACTGTCCGTTCATCAGCAATTCCTCCTTTCGGACTTGTATTAACTCTTCAACCTCAGCGACGTTGTGAAGAACAAGTGAGCCACCCGCTTCTGGCCTCGCACACACGTCAATCCCCAGGTTGTCCAGCAGCATCAATTGCGGGGGTGCCAACTGATACCCAGTGTCCAAGTCGGCAAAATCAAAGAGGTCGAAAACGGTGGGGTTGGGAATCAGCTCGCCGGTCTCTAAGGTAGAGGTTCCAAGCAGAACCGAGGTGATCTCTTCTCGAAGGGTTGGCGAAGTCAGTTTAGCGGACGAACGGATTTCAGTCGCCGCGTACTCATACAAGTAGCTCCTGAACAGGAGAAACTCCGCGAGAGCAACTGTGGCGTCGGAGACCCAGAACTCGTCTGCAAGAATGGGTAGGCCATTCCACAGAGTGCTCGGCCCGATTATGGGTTGGTTGCCCAAAACAATAGGGAGGAACTGGCTAGCTCGCATCGCAGAGAGAGTGAAGTAGGCCGAAATTTTGGAAGACCAGAGATGTTTCAAAACTTCTGCGGCCATGCGTCTGATATGCACCATCCAAGAGAGGACGCTCCCATCCACTTGATCTGGGTAGGTCCGAAGAAAGCCGATTACAGCGTGCAACAAGGACACCCCGTCGGCAAAAAGACCCTTGGAGGGGACATCAAGAATATTTCCGATGCTGCTGAAACCGAGTAGAATATGAGCGACCGTTGGCCGATCTGTTATCGTCCCCAAGCAGCTATTCAGAAGTGCCAGTAAGCTCTTTCTGATCAGATATCCAGAGGCCAACGGGCCGGACTCGAGTTCCCTCTCCTCTGGCTGCATTTGGGACACGAGTGGCCGTGCCACACTGTCGACATCTACCTCCGTACCAAGTACCTCAACAATTTTGTTTGACGGGCGCCACCTAGACAATTCCGGAGATGACACCTTATTTAACTTCGTGGAACTTGACAGCTTTTCCAGAAGACCCATGGACATGACTATGAGCGGCTCGTGTGCGGTGCTGCAGTAAAGGCATAACGCTGGGATGATACTCAGGTGGTTTAGGATGCTGTCCTCGAAGGCAGAAAGCGCGGAGTTGGCCACATTGACACGGTTTCCGCCGGCTTGCGACTTGATCAATGGCCGCACGATGTTGAAATACGTGGATTGAAGATCGATGATCAAGTCCATGACCTCGAGACTTCTGACCAAAGAGAGGACCAATACCGAATCACCAGACGCTCTCGCGACCTCGGCAGTATCTTGGTGGGCCGTGGCAAAGATGGTCTTGATGACATCTTCATTGAACAGCCATTCAGCTACTCGTGCAAAGGGATGCAGACGGATGTATGCTAACAATGACGATGTCTTCAGAACGGTATCGACCGAGATTGTCGGCTGGCTGAGGACAGTTACGATGTTTTCGTTGAATGACCGGAGACAGGTCGCGACAAACTCCAAACAATTGTAAGTTAGCAACCTGGTTTGACGCTCAGTGAGATCCGGAACCTTCCTCGACAGTGCTTGGCCCATGATGAAGTCGACGTAGGGCTCTATGCCAGGCATTCGATAAGAAGCACCGAGAGACTCAGGGAAGGGCAATGACATATGGAATTCGACCAAATCGGGTGTCGGCGAGACAAGCGAGCAAAGTAGAGTCACAAAGGCGTTGGCTTGGTCAAAGCTCTCACCGATCTTTTGGAACGCTTGCTGTTCGTGCCATACGAGCGGGTTTGAGACTATTGGGACCTTTCCAAGTCCCGAGGCACTAGTCGAAACACCCGAGATCCAGTGGTCAATAGCAAGCCACATCTCATTGCCATTGTGATATGTCCTGTCAGTCATGAAAGCGGCGAGAGTGGAGAACACTGTGGCTCGCAAATGAGTAGGAATCGGCCCGCTGCACAGCGCAAGAAGAGTGTTAACGATGTTGACGTCGGGGTGTTGAAGCATCCAGTTCCTCACGGCCAAGCTCTGCCTACACAAATGTCCCATCAAGCGAAGGTAACAGGTCAGCATTACCGGGCTCTCAGGTTCACTCATATCGGCTGCATCCGACTTCCTCGCTAGATGGACTCCCTGGGACGTCGGGTGTTTCTCGGTGACTCTGGTCGCGTAAAGTTGAAGCTCGGCAAACATCTGCGACCAGTTCATCGAGGCGGTGCGCTTGAATTTCCCAGCCATAAACTTGTCCTCCTCGAGTAGGAATCTGTGTGCTGCCGACGAGTTCTCCTCCCCGTTGGATATAGAACACAGCAACTCGCAGAAAGCGCTCACCCGGGGGACAGTTTGTCTCTTCGAAGCCCACTGGAGAAAGCCATAGAGATTCCCATCCGGGTCAGCCCAAAACTCCTGGGCCGCATCTGGTCGCTGCTCGAAGGAAAAGGCCATGACCATAAGAAAGGACTCCAGATGCGTCCGAGCTTCTACAAGCCCGCGGTGAGGATTGGAAGTCAGGCCGTCTCTAAGTGCCGTGAGATGGTCCAGTCTCTGCAAATCCTCCTCAAACTTCAACATTCGAACGGCATCTGGCATGTTCGCAATGCAGGATTCTGCAAAGACCTCGAAATTCTCCATGAGAAGATTCTTCAAATACCCAGCACAGGGGTCTGTCTCAAGCACGGCCGATGCGCTCTCCTTCAGCAGCAGGGACACTAGTTCGCTGCGAGCTGGATCAGCCCATTCCTCACTGTTCACACCCGCACATATGGCGAGCATAAAATCTAATCCGCCATCGTCGAGCGCCGTCATGAAAGTCTTTGTACGGTCTTCGGCCTCTTTTTCCAGGTCTACGCCCTGGACGGGCGAAGATGGGCCGTCGATATCCCACCCACTGTAAACTGCAAGCCAAAGAGCAATCACTGCCGAGTGGAAAGTCGAGAGGGCCCACGTCTGGCCATCTTTCGTCGAAACTATGGCTGTGTTTAGGCTTCTAGCCTCCTTGTATGATGCCGAATTTTCGGGTGACCCATGTTGGACGAAAGAAGAGATGACCGACGGAACATAGTGCACAAGCAATGCATCGAAACGTTCCAGTTTCCTGAGGCGGTTCAACAGTAGCCGGAGATCTTCCGGGCTGGTGTAAGGCCCTTTGAACAAGTAGCACACAGTTGCGCCCAGAGACTCATGTTGTTGCTGTAAGCTGGTGCGTTGGTATTCAATGGCTTCCATAACATCCACATCCTCCGACTGTCCGACAATGGAAGCCTTCTGAATCTGTTCACCCAGGAGCGAGAGCCATTTTTCAATATCCTCCATCGACTGCATGCATTTCCGAGTGAACAGCGACGCATTCCGGAGCGGAGCATTTTTGATTTCGAGGACAAAAGCCACCATCTCCTGCATCAGCACCTGTGTCATCTCCCGTTCCACCTCGAACGATTCTTGGAGGATGAGGCGTAGGCATTCGAGGAGGAAGAGGCGTCGCTCGTGGAATCGCATAATCGCGGCAATAAGAGGGGGTCTGTCCAGCACCTGGGCATCTTCCTGGGCGAAAAAAAACAACACTGCCGCGTGTAATTCATCGATATCCAGCGCGTCTGCCAACTGTAACGCCCCTTGTTGAAACTCCTCGTTGATCGAGTACTCGCTATCGTTCACCGAAATGTTTCCTGGATTGCGACGAGGCAAACATTAGCACGTATAGTTTCCCGCAGAGGTTGCGCATTCTATCCCTAAACCCAACCCAGGGCACTTGATAGGAACTCACCTGCAAGAACGATCTGGCGGCTCGAGTTGCTTTTCGTCGGCTTGTCAAGGAGTTTTCGGAAATCCTGGATGTGGATCTCCAATTCACTCCGAAGGCGCTCAATGTGGACAAACGAGGGGTCGGAAACAGCAGAAAGGTCCTGGTACAGGCCCCGAAGGCCGACCAAACTATCCCTTTCCTCCATCCTCAGCGTTGGTTTGGATTTTGTAGGAAGTGGGTGGGGTTGAAAGAGGGAAAGGTACAAGGAAAAAGAAGCTGTTTGGGCGGACAACCAAAAAAGGTCGGAGAAACGACAATCAAAACTCCGCCTAGTTTGAAAGGCGGGCGGAGGAGCTGCTTAGCTTGCCGACGTGCACCAACCACGGAGCTGGACCCAACAACAATGCGACTTGTGATCTATCGTCACGCTCCGTGGGTTGTTGAACGATGATGAGATTGGAAAAAAAGTCTTGAAATACTCCAGCATGGATTAACGGGTTGATTCGAGAAATTACGCCTTCTCTCACCTCGCACCGCGGGGACCCACCATAATGGGCGAAATCACTCTAGATAGAGCGCTCAGCCTGCTCACATCGGAGAAGCAGAAAGAGCGCGCAGATGGCTTGGCTGGTACGTCTCATTCGTGAGGTCTCATGCGGCCTCCTTTGATGATTAGTTTTATGTGGCTCTAGATTAATGTGTTTCCAGATCTCAAGCATATCCTGCAGCAGAACAGACAGAGTTCCAAGTTGTATGTGTACATCTGGTTGCTGGGAATGGCGATGAATATTAATGCCTGCGTACGACATTAGGACCTCGTTAAATGACAAGGCCTGTCATAAATTATTTGAATCTATCTTTCGGTACATATCCGCAGAAAAAGCGTTGTTTGATAAGGCGAACTCGAAAGCAGGGCCTCGTTTAGCTGGATGTGCCTCTGTCCTTCGAACGGCGGTTGATGTGCTCCTACGTAATTTGCGTACGAAGTCAATTCGCGCTATTGTTGATCACATCTCGAAGCTCCTTCTGGTTCCGCGGAACGGCCTCTGGGAGCTTTTGAGCGTGGATTATACGAAATGCCTGTCCAACCTCCTACAACACCGCCCGCATGTTGAACACCTAGGAACCAGCGAGTGGGAGAAACTGATGAACTTCTGTCTCAGGGTGCTTCATGGCGAAGAAGGTGAGGAGAGCCAGTCAAGCACTCGTCGTGATCGTCTCTCTACTTTGGACGAGTATGTGGGGACTCCCGGTGCCAGTCCGGCACCGTCGAGGAGGACGCCCGCACTAACAGTCAGGGAGAAGACACAGGGTGACAGGAGGGCCTCTGGGGCAGCCGTGGTATGTATTCAGTCGCTGATTGCAAACCACTGCGCACCTATCCAAGCTTCCGCCAAACGGATTCTTCATGGGCTGGCTGAGTTCGTGGAGTCGTCCACGATTGGCGGAAATGAACACCAGACTGCGTTTAGTTGCATCAATACTATCATCATGAAAATTCTGTTTGACCAATCCGAGTTTTCTCGGACATTTCTGATGGATATGGTTCCAACCGTCAGGCAGATGTGGACAACTAAGTTTCCTGCTCTGAAAGATGAATTGCTCGTCACGACGATGCTTTGTGTGATCGTCTTGACCGATGCAACCCGAAAAGAACCATCAGAGTCGCTGGGGCGCTTGATAAAGGGTCTTCTAGATACCCTACTTTCAGAGTACACCAGACGATTGGAAAAGGATATACTCCAGATCGACGACTTGATTTTCTGCCGACAGACGACTGTGCGTGAGGATAGGCTCCCAATGCATCCCCGCATGGAAAGTCCCAAATCGGAACATAACTGGACTCTAATATGGGCAATGGCGAATTTGTTGGAGCTGTCGGAAGAGCTGTCTGCGAAGTTATCGCATCCTCGCATTCCAGATGAAATGTCAAGAAAAAAACAGCGTATCACATCGACGATGGATGATATTGTCCGTGACTCCACCACAGCATCTGGAGGAAGAAGGATTTGCGCATTACAGTTGATTGCCTTCCTCTCCCGGCACCTCTCGGACACGGACACAATAGAACCACTCTTTCAACGGTTAATACCCTGTATACTGGATGAAAATGCTGCCATATCTTCCTGGACGATGGTTTCAATCACAAGGTAGGCCTCTTCTCACTTACCTGCAAGATACAGGCTGATGAAGTACTCTGAAAATAGCTTTGCATGTAGTCCGGAGGCGCGTTCGTCTTTCTCGAAGACATGCTGGCAGCAGGTTTGGGATCTTACGTCTCGTGCCTCAGCCTCTCAGTCTACTTCCAGAGCTGCTTGTAACCTCATGAACTATATCCTTCGACACGGTCTTCTAGAGTACTCTGCCATTGCAGAAACAACGAGTTTGATGTTATCTTCTGTTAATTTGAACAGTCCCTCGACTATGTCAGATTCTTCCTTGGCACTTTGGGTGACGATAACTCAGATGACAGCGCAGATGAACCCAGCTTCGATCGCAGGTGCTTCTAAGCAAGTCTGTGCATGGCTACGAGAGGTTTGGGTCATTGGTTTGTCTGCCTGATGCCGGCTGCCACGGACATATGTTACATCTTACTAACCATAGTATAGGGACCATGACTGACCGAATGCAAACCGCCCAGCTTGCTACATTTGCACGTCCCTTGGATCTCCTGAGTCTGCTGTTGGCTTGCACTAATAGGCCCTTTGATCTGCCAAGTTCTCCTGTCGATTGTCCGGTCGGCCTTATTTCTCGAGGATGGCATTTCTGCTATAGGAATAAGCAACTCATCAATTACATATTTGACGTGGGAGGGGTGGTAAATCATATCGACCTGTGGGACTCAGCAGCAGAAACGGTTTCTTTGGGCCCTTATACACGACAAGAGCCAAACGAAAATGTCATTTTGGATTTGTTGCAAGTCAAGTCCGACTTATTCTTACAGATGTGGCAATCGGTCACTGAAGGGAAATTGCACCATGTAACGGTGGATATCGTGCAGATACTTGCGTCTTCCTGTATAGTCATTGCACTCTACACCGAATCTCTGCCGCAGAAATCCATCCCGAGGGTTGAAGGATTGCAAAAAAAGGTTCAAGGACTGTGGGAGAGCATATGCTCATTTATACGTTCTCGGGAACCCGAATATGTTCAGGCTTGCTTAATGCTATTCTCTTCAATCCTTGGCCCAGACTGCTTGGTCTCAGATTCGCAGAGCACAATCCCCAAAGCCCTCTGCAAACTCTTGCCTCCATTCGCCGGCGTCCTCGAAGACCAGCGGCAAAACCAAAAAGATTGTTTCTCTCGTCAAGGAGAGGCCATGGATTTGGATGATCCTCTGTCAACCTCCGGGAACCCATTGGCAGAGACGACGTCCATCATCAATATGAACAGAGAAGCAGTCCCTCTGTTTTACGATTTTGCCACATTTCAGCGCTGCATGACTATCCGATTATCCGTGTTCCTGAAAGTATATGCATCGACGGAATCAACCAATGAAGACTTGGTCGACTACCTGACAGACCTTGATGAAGCCGATTTTCTGTCTTCTTGGGATTTGTTACCTCGTGTATACCAAGCATGCTCTGGGATGGATTATTCTTTGTTACTTAGGCTGCTAGAGGATCTCGGTGAAAAATGTCTCCAGTCATACGAGACGGAGCGATGCGAGACATCGCATCTGCTTTGCATTGGTATGATGCACTGTTTCGTCAAGTCATGGGCTAGTGGGAGTGATACCCATCTTCGTGATTCTGCCTCGGATCTGTATAGTTGGTTCACCGATGTACTACTAGCAAAGGGAAGGGCCTCTTCGCCAGTCCTGACTGCATTTGCTGAACTTCTAGCAAGCATCCTCAGATTCGATCCCCATTACACAAGCGGCCAGTCGAGTCCATCGCCACGCACAAGCCTTTTCACCATACTCCAGGATGGCGACATACCGGTGCAATTCAGCGCAGGAAATATAGTTCCTCAGCTGTTCAACCGGTTCCCACTTACAGACCACGACGCCATATTTGACGACGTCCTAGAAAGCCTTCCACGGGATACTGATTGGATTGAAGGAATCGCTCTCCGTCTGTTTATCTTGGCACAGCTAGCTTCTAGATGGCATACATTACTTCGAAGGAGCATTTACCATATGTTTGAAACCCCAGCTCAAGCACCGGGTTCGCTTCTCTACGCAGAAAGATGCCTGCACGATGTCGCAAAGGCGCTTGGTCTTCAAAATGCGAAGGAATTGTTTCGATTATTTTATTCTCAAGTGCTCTACACGTGGAGCGAAAAACAGTCGATTACGGAACTGCCTTACAGTACATTCGGCTACTCCAGCATTGAAGACATGCTGAGCGATGTTCAAGATGAGATAGTCGGCCAAATCATGATGCGCGCCCAGGATGAAGAAGCCAATGAGATATCAAGATGTATGGGGAAACCATTTGTCGAGCTACTGGCGGATTCTTTCTACAAGGCAGAGGCATACAGTATAGCATGGGACATCTCCACACCTCCTGGGCAAGGCTCTCAGCCAAGAGGCGTCGAGAACAGGCTGAAGGTACTACTCGGGACCGATAGATTCCTCGAACTTATCGACCAAAACTTCCCTCGGATGATTGCTGCATTCTTTGTGTCAATTGATCAGCACGAGCAGATTGAAAAAGCATTTTCGAAACGAAGCAACTTCCAGGGTGCGCTTAAGGTCATGAAAAACGTTATGAATAAGAGTTCCTCGAAGGCTATTCTTCCTGTAAACCAACAGCCATCATTTCGAGCTCGCTATCTTGTTGATGAGCTTGACTTTCTCTGCAGACGCAGCGGCTACGAACTCGAGACTATATGGACCCCCGCACTCGCCTCTTATGTCTGTCGAATATTGTTGGAGTCAATCCACCCAGCTCTAGGTTCTCTACATGCATGTTCGGTCATTCGGAAAATTCGCATCCTGGTCTGCATGGCTGGCTCTGTCATGCTGAGCGATTATCCCTTTGAAGTGGTGATTCACGCAATCCGACCTTACCTTACCGATGTTCACTGCTCTGAGGATGCTTTGGGGATTCTTTGGTACCTACTGGAGGCAGGCAGGCCCTATTTGTGGGATAACCCTGATTCCATGGCAGGGATAGCGGTATCAACTTTGGTTTCCTTGAAGGCCTTTGCAACCTCTTCACCAGTTGAACCAATGCAGGAAATCCAGTGGGATACAAT